AAACTTTTTTAATTTAACTTTTTTTCAAATTTTGACAATTTTAACAAATGTAACCCCTAATAAAATTTTCAAAAAATTCGATTCAGCTGTTGATGCTGATCAAGAATACATATGATTTATAGGGTCGGAAACGACTTCTTCAGTGCGTTTCAAGCTACATAATACCCTGCAAAGGTATACAAATTATATCCACTTTATTACATAGGTACCAGAGGAATAACAGAAAAATTATATTATATTTAAAAAATACACATATGTACCTCGAGACGATGTTACTTTTAACCATTTAAAAGTCTTATTTCATTGTTTTTTTTTTATTTGGATGACTTTTTTTTATCTCTTGCTTATTATCAAAATAAAGTCCAGTATATTCAATTGCTTTTAAATGTAATTAAAGTAACTAATTTTAAACAATTAACAATTACTGAATAACATATTGTAATATATTCTTTAGAGCCTCAATTGAAATAATTATAATAATTATTCTATGGAGTTGAGACTAAAAAAAGATAATACCTAACCATAACAATTTGGGATCATAGTTTTCCCTTCTCATCTATTTTTTAGGCATTGTCAGTGAACACAGTTTCCCGCAGTAACTGTTCCAACTATTTTGGTCAGCTTTGTGAGCCACAAAAGTGACCGCAGAAACTTGGCATTAAAGAGAACCCCTAGTCCTAAAACCCCTTCCCAGTCTATGCCGCAGCATCATCGCACACGCACACACACACCCATTACCCCACTCTTGGTTTTGTGTCGCAATGAATCGCAAAGGGGCGGGTGACCAGGGGTGTGGGCGTGGGCGAGGGTGTGCTTTATATGCTTCTTCTCTTCTCCTTAGGCCCTCTGCCAGCGGGAAAAACATAAAACAAAATCAAATCAACTGTTGGGAAATGCAGGGAAACTCAGGGAAACAAAGACGGCGGCAGCGGCGGCGGCGGCGGCGGTGGGGGAAGTTCTAGGCTTCATTGAAGCTTGTCAAAATTAAATTGAACACAATCGAATTATCCTCTGCATGCTCCATTTGGCTGTCTGTGCTGATTTCCAGCAATGCGGGGGGTTCCCCCCAAAAGGAAGGGAGTGGGCGGACTGCCAAGGACGAAAGTGCGGTCAGAAGCAGGAGCAGCACTTAGGCATATTAAAAAGGGTTAAAGGTGTGCAAATATTTATCTGTGGCCAATTAAAAATATGTTTAATAATCAACTCGAGAGAGGCAATCCACAGGGGAGCGGGGTCATCAGCAGGCAGCCACGTGCTGGCCAAGTTTTTCCATTCTTTTATTTGCACTTAGCCCCATGCCAAAAAGTATGCTATGAATAAGGTATGCTGTAAATTTGAGAAATCAGATGAGGAATAATGATTTAAGGTAACTTAAAGTTCCTGGAACAAGTGTATCCTTACATTTTGATTTGGATTTAGAAAAATATTTAATTTTATGAGATATACATATATAATACACTTAGATAAATAATTGGTATAAACGACCGATTTAAACAGTATAACAACAAGGATTATTCTTGACAACCTTTTAAAGGATTTTTAACGTACCTTATATCGTTAAACCGATACTTACAGAAATATGCCAGCATCTCAGAGTTGTATTATTGAAAGTTTAGCCTCCTGCAGGAGATATCCATAGCTCCTCATTTGCATCTACTCATGTTCCGAAGGCCTGCCATCATTGTCAATCCCTGAATCCAAGTGCAAATATTTGCCCGCGATTCCTTTCAATTGCATTTCAATTGTCGACGATGATGATGCGGATCCGGATATGTGTGTGTTCTATGATGTCAATAATGATTTCCTCCCGCATCGAGCGAAAGAGCGCGTTTGACAATGTTTATTACGCCGGATTAGGCAGCATTACAACTTACGGCAAAAAGGCGCTCAGCTCGGTAGCCAGTCTGGCATGATGTGGTGATGTGATTGATTGTCCCCGGGTTCTCCTGCTCCCTGCTTCCTGCCTGTCCCCAGGATCATCGGTTGGAGTGCACTTAAAGCACGAAGTAGCATCGTGTTTTATCGCAAATAATTTCTGGTAAATCTACAGGAAATCGATTTCAAAAATATATAAGAAAGAAAGCAAAGAAACGTTGACATGTCGCAGTCAATTTACATGCCCCTTCATCTTGCAAACCCAGCATGAGTGCACCTCGGCTGGGGGTCGCCGCCTGTGTTCTAGGCCATGGATTTTTTCCCGATTTCTTCTCGATGAGTTTAATGACATGAGAAGAGGACTCAGACTAGCAGGATTTTTTAAATGACATTTGGAATTTTAAAATGATTCCGAACCGAGTGTTTAACTACTGGAAATATTTAATAATTTTGTGATTGGTTGGACAAGCTAAATAGAATGTAAATCAATAGAAACGGTTGTTTCAACTTTAATTGTCGAAAAGAAAAAATTGCATGGCATTACCTTTGTACTATTATTTACCATTTTTAAAATGATTAACCAGCTATCGAAAAATTTACAATTTTATATTTTACGAAAAACAAACAATTTATTTTTCGTCCTTGATGTCTCAATCTCGCCTTAATCTACGATGATTTCCTTGGCACACACACAGTCCCCAGTGGGTAGTGCAAGGAAAATAAATTTCGCAACCATTTATCAACTTGGGAGGTCTCTGTGCAAACAGGAATCGTCCTGCGGCAGGACCTGTGGAAATCGGTGTCAGAGGCACCAACAAAGGCCATAACGAGCCACCATTTATACGGTTTACACCTTCGCCTCAGGGCCCGGAAGCGTCTTTCATAGTCAACAAATTGACAGCAAATATTTCAATTATTCTGCCTTGGTCCTTATTTATGGAAATCCCCAAACATTCCCTTGTTCTTGTGCGGGAGGAGATGGTGACCCCCGCTTAGACCAGTTGATGTTTGTTTACAAATCGCTGGACATAATTTATTTGTTCCCATTGTTTTGATTTCAGCTTTGGATGTGCCTGCCAATCGCTGAATGATAAACTGCCTTCCACGATAAGCCAGCGACTGAGGGTAAGCGACTTTCGGGGGTTTACATGGTTGGGTCACCCTCGCCAGCTCATTAGGAAGCAATTATACGTTTAAGGCCTTTAGGGTTGCAACTTCCAAGCACACCCACCACCCCTTTCGGCTGGAAAAATTGAAGGTCAGGACCTCTGACAGCGGATGTCAACGGCTGTCAGTTTGACACTGCGAACTGACAGTTGACAGGCGAGGCAACGCCCCCAAATGTGTTCTCCGGATAATATGGCTAATAATGGGAGTGAAATGTGACGGAGTTGGAAATAAGGAACTACTTAAATTGCAGTTGTCTGTCCTTAGAATAATAAATCAGAGGTGGAAAGTGATCTCAAAATTATTTTCAGAACACAATAGGCAAAGCGATAACCAATTCAAAATGGATTATATTTAGGTACACAATAAATTAACATTAAATTTATCAGAGATATATGGTATCCTTACATAGATCCACTATATACATTTTCAGATACTCTTTAAATGCGAGAAATTTTAACATTAGGCACTTAAGTCCGCATGTATTCTGCATATATGAGTTTGAGGTAACATGCTGCAGAAGATGAATCCCTTGGCCCGCTGTGGGCTTTCTTTATTTTTCAATAAAATTCGTATAAATTCAGTTTGCAGGCAATAAATTATGTCCAGTTTCGACTTCGACTCACACACGTGTTGCCAGAAGCCAAAAGCCAGAAGGCCAGAAGCCAACTAATAACGGGACAGCGGTCATGCCTCCCAAATGTAGGCTATGGGATGTGTATGTTTTTTTTTTGACCGCCTGCCTTTTTTTCGACTCATTCGACTGCCACTGTTACTGTCCCCCATAAATATTTACGCAATAAATTTTTTAATCTTGTCGCTTTAATCGCACAAATGTCGCTGCCTTTTATACGCGCACAAACACACACACGTACCCAGATTATGGATGTCCGTCTCCCCCCTTCGGAGCCTTGCCCGCTGCCACAATGTCAACCTAGACCCCTCGGCAGAAGCAAAATCAATTTCACTATCGTTGACCAAAGGGCGAGGAACGAATATTGGAGGCCAGTAGCGGCGGGAAATATAACGAATATGGAGTATCCTGTATAGACCTATGAGTTAAGGAATCCGTAACGTAATCTTTATCATTTCCAAATTTAAAATATTTAAAGATATAATCAAAGGAAACTATAAGACAGCAATAAAAAATGCATTGTTATTAAATATTTTATATATTACTAATTGCCTTAATGGTAATTCTTAAAGGACTTCCAATATTATTTTATAAATTTTACATATGTATATTTTATAGCTTTTATTATTATTATTTTTTTCACTAAAATAGTTATATTAACAAATTATCAAAGGGTATCTAAGATTTCAACCTTTCCCCTAAAAATATACTGTTGTTTTTTACAGTACGGTTCTGTGAGCAGGACACAGACGGCAACGACTTCCGGTGGCCGGGGGTTGAGGGTGAGACAACGGGATTCAATAAAAAATATCAAACATATTCGTAACGGTCAGAACGAGGAATCTTCCTCCCCATTCCATCTAGAATTCCCTTCTCCAGGATGTCCTTTATCCCTCACATTCTGAAACTGGCCGAGTGCAAACATATTTATGGCCGCCGACTGCATTTTATGCGTTGTCCAACACTCAATTACCATAACGGGAAATGGTCCTGCCAGCTAGTTGTCTCGCTCTGGCACCTACCGCACTTTGCATACAAATCGCATAAAACGAATATGGTCAAGATGCTTAGCTTTCCCTGACCGGAACAAATATTGGGTGGACGGAATTTCTTTGCCATTTGATTCGGTTAGACCAAATTATTATTACCCTGAGCGCTCGGGTCGTCAGTGGTCGTTGATGTGGCCGCATTACGATCTGTTTTTTGGGCGGCAAATGTGCGAAGCATTATTGTTTATGCCGGATCTCAAATTACTTGGAGTCCTGATACAGAAATGGTTATCGATAACACAGTCGAGCTATGATTATTAAAGAAAGGATAAAAATTACAGTATATACTTTTTATTTTCTTCAAATAAAACCTTCTTGTGACGCCTTCCTTATAACTTTAAATAATCATAAAATAAGGCAAGCAGACTAAAATTATTATCAGTTTCAAATTTCCCTTTCTTACTTTGTAAAGCTAACTAACTTGAGAGTTAGTCAAAGATGAAGCCCAATTGCTCCATATCCTTTTGCACCCCATTAGTCGGACACTGTTCCTTCAGCATGTCCAGCCAAAGCGTATAGGAGTAATCTTCGTGCAAGCCGCCATAACTGAAAGTGAGTAAAAGTTAAATTAATATTAAAATTAATAAAAGATGATATAAATAATACTAACCGTTTAGGTAAATGCTCAGGATCGATGTGTTTGTGCAGTGAACTCATATCGCTACCATGGATGAACAGTTTCTCTCGCATTGCGGCATTCAGAAAGGGCTTAAAAATCTTGAATGCTGCATTGAAAACCCAATTCTGGTTCACAATATGAAGGGCGGAGGTGCGGATGGGCATGGAGGTCTACAAAATAAAATCATCATAATAATTGGTAAATAAACTACATTTTAAAATAAACAATGTATAAGTAATATTCAAAACAGACTCACCACAAGCAGGGCAATCATTTTCTGAGCCACACTGGGACTGAGGTGAAATATGTGCTCTAGTCCCAAGTCCTTCAGGTCAAAGATACCCACTCCGCCCACTATTTGGGAGATGGGCTCCAAGCTACCGAGTTCCTGCAGGACAATGGTGGCTCGAAAAATATCGTCCACTATCACACGATTGGGTCGCCATAGTCCAAAGCGATATATGAGTATGCGGTGACCGTGTTGATCGCGATATGGCGTCACTGACAGGATGTCAGACTCTCCAACATGGCGCAGATCCAGAGGACGAACCTTTTCGTAGTAGCTTTTGTTGTGCTCCCGAAATTTGTAGTAACTGCAGAGCTAGAAAATGTAAATAAAAGAATTACTTGTATGAGATTTAATTGCAGCCAAAAACTTTAAGTAGGAGTAGTTAAAGTATTCATTTTATTATTAAAAAATAAACGAAATTAAAATTAACCACTGCCGTAAAATGTAAGTATGAATTTCAAAAGCACACTAACCAGAGTTAGTTTATAATAATAATATTCAAATAAGATTTTAATTGGAATTTAATTAAAATGTTACTGAAAACCAACTGTTTATTAAAAAGGAAGCTAATTTCGGGGACTCGAAATTTCTACACCCAAGCAGTGAAAATCGATCATAACTAAGCCAAATATTAATTAATTTCTAATCAGACAAGTGTTATATGCTAATTTTCATTACCCAAACAAATCTGCATATTAAATTTAAAAATTCAAATTCAAAAATTTAACTTTTTCTTGAAATTTCTACAATTTTAACGATGTAACCCCTTATAAAATTTTCGAAAAATGGGTAAAAAGAAACTTTTTTCTACCGGACAGGGCTAAATCAACTCGGCAGTTGATGCTGATAAAAAATATATATGACTCCTTCACTACGTTGCAAGATATTAATTGTAATTATAATACCCTGCAAGATTAATATGTAAAACAATAATTAGTGCCATTTAAATTAGTTTTTTTATACCTAAATGAACTTAAAAGACAACGTTTTGCTTCCAATTAATAAATCGAGTAATATGTATTTATATAATATTGCAATGGATTGCCAGATTAACTTGAACATAATCTTAAACAAGGGATTATAATCTTAGACAAACAACTGTTATTGTATGAGTGGAACACACATTTTCTTTTGAAAAGAAAACAAACAAATCTAAGAAGTAAGCATATTTTGTTATTTTAATTAAAACAAACATCTTATGAATTGTAAGTTCTATACCAAAATGATACACAATTGATTCGTAAAACTAGAGGAAGTCTTAAATAAATTTCCAGAAATATCAAATATGTATATCTCACTCACCAATCTATAGCTGTTCTCAATCTTCCAGTAGCGGGCTCGCAGAAATTTCTTCAGATACTTGTCATCGCTGCGGTGTGGCTGGCATTCGTTTCGTTCTGCGGAATTTCGTTACGGACTTGATAACTAAGCTTCACTAGCTTAAGGCCAGGGATGTGGCCGAGTATACCCACCCAAAATGTAGCTGCGGAACTGCTCGATGACCGCTGCCTCGGTGCTAGAGCTCTCGCCCTGCTCCTGTGCCAGCCGGAGTATCTGTTCCGGTATCTCCTCCTCGGAAATATTCAGCTTATGCTCGACGGTGGGCATTGTGCGGGTCCGGGGACTGCTGCTGGTCGTCTGAATAACAACAAAGAGTGGGCGTAGTCAGCGTTAATTATTATGCGGCTATATAAAAACATGTACACAATGTTTTCGGCCAAACAATTTTCACACGGATTCCCCCAGAATACCCCACATAAAGCACAGGTGGAGGGAATATCACCAGTGGCAGATAGCACCTGTTCCGATACGGCAATCCACTAAATACCCGACCTCACACACGTCTCATTGTTAACCACATTTTCAAGATTTTGACATTGCAATTTCCAGTCTAAACACTCGCATGCAACATTTATTGATGGGCGACGTTTTTCTGGTTACCATTTGGATGGGTTGCGATCCGCTCGACTTCAAGTGTGTAACTGAGCCCCCGAACGGAATCAGGCCAAATGTTCCCAGTCCCATGAATGCGACCATTAAATATTAAGTAGAAACCGAACAACACTGGATCCGACAAAGCTATAGCGATAGCGTAAGGGAGACAGCTAATCGGGCGATAACAGTATGTCACATAGGAAAAGTTATTTTTAGTAGGATTCCGTGTTTTCCGACTTACAAAATTAAATTGCATTCGATTCTGGTAAGTAAGAGAGTTAATATGGCATATTTATATTGAGATACAAATTTTAAAAAGTATAACAAAATATTAAATAGCAAGCGCTTCCTGGCAATAGCTTGTTGTTCAGTGCTTCTGCCTAGCTTCCGTGGCACCCTTGGCCCCATCCCAAGTCCCTGATCCCCGAGAATCTGACTCGCCCTCGTCTGAACCCCGCAAAACAAATATATATTACTTAGTGTGTGGGTATTTGGACCCCGGGCTCTCCTGATAAGCTTGGCACGGAATCGTCAATGGCTAATCAGGTCGCTTGGGGTCTAGTGCAATGCGGCGACTTGGCTCGGTTGCGAATTTCAGAGATAACACTGATGATGCCACCGCGATCTCAAAGTGCAGCACCCACAGAACCACTACCAAACACAGAGCACATTCGTGGAGTGATGTGCAAAGTGCCGGGGCCAATATTTGATTACATTCAACAAATTCCGACTAATTACACAGTTCGCCAGCGAGGGATCTATTCAATTGCAGTGGTAAAAACTCCAATGTGTCGTCGGCTCGTCTTCAGTTCAAAAGTTAATGAACAAAACACCCCCTTACAATGGGCGTCATTAATTGTCCCCAGACAATTGGAGGTAATCAAAGAAATTACTAGGCTCCATTAGTGTTTGTAATAAGCAATTATTTTGTTCGCCTTAACACCTGGCTTTAGCACCCCATTAGTTCGGGGTCTCCACTTGCATTACCTGGTATTACACTGATATTGCCAGTTATCACGCACTGGAGCTAACTCTACGGGAAACCCGAACCCGAAAACTTGACAAAGATCGCGCTCGCAGCTGACACAAGTGTCGGTGCAGAAGGTTGTACTGAAACTGAGCTACAGATCGCTTAGAACAAAATGTTTTAAGCTCAGAACTCTTAATGAAAAAAAGCTGAGAAAAAACGCAGCAGTAATAACTATAAACCAGTATGGAGAATGACTAACCCAGACGGGAGCGGGCAATATTTTGAAACCGAATCTTTGAATACCCTTGCAGAATGAAAGTAGGAGTTGAAAGATATATTTTCAACTCAACTCTTATTTTATAAATCATATTATTTAATGTATTACAATTAAGTTATACTTAATATAGAATAAAAAAGTAATTATCTACTTTTTTATGCGTTTCGTTCAATACTTTTTTGAATTTCTTAAAGTGTTCCCGCTTGGCAAAATTCCCCACTTGAGTTAGGGTACAAACTGCAGTCCAGAGTCAGTGCAAGATCTCAGCTAATTCTCCAGCAAAATGCGGGAGCATATGAACAACTCTGAACAAGATCTGCTGGTTAAGTTCAATGAGCTCCAGTGACGTCACAACTTGAAGGGTTCCCGCTGATCCCTACTCACAGGCTTCAAGGGCATCGGTCCAGAGAAACAGAGCGTGGATCTCGTGTGTCCAGAATATACTCGATGTCATATTAAACTTGAATCAGATTCTGCAAGCGAACTGCAATGGGAGGCAGGGAGGGAGGAAAGACTTGCCCCTTTTCTCGTTGGGCAAGGTCAAGCAAAAAAGCTGAAAAAAAAACCAGTTTCACTTATTTCCATGCTCTTAGCTCTGACCGTTGAAGCAATTGGCTTTGAAATTTTCATATCACCAGCTGCTTAATTGAAAAACAATCTGCATAACATATGGGATTAGAAGTAGAAAGCGACTCAATCTATAATCTCTAATAAAATGTAAATAACTGCCAGAAGCTCATGAAGTACTTTTTTTTACTTTGAAAATATGCAACAGTTGTGAAAAATATCTGCTATTTTGTATGCATAAAGTTTTCTGGTTAAAGGTGATAGTACAGGGATTTATAGTTATTTTAACTTTTAAACCCTTGGAGCTTAGAATGAATAAGCATTTAAATTCTTAAGTCCATTTTGACAAAGTTACTCAATTCCTACGAACATGCCGACATTGTAATTTTAACTATGATCATCTTTAATTAAAATTGTTTTTTAGCAGTAATTCCTGAATGCAATGATTTTAATTTAAAAACATTTTTATTGTGTTTATTGAGATACTCACCTAACATTTTCACATCACATTTTTAATTATAACTATTGGAAATATAAATCAAATTCTTAAGAAATATTCAATTTTGTCTACAAAGAATGAACAGAATATAGTTAAACACGTTAAAATATATAATTAAAAATTTATTTAAAATTATACCGAAAAATCTCTAAATTTATACTCAAGCACTTGTCTGTATATAAAAATAGTAATTGTATATTTTTATAAAGATATTGAAGAATGGTTAAACTTAAATGAACAAAAGCTGTTGTTGGATATACAAATACGTTATGTAAAAAAAGGGCTACTTCGTGTACATATGTAAAACAAATCTCGTAATGTAACTTACTTTCAAATTTGCAAACCTTTAGTAACGAACAGAACCTAATCGATGATCGACCGGAAATAAAATATTCGATAGTATCATATGGGCAGAAAATAGTTAAGTTGACAGTAGTTTTGGCAATACATCGATGTTTTCCACCATCTATTTTCTCCATGTTTTTACGATTTTTTAAACCATGCACATATTTTATATATATATTACATTGAAAAATTACTATTGTTATTTTAATGAATGTTTAATTTATATTTGAGCGAGTTTGTTTTTACTAATTATTTAAAATTTACGTACCCTTCCCTTGGTTTTTCTCCTAATAGTAACGGCACAGAAACTTTAATGAGTTGTCGAATATTTTTAATAATATCGAATAAACTTTTTTTTAATAATTATTTTAATATAAAATATCACTATCGATAAATTGGTATTGAGATATATTTTCAACCCTAATCAAAATACTTGCTACATAAGTTACCCAAATGGGCAATTTGTGACACATTTGCACGAAGATGGTATATTTATATAAATACTGGTACATTTTATTTTTGTAATGCTGGTTATTTTAAGAAAAGAGAAAAACGCCAAATATGTTTTAAAAGAAATCCAGGATTTGCAGGAATTGCAGAACAAAAGATTACTTCATGACAAATATCAGTGAGGGAAGTTAAAATATAGATTTACGTGTGAAATCCACGATTACATAAAATTAATTGTTTTATTAGATGTTTAATTCTTTACAATTTGAAGCTTTTCCTTTAAATTTGTATAATTTATTTTATAATAATATCGAAAATTCAAACAGCTTTGTCAAACTTGGATACTTAAATGTTAAATAACAGCTTTGGAATTCAAAATGACCAGAAATGTATGTTTATGTATTTACATTTTTACATGAGAATTCTACATGTATCTGTAAAAATGTTATTTTGTCCCGTAAAATATTAAATATCATCTCCGTGATAAGAAACAAATTATTAAAAATATATATTATAAATACATTTTTGGTAATTTGATAAATTTTCAGCAAACCAACAACGACCTGACAACCGAAAGCACGCGAGAGAGAATTATGTTAATTAACATTCACCCAACAGCCAGCGAGAGAGCAGAGAGAGGATATGTTACATATTTTACATTATACAAGGGAATTCCACATTATACATGAGCATTCTACCCAAAAATCGAGTATTCGACCTCATATATCTGTAAACGTGTAGAACGGTTTTCTAGGCGCGTAAGATGTAAAATGATAAGTAACAGCCTTGGCTTTTAGAGTGACCAAAGAAAAAATATCAAAAAATGCAAAAGAAAAATATGGAATCTTTGGTATTTCTAAAAACAAATTAATTTTTTTGATTTCAACAACAACTGCGCCCCAAAGATTCTCCGGTATAAATGTTAATAATAAATATATAAGAGTGCGATTTGGCAATCAATTCTAGTGCATTAGAACGCAAAAGGACGCACCTACAAACTGAAAATTGTAGTGCGTCGCCTGCTAAAACCTACGTTTGTGCATTGTTGTTGCGAGGCCACCAAACACCGCAAAAAGTGTGCAACTTTTTAACCAGGTAATTAAAACCGGGAAATCGCAAAGTATTTGTTATGAAAAGTGCAGGAAAACCGCCCCGTCGTTCTTTTCACGCCGCTAGATTTTTCGCAAACCTCGTTTATTTTTTCGCATGCAAATTAAAAATGGCGCTACCGGTATAGAGAACACATTGTGCTGATATTCGCTGCAGGAAAAAACCACGCGTTCCTAGTCAGGTCTGACATAATTAAGCCTTTGATCTTGTTTATTTTAACTGGGGGAAACTCGCAGAAATAGAGCCAAGGTTGGGTTTCCGCGAGGAGCCGGCAAATCAACACACAGATACACACGCGCACAGACAGACGCCGAAATGCCGCCAAAGTCGGGGCTTCAAAAGCGACGCGCCGAACTATGTGCGGAGTACAGTAACAGCTGCGGAAATCTAAGTTGTTTAAACGAATCGTATAGTTTAATGATTTCACAAAGTGCATCCAGCAATACCCTTTAGGTTAACGTAATCATTAGAGAGGTAGTCTCATCGCGAGGGATTAGGTGGAGAGGCCAAGAGCGCGCGCGCGTCGTTTCTTTCTCTTTTATTTTATCTTGAGGTACAGTAGCTATCAGATAAGGGTGTCTTTTATCACTAGAATATTTCAATTTGTGAATAATTATGTTTTATACAAGTTAATATGCATATAACAGTTTAAATTGAAGAAAAGGAATAGTTTGTGATTATATAAAAAACGTTTTCGAGTCACAATATTATTAAGATAAAAAGTGAAAAAACAGTCAGATACATACATATGTACATAATTTAGGATTTTTCTATTTTTGAATCTGATAGATACTTTCACGTGTCAATATCTTCTGTGGTTAAAGCGTAGAAGATAAATGAAAAAGACGATAGATTTAAAACGCCTAAGGCTGTATTCTAAGCTTTAGTTTTACTGCGTACAGTTTGCCTCGCTTACTAATTATGAAATTTGTTTTGATCTTTTCAGAAGAGGCAGCTAAGTCACAGCAGTAGCAAAACCATGGAGAACGGTAGCAGCGGCATGTCCATCGAGCAGATGTACCAAAAGAAGTCGCAGTTGGAGCACATCCTTCTGCGACCGGATTCCTACATCGGATCCGTGGAGTTCACCAAGGAGCTGATGTGGGTTTTCGATTTTGAGAAGCATCGGATGGTCCAGAGGGAGATCTCATTTGTGCCGGGCCTGTACAAGATCTTCGACGAGATTCTGGTGAATGCTGCGGACAACAAGCAGCGCGACAAGTCCATGAACACCATTAAGATTGACATCGATCCGGAACGCAATGTGGTGTCCATTTGGAACAATGGTCAGGGTATTCCAGTGACCATGCACAAGGAGCAGAAGATGTACGTTCCCACTATGATCTTTGGCCACTTGTTGACCTCCTCCAACTACAACGACGACGAGAAGAAGGTGACTGGTGGCAGGAACGGCTACGGAGCGAAGCTCTGCAACATATTCTCCAACAGCTTCACCGTGGAGACGGCAACGAAGCAGTACAAGAAGAGCTTCAAGCAGACCTGGGGCAACAACATGGGCAAAGCCTCCGATGTTACGGTACATTCGAATGCATATATTATAATCTCTTAAATAATGCTATAATATATTATAATACTTACATACCAGATCAAGGACTTCAATGGCACTGACTTTACCCGCATCACCTTCAGCCCCGATTTGGCCAAGTTCAAGATGGACCGCCTCGACGAAGATATTGTGGCGCTTATGTCGCGTCGTGCTTACGATGTGGCCGCTTCCTCGAAGGGTGTTTCCGTCTTCCTCAACGGAACCAAGCTCACGGTGAAGAACTTCAAGGACTACATCGATCTGCATGTGAAGACAGACGATGATGGGCCAGTTGTTAAGGTCGTTCACGAGGTGGCCAACGAGCGGTGGGAAGTTGCCTGCTGTCCGTCGGACCGGGGCTTCCAGCAGGTCTCCTTCGTAAACTCTATAGCCACCACCAAGGGCGGTCGGCATGTTGACCATGTAGTCGACAATGTCATCAAGCAGCTCATTGAGGTTCTGAAGAAAAAGAACAAGGGTGAGTTCTTTGATTCCTCTAGAGATGTTTTAATCTTTCCTTGAATAAGAATGATTACGAGTTGTATTGTTTGCAATTGCAGGTGGCATCAACATTAAACCCTTCCAGGTGCGCAACCATCTGTGGGTTTTTGTCAATTGCTTGATTGAGAACCCAACGTTCGACTCGCAGACTAAGGAGAACATGACTCTGCAGGCCAAGAGCTTTGGCTCCAAGTGCACGCTGTCTGAAAAGTTTATCTCCAGCATGTCCAAGTCGGGCATCGTTGAGTCGGTGCTGGCTTGGGCCAAGTTCAAGGCTCAAAACGATATCGCAAAGACGGGCGGTCGCAAGTCGAGCAAGATCAAGGGTATTCCCAAGCTGGAGGATGCCAACGAGGCGGGCGGCAAGAACTCAATCAACTGCACCCTCATCCTAACCGAGGGAGACTCAGCCAAATCGTTGGCTGTGTCCGGTTTGGGTGTTATTGGTCGAAACTATTACGGTGTATTTCCGCTTCGGGGTAAGCTGCTGAACGTGCGCGAGGCCAACTTCAAGCAGCTGTCCGAGAACGCTGAAATCAACAACCTATGCAAGATCATTGGACTGCAGTACAAGAAGAAATATCTGACCGAGGACGATCTAAAGACCCTGCGCTACGGCAAGGTTATGATCATGACAGATCAAGATCAGGATGGTTCCCACATCAAGGGCCTACTTATCAATTTCGTTCACACCAACTGGCCAGAGCTGCTGCGCCTGCCGTTCCTCGAGGAGTTCATAACGCCGATTGTGAAGGCCACGAAGAAAAACGAGGAGCTGTCGTTTTACTCACTTCCCGAGTTCGAGGAATGGAAGAACGATACGGCCAATCATCACACTTACAATATCAAGTACTATAAGGGTCTGGGTACTTCCACATCCAAGGAGGCGAAGGAGTATTTCCAGGATATGGATCGCCATCGCATCCTTTTCAGATACGACGGCTCGGTGGACGATGAGAGTATTGTGATGGCCTTTTCTAGGAAGCACATCGAGTCGCGAAAGGTGTGGCTCACCAACCACATGGACGAAGTCAAACGACGCAAGGAGCTGGGCCTGCCGGAACGCTATCTCTACACCAAGGGCACCAAGCACGTCAGCTACGCGGACTTTATCAACCTGGAGCTGGTGCTGTTCTCCAATGCCGACAACGAACGCTCCATTCCCAGCCTGGTCGATGGCCTTAAGCCGGGTCAGCGCAAGGTGATGTTCACCTGCTTCAAGAGGAACGATAAGCGGGAGGTGAAAGTAGCGCAGCTTTCCGGCTCAGTGGCCGAAATGTCCGCCTATCATCACGGCGAGGTCTCGCTCCAAATGACCATCGTTAATTTGGCCCAGAACTTTGTCGGCTCCAACAACATTAACCTGCTGGAGCCCCGTGGTCAGTTCGGTACGCGACTGACCGGTGGCAAGGATTCGGCCAGCGCTCGTTACATTTTCACGCTGATGTCGCCACTAACACGTCTCATCTACCATCCCCTGGACGATCCGCTTCTGGCGTACCAAACCGATGATGGCCAGCGTATAGAGCCATTGTGGTACTTGCCAATTATTCCCATGGTGCTGGTCAACGGAGCCGAGGGCATTGGAACTGGCTGGTCCACCAAGATAGCCAATCACAATCCCCGCGAAATAATGCGCAATCTAAAGCGGATGATTAACGGGGAGGAGCCACAGATCATGCATCCTTGGTATAAAAACTTCCAAGGACATACGGAATACATCTCGGATGGCCGCTATGTGGTCAGTGGCAACATTCAGATCTTGCCGGGCGATCGGATTGAGATCACCGAGCTACCAGTGGGCGTTTGGACGCAGACCTACAAGGAGAATGTACTGGAGCCGCTGTCAAATGGCACTGAGAAGATCAAGGCCGTGATTTCCGAGTACAGGGAGTATCACACGGACACCACAGTGCGCTTTGTGGTCAGCTTCACGCCCGGAGAGTTCAATCGCATCCGCAACGAGGATGGGGGCTTCTTCCGAGTGTTCAAGCTTACCACGACGATGTCCACCAACCAGATGCACGCCTTCGATGAGAACAACTGTCTACGCCGCTTCCCCACCGCCATCGATGTGCTCAACGAGTTCTATAAGCTGCGGCTTGAGTACTATGCGCGCCGTAAGGACTACTTGGTGGGAATGCTGACGGCGCAGGCCGATCGCCTCAGTGATCAGGCACGCTTTATCCTCGAGAAGTGTGAGAAGAAGCTGGTGGTGGAGAACAAGCAGCGGAAGGCTATGTGCGATGAGCTAGTGAAGCGTGGCTATCGTGCCGATCCCGTCAAGGAATGGCAGCGCCGGATAAAAATGGAAGATGCCGAACAAGACAACGAGGAGGATGACGACGAAGCGGATGCAGAGGCAGCACCCAGTGCCAGCTCGAAGGTCAAGAAGGAGAAGGAGCTAGATCCAGATAAGGCATTCAAGAAGCTGACAGATGTCAAGAAGTTCGACTATCTCTTGGGCATGTCCATGTGGATGCTGACTGAGGAGAAGAAGAACGAGCTGCTCAAACAGCGCGATTCCAAGCTCGCCGAGCTGGATAATTTGGTGAAAAAGACTCCGGAACTGCTCTGGCTGGACGATTTGGATGCCCTAGAGCAGAAACTAAACGAGGTCGAAGAGAAGGAGCGATTGGAGGAGCTCGGCATAAATTTAAAGACATCCAAAGCACTGAAGAACCAGAAGGGCACCACAACCGCCAAGGGTCGAAAGGTGAAGGGATCGGCGCCACAGGGCGGCGGGGATGTCTATCCCGATCCCGAGGGCGAGCGGGTTGAATTTAAGGTCACTGATGATCTTATAAAGAAAATGGCTCAGGCGGCCAAGATTTCAAAGGCTGGAAAGGAACCGAAGGAGATTAAGGTGAAGAAAGAGCCAAAGGGTAAGGCCGTTAAATCCGAGGCCGATGAGATGGACGATTTTGACGCTCTGGTCGAGAGTGGCACGAAGGCCTCGCCCAAGACGAAGAAGGCTGCTGCTGCTGCTGTCAAGAAGGAGCCGGCCGAGAAGAAGCCGCGCCAAAAGAAAGAGAATGGCGACGGACTGAAGCAGGGAAAACTTGACTTTAGCAAGGCCAAGGTAAGTGATATTATCCGTCTCTCTGAAGTTTCATAAAATATCTAAATTATTATTTATCTTTCAGGCAAAGAGTGTCAATATTTCTGATGATGACGATGTGGTAGAAGCTGGTTCGCGGGTAGAACGCCCGGGACGTCGGGCAGCCAGCAAGAAAATCGACTACAGCTCTCTTTTCTCCGATGAAGAGGGAGGCAGGAATGTGGGTTCCAGCGATGATGACAGCCCAGCTGATGACGATGAGGATACGCCCATCAAGCGCCCAGTCAAGCGAACTCGCGACGAAGACAGCAGCGGAGGACCCAAAAAGAAGGCGCCGCCAAAGAAGCGGCGGGCCGTCATCGAGAGTGACAATGACGATGACGAACCTATCGAACTTGATGACGATTCGGATTTCGAATGTTGAGCAACTGAATCGACATCAGCAGGGTCTCGCCTGTCTCGAACTGCTCTTCTTTTTTGCCTATAGTATTTTTATATTATATTTAGCTATGGAATCGGCAATTGGAATGGAATCGGAATTGGCGCTATTATATTCGGAGGCTTAAAACTCGCCGCAACAATTGTTTATTATTTCCTACGCACCTTAAATGTTCTCGCAGCACACACACACACACACACACACATCAATTAATGTTTATTTCTATTTCGTGTTTTAATTTTATACCTTAGGAGTAAACAACTTCGCTACATTCTTTTGCTGTAGTTGATCTCTGTATCCCAGACCAGAGCAGCGAGTTAATCCACCAACAGGAATAAATACATACATAAGCATAAAATCGATGTATCCCCCTTACCCATGTTTTATAAACATAGTTCTTAGTCCTCTCATAAACGTTTTTATGTAAATAAATTCATTTTAACCAAATCAAACGGTTTTCTCTTGTCAATCAGCGTATAAGCCAGTGGAATATACTAAGAGCTCTTATTTCTCGTGAGCTTTGAAGCTATCATTGCATTAAAGGGTTAATTATTATTATTAATATAAATATGTAGATCTAACTAAGTATGAAGACATCCTATGTTGTTTGGACAAATATTGAGCTAAGGTTAAAAATCTTCTGTTGGGTTACTGATTAATAGCACAATTTCTCTATTCTTGAAAAATAAGTAACAAAAGTTTAAAACAAGAAAGAAATCTAACAATGGTACGCCGAAGTTTGTATACCCTTGCAGATAGCAATTAGTAATTAATAATCAATACAATATAAATTATATATATTTATGTTAAAAACAACGAAGAAATGAATACTTTTATTACAGTCACCAATACATAATTTATAAAATGATATCTGAAATTCAGAAATATTATAAAAAGACTACATCTCTGGTTAGATTACATTTTTTTTAAGAACTTCGAGAAGTTATTATTTTATTCCATTAATTTCTTTTTCGTTCCTATGGCAGCTACATATATAATATAGAAGTCGGATTTACATTACATTAAACCGAAATTCCAGAATAATACAAAATGTCTATATCCCAAATAATATAAAAATATATTGAAAACTGGAAAAGTTAATTTTATAGTCGTCCGATTCGGCCCGTTCCGAATTATATGCTAGTGAATGTATATAGAAGACTAACTGCAAAATTTCATTCAGATAGTTTTTAAGCCGGGGACTTGTTTTTAAATAATCGGATGGCTAGTTCGAATCGCCTGTTGATGCTGATCATGAATACATATACTTTATAAGGTCAAAAATATCTGGATAGATAGAAAGATAAATTAATTTGTAGTATTTAGTTTTACGAATAAGGCATATTAAAAACATCCCTTAAGTCATATATTCTATAAAGAAATATAAACGATAAATTTCGTTTGCCTTTTATTTGAAAGCCCACAAGTAGATATATTACCACGCCAAAGAACTTTACATTCTATAATCTGGAACGTATAATAATAAATTAGTAATTAATCTTTTTGGTCGGGGCAATGTATCCACTATAGCTTAAACATCGATGTTCTTTAGGAACATGTTGAAGGTATTTTTTATGTTGTCGTTTGCAAACTGCGGACTTCTGAGGGCCTCGGACAATGCGTATCGGCAGCTCTTGATGTTGTAGTCCGACTTGAAGGGCTCCTCGCAGCGCAGTAGGCATAGCTGCCTGAGAACATAGTTGGTGACACGGGTCTCCTGTTTGGTCTTGATGGCGTAGTCAAAGGTTAGCTGGTACAGAGAGACGGCCAGTTCCAAGGCGGCCTTCGATGACTGTGACAGATGTGCACACTTCAGAGTGGTGAAGACGAGCAGCAGAAGATGGTTATCATCATTGAATTGCTAATTGAGATTTTTATATAAAGTTAGTTTCGGTTATCAAGCTCGAATCAAGTTTAATTACATTTAAGATTCCCTGCAGATCCTGTAACTTATTGTCAGAGTCCAAAGAGTTGAATTCGTCCAGGGAGCATGGCTTTTGGCTGAGGCAAAACTTCTCGGGGGTAATAATAGTGTTAATCGTTTTGTTGGCCACGGAAAAGGTATCGCTGGTCACCGAGTTGGTTGTTTCGTTGAAAAGCTAAAAAAAAGTTTGATGAGCAAAATCGTGACAGATTCATTCTTTGAATACATAATTGGCTTTCTAAAAGATGATTAAAATTATAAATTCAGCTCTTTCCAAAAATCGCCCGTACCTTTGTCGCGTAGGGATTGGTAGTGACATAGGCAGTCTCTTCGGCCAGATTAGCATATTCCTCGTCTTCCTCGTCGGCCTCCTCCGTGGTATCGTTAGCGTGCTCATGCTCGTCGTACTCCTCGCCCTCATCCTCATCGTACTCCTCATCATCCTGATCACCATCATCATCACCATTTTGATCTTCAGACTCATCTGCTCCATCTTCGTCCTCAGAAGCATCTTCCTCGAATGGTTGCAAGGCAGCGGCATTTTCTAGCTTGGCCATTTCAGCTTTGATCTGTTCGCAGCCCTCCTGGCCAAAGCAATTGCCATCGATGTTGAATACGCGAAGCTTTGGCTTGTTTTGCATGGCCGCCACTAGGACCAGGCCGCCATCGCTGTTTATTTCGTTGAAACTCAAATCGACCACCTCCAGTTTGTCGTTTGAGTTCTCCAAAGCCTCGCCAAAATGATAGGCGCCATTGGTACGGATCAGGCAGTCACCGAAGTTTAGTTCCCGAAGCCTGCAAAGAAATACAATCGGATGATATATGCAAACATACATTAAATATAACGTGATTGTTCGTTTTAACCGACTCGACTCACATGGGAAGGGAAGGCAGGATATCAGCTATTAGGCCGGCACCTTCGGCCCTCAGGGTATTGTCATTCATGTTCAGAACTCGGAGGTGCGGGTTCTCCTTGAAGGATTCAGCCAGCGCTTGGACACCTTCATAGTATATTGAATTCTGCATTAGCACAATCTCCTCGAATGTCTGTAGCGTCTTGAAAGCGTTGGCAAGAGCCTTAGCGCCCACATTCTCCAAACGATTGCGCCCGCCAACGAAGACGCGCAGCTGGAGTGGCGATCCCGCCTTCTTGGCGTTGGCATGCAGGTCGATGAGAGCTTTGGACAGCATGGTGCCGCCCTCGGGCCGAGTCCACAGTTGTAGAGCAGCAACTCCTGCAGGGAGTAGCAGACGGGCGAGCGCAGGAATTCCTCCAGGCCGCGCATTCCGTTTGGTCCCAGGGCATTGTCACTGAGATCGAGAACCGTCAGCTTGGCCCCAGCCGCAATTAGCCCCGCACCCAGATGCTGCAGCGCCACTGGTATCTCGGTCTTGAGGCGGCGCGTGAACAGATTCTTCCACAGCGCCTTTCGGAATTCCGGGTGGCGCTTCAACGCCTCGCCAATGGCCTGGGCAGCCTCCACGCCGAGCGTATTGCCATCGAGGTTGAGGTAGTGCACCGTCGACTGCTTGTTGAGCGAGTCCACCACTTCCTGGGCTGCTCGAGAAGAAAGTATTTCCTAAGTTAATTGTTCAAAAGGCCTGGCGGCGTCACTTCACTCACCGTCAACCGCGGTGTCCCAGGTGCGGGCCTTGTCCTGGAATGTAATGCCCTGCTCCTCGTTAAGCTGGGCCGCCATGTTGACAAAGCTGAAGTTGGCTATGGACATAGTTGTTCTGGTTCTGATTAACTTTTTATTTTACACGAACTTCTTTAAAACCGGCGTTCTGTCAGAAAAGGCGGCACAGGATTCTAAAGTGACCGTTTGATAAATGCCATCTGCCAGAACCGATAAGGACTGGTCACACTGGCAACCAGCTGATCGCGCTCATTTGGCAACACTGACTATTGCGGAAATAAATAAAAACATATAAATAAAACATAAATAAAAACATAAATAAATAACATAAAAAATTTGTACGTAAAATAACATCGATGAGTTAGTGTCGAAAAGGAACGGCGGGAAAGTGGAACACGAAGGGGATCTTTAATTTTCATTTATTTAGTAATAAAGGCACTAATTCGAATAAAAAAAATTGTTTTAATGCTAAAAAATGAATTTACTATTGTTTTTTTACTGGGTTTGAAAGTATTTGACATTTGGATATATAAAAAATAAGCATGTGAAAAATCGTGTTTTCACGGATTTCTTGTCTTTGGGCTAATAGATAAGGCGCGAAATATGAAAATGGAACCAGATGGGAACCAGCAGAGAACCACTCGCTGAACCAAGCCATGGAACCATGTTGAAAAAACTACAAAATTAAATAAAAATAGCAAATTGTTGATTAAAACATTAAGACAAGCCATTCAAATCAATTTGGTGGGATTTTCAACATCAAGTTAGGGAAAATGACCTATTTCGTTCTTTTTAGATTATTTTAGTATATACCCCAGTGGAATGTTATGCCCCTCCCCAGACAAGCAAAATCGACGCAAACTTTTACAAAAATCTTACGCCCTTAAATTAACTCGTGCAAATTTGGACGATATCTCAAACGATAGGGAAAAATATCCTATAATTTCGAATTAAAGCTCTATTAAATCTAACTCACAGTTCTTTAGAAATTAGCGTTTTCTTTTTCCGATCTCATTCACAAACACTGGCTTCATATCGATAGGGGTGCCTCACACACCCTATCGATGAATAGGCCACCAGAAAATATTCCTATTGACCATTTAGGCATTTGTACAAAATATGCATGCCCCATGAATGGAATTGACATTTCAAGCATTTTAGTAGATGTTTCATCGAAATCCGTTCAGCCGTTCAAGAGAAAACATCACTTTTCCATATATTTCCAAAAATGTTCCTTCGAAGAATAAATATATCTGGCAGCACTGTCTGCCTAAAATAAAGTTAATTTGATTTTAGCTTTAATAAAAAAATTATGCAATATGAAAATTGTTCCCTTGACGGCATCGCAATTCTGTACATTTTGATATACGTTTCATCAAAATCCGTTCAGTCGTTAATGAGAAATCCCGACTTTTTCATTTACTGCCGTAATTGTATGTACATATGTATGTACATATGTGTGTATGTTCGTCGAAAAATATTATATAAAGAATGTGATTAACTTAATGGTAGGGCGTATGTATGCAAATAGAATAAACGGCACTGTAGTTCTGAACATTTTAATCCATTATATACTAGTGAGAGTATATAGAAGACTAACTGCAAAGTTTTATTTACTTAGCTTTAAATATAAGGGTCTGCTTTGCTTATAATTGGACAGACAGAAAGATGGACATGGCTAGATAGACTCGGCTGTTGATGCTGATCAAGAATATATACATATACTTTATAGGGTCGGAAATAATTTATTCACTGCATTGCAAATTTTTGACTTGAAATCATATTACAAAGCAAGGGCATTGCAGCACTAGATTTGAGAAGCAAATTTTCGAAATAACATTTAATAGTCTGCCCAATAAATGATATCACATTCTAAGCAATTTGGTAGGTGTTTATCGAAATCCATTCAGTACTTTTGGAGAAATTAACATTTGAATTACTAATTTATATACTAAGGACGCATGACTGTGCACCCCTGGTACCCAACTGCAATAAATGAAAAAGTCGGATTTCTCATTAACGACTCAACGGATTTTGATGAAACATATATCAAAATGTTCAGAACTGCGATGCCGTCTATGGGATAATCTTCCTTTTGCATAGGTTTAACCATAAGGTTTAAATCAAGTTTTCTTGCTTTTAGGCAGGCAGGGCTGCCGGATATATTTATATTTCACCGGTACATAAATGGAAATAAATGAAAAAGTCGGGATTTTTTATGAAAGACTGAACGGATTTTGACGAAACGTGGATCAAAATGTTCATAATTGCGATCCTTTAATGGTAAGATCTTCATTTTAAATATGTTTTTTTTATAAAGTTAAAATCAAATTGACTTAATTTTAGGCAGACAGTGCTGCCAGATATATTTATTCTTCAAAGGAACATTTATGGAAATAAATGAGAAAGTGATGTTTTCTCTTGAACGGCTGAACGGATTTTGATGAAACATCTACCAAAATGCTTGGAATGTCAATTCCATTCATCGGCCACGCATATTTTATACAATTGCTTAAATGGTCAATAGGAATATTTTCTGGCGGGATATTTATCGATAGGGTGTGTGAGGCGCCCCTATCGATATGAAGCGAGTGCTTATGAATGAGATCGGAAAAAGAAAATTTTAATCGAAATTATAAAATATTATTCCCTATCGTTTGAGATAACGCGCAAGTTTGCACGCGTTCGTTTTATTCAACAATTTGATTTTTTTATTTAATTTAGTATTTTTCTTAACACGGTTCCATGGTCTGGTTCAGCGAATGGTTCTCTGATAGTTCCCATCTGGTTCCATTTTCATAGTTCGCGCCTTAGCTATCAGCCCAAATACACCACCCACTATTTTTCGATTTTCTCGAAATTTGAGGGTTAAAATCCATTGAAAATTTCACCAAATCTTCGTTAATCTTTCCCTAGTAAGCCTATATACCGTGCATATGTGCACGCATTCGTAAATCAAAGTTATAAGACTTACAATTTTGGATACCCTATATTGTATTGAGCCGACCCCAAGGTTAGATCACTGTAATGCGATTTGCTCAAAAACTGAAAGTTTGAAGAAATTGAAAAATGGTAAGGTAAAACTACAATAAATGTCCTTGATTTTGGCATATCGGGTATTGCTGCACGCGGTTGATTAGCCGAGATATTAAGAAATCCGTGAAAACACGATTTTTACATGCCTTTTTTCAATATATCAAAATGTCAAATATTTTCAAACCCAGTAAGAAACAATAGTAAATTCATTTTTTGGAACTTAAAAACTTTATTTGAATAGTGCCTTAATTACAAAATAAATGAAAAATTAAAGATCTCTTCCATGTTCCTTTTAACTACCGTTCCTTTTCAACGCTAACTCATCGACGCTAATTTGACAGACAAAAAAAAGTTATAAAACCAAGGGATTGCGATTTTATTCTAAACTTCTTTAAAACCGGCGTACTGTCAGAAAAGGCGGCAGTCAGGATTTTGTAGTGACTGTTCGATAAATTCTATCTGCCAGAACCGATAAGGACTGGTTACACTGGTCATCAGCTGATTGCGCTCGTTTGACAACACTGACAACGAAGCAATTCCAGAAAAATTGGAAAACAATGCAAAACAAGGAATTGCGGCGAAGCGACCGCTAAAAATGAGCTGCAGACTTCGCCAGTAGTGCAAACTAGATAAGGAGCCATGTTTAGGAAACTGCTCAGGATGTGGGTGCTGCTGCGTCCCACCCACTGGCTGCTCTTGATTGCCCTGTGCGTGCTCACCTGCGCTGGATACTGGTTGCTTTGGTCGGAAGTTCGCTTCGAACACGGTAAGTGCCCGGTGCTGTTTTGGTGAGATGTCTCAATGCCTAATCTTTCGTTCGAAAGCAGCCTTTAAGCCACTGTCCAAGCTAACCGCCAGTGGCAGCACCCTGGGAGATGGACATGCTTCGCCCGCAGACGACTTTGACTACGATGCGGATCTAGTGGTGCTGTATAACCGCGTGCCAAAGACAGGGTCCACCAGCTTCGTGAACATTGCCTACGACCTGTGCAAGCTAAACAAATTCCACGTCCTGCACATCAATGTAACTGCCAACATGCACGTCCTGTCGCTGCCAAACCAGATACAGTTCGTGCGCAACGTGTCCCGGTGGCACGAGATGAGACCAGCCCTCTTTCATGGCCACATGGCGTTCTTGGACTTCTCCAAGTAAGAAACCGGTAGCGCCAACACTTGTTAATGCCAGTTCTAAGGCAAGCTCACTCGTTGTAGGTTCCAAATCGCCCAGAAACCCATCTACATAAACTTAGTGCGTAAGCCCCTGGACAGACTTGTCTCCTACTATTACTTCCTTCGCTTCGGCGACAACTACAGACCGAATTTAGTGCGCAAGAAGGCGGGCAATAAAATAGTAAGTGTTATCCCGAAATTCTTCAAGGGAATGCTAATGTCTTTTCACAGACCTTCGACGAGTGCGTGGTGCAGAAACAACCAGACTGTGATCCCAAGAACATGTGGCTGCAAATCCCTTTCTTTTGCGGCCATGCAGCCGAGTGCTGGGAGCCCGGCAGCACTTGGGCCCTGGAGCAGGCTAAGCACAATCTGGTCAACGAGTACTTTCTAGTCGGCGTCACCGAGCAAATGTACGAATTTGTCGATCTCCTAGAGAGGTCACTTCCAAGGTAAGAGCCAGAATTGTTTTGCTCTAAAGATTAATACATAGCCTATTTATTATTCCCAATTATTTTAATTCGAAGCAACATGTCACCTTATCTATTTATATTTTTAGAATTTTCCATGGCTTTCGCGAGCACTATCAAAACTCAAATAAATCTCATCTCCGAGTTACCTCATCCAAGCTGCCACCGAGCGAGCTCACAATTCAAGCAATTCAAAAGACAAAAATCTGGCAAATGGAAAACGATCTCTACGAGTTTGCACTCGCCCAGTTCGAGTTTAACAAGAAGAAGCTAATGCAGCCGGACAACAAGCACCTGCAGAGGTTCATGTACGAAAAGATACGGCCAAAATGATTGCAGAGGCGTCGCCGTCGGAGCCGCGGACCCAGACTCAGGTCCCTGACTCGTGTGTAGTGAACAGGCTCTTATGTTTGTATTGTAAATACGCGCAATTCCCCCTGAGATTTGATCCTGTACTTAAAGGGCAACCTTAACTCTTAAGCGACACTAAAGACTTTAGCAGTGAATATCGTTGGCATATTTAATAATCGAACCTTTGGTACATACATACGTAGTGTAAAACCGGAGAACACGCTTCTCTATTTGAATGTAAGTAAGCAATATCTAGCAACAATTGTCTGCACAATATCTCTTGGTTTAGTCAAATGTACGTTTTATACTCGACAATACAGATAATGAATACGGAGTAATTCGATGTATGCATAAGTTTATTCACACAGATAGTTGACATAGACCTAAGACCACACTCAATAATTGTAACTGTCATAATAGGGTAGGCTTAGAACGATCAAATGAATTTGACATTCAAATTAAATGCATGTAAATAGTGGATAATTGATTGTCTATTTCGAATCAACAGCTGTCGCTGGGATTGCGTGTTCGCAAATTGATTAATTCGATCCACAGACCCGACTTTTTACTTTCAGCGTGCTGTACTTTGACTAAGCAGCTGAATGCAGTAATCGGGACGGACTTTAGAGGCTGACGTAGCTTCTCCATGGGCGAAGGTAACTGAATGATCGTCAGACGTTTCGACACGAAGAATGGGCGCAAGCAAGTGCAAGAAAATGAAATTGAAATACATTTGGAAACGGCGGTAAGCAGCGAAATACTTAATTAATTGCTCGCGCTTGAAACTAAAAGCAAATGAGTTTCCATTATCCATCGCCCCGTCAGTTGATCACTTGATCGTGGATCGCGGACACGCAAGTCGAACGTAAAGCTACTTACTGCCAGAAAATCGTGTGATAACCGCATTATTAACTATCCGGATTGCTCTAAGTTGTGTGTATAAAGAACGTTTTAGCAGGATGCCTGGGTCCAAGTCCTGCCTTGATTTTTTTTGCTGACGGAGAGATTTATAACAAGTTTTTTACTCAGTCACACACAGGTGATTAGACTCTAAACTAGTTGTGTGTCGGGAGCGTTCAAAAGTTCAAGTTTAATTACGACCAAGTCGGCGTTTACTTATGTAAAAAGTATCCAACAGAAGATTATTCGCGGTACACTGGACGGAATTGTGAATAATTGTATTAAGTTTTAAAATTACAGTCTTCAGTGCTACTTGGGTGGAATTTCTTTTATTAAAAAATAATATTTGTGTGTCGAAAACTGAATTAATTTCTTCAGTTTCAGAGTAAAAGTGGAATATTTAATATTTAGTGATCAATTAAAAATACCCCAGTGCTTTTAGTTTCGGGTTATTTCTCTTGAGAAAATTAAACATTTTTAAAAATTCAAATAATTAAAAATTTCTTATAAAGAACTGAACATCATGTAATTTAAAATTTGAAGCTCGAGTAAAGGTAACTTTGAAGTTGAGAATCGTGCTTCAGTGTACTTAATCTAATAACACATTTAATAATGTTAATTGCTATACACTGATGATTAACTAGGCTACACTGTAAGAAATTTCCGACGTCGCCTAACCTGTTAACGAAAATAGTGAGAGAAGCATAAATTTTATGCTGAATACACAATTCCTTGGCTTATGTTTTAAAGAAGCCACGAATCGAAAGATCCCACCGTCAATTCGCAACGTGCTCTTTAACGCTCTTTGACCAGTCTGTGCTGTGGTCGGTTATAATGACCTATTAAATCGCGCTGACCTTATATACACTATAACTTTCTTATATATATGGACTCTCTGTACATAAAAGGGGCGGGTATAAAACGATTTGACGCGCAGCTTTATATTTCCAGTCTAAACAATTGCTCCAAACTCGTCGGATCGGAGTCGAAAGGAAGCTGTTAAGGGAATTCTAAAAAATCTACGACAATTTTGGACTAGCTGAACCCACATTAACCTAAGGTGAGTTTTAATTTAAGCAAATGCGGCTAAAGCTTAGTTAAGCAGACGCAACTAAATTTAAAGTGTAATAAAAATAAATTTAAAATAGAATGCAGTTCTGGCCCTAAGCTTAGATTTTTTCCTGGAAATACGTGTATTACTCCCTCTTAAAACTTGAAGTAGCAAAAATAATTGAAATTATTATCAGAATTTTAACTTATTTAGTTTTGCAAATGTTCACTATCTAAGTAAACCACAATTCTATAATGAATTACTAATCACTTTGTGCAATTAAGTAATTAAACAAGATTTCTGAGGCATTGCTTTAATGTCTTATGTACAGACATCGGGTAAGCTGTTAATTGGCATTTTAACCTGTTTCGACTTATTGCTAAAGCTAAGACACAAAGTCTTAAAAACATGGTATTTTCAAGATATAGTATGCAAAATAATGAAATAATTCAATTAGAAATGAAAGCTCTGATGAAAATAATAATGACATGATCTAAAAGGTATAAATACTATACATATGTATTTTTTAAAGAAAACCTTGAGAGTATTATTTCACTTTGACTTGTAAATGTACCTAAAACAAAGCTCATCACTGTCCAAGTTTCTTTTTTGGTGTGCCTTTTCCTCATTATTTTTGCGTGCTTTGCTCGATTTGGTCGATCGATCGAGAATTCGATGTAAAGTTCAGTAACTTGCCGACATTGACCCATTTACCGTGTGCGGGATCCGATGCTCCCGGCGTAATCGAAGCAGTGTTCAGAAAATATCATTAGATTTGCATTGCCATTTGCATATATGCAGTACTTGTCGCTTTCGCGGACCGTGTAGTATCGGGTTTCCATTTATATCGCCATCGTGACTATGTTGACCGCCGCCGCTGCTGCCATGCCCTGTCTGCCAAAGCAGCCGGGCATTTCATCCTCCTCCGTTCCACCGAACCGATGCCATGTGGATGAGAACAAGCAAATAGTTGTTGGAGTGATAATTTATATACTCCTTTTATTGTATTGTATTGTATTGTTTAATTCAAGTCAGAAATTTCAAACATATTTATATATGTATGTTCTTACTTAGCGTTAACTGCCGAGGCGATCTAGCCATTTGCGTTCGTCAGATTCTACTTGCTTTTGCAAAAGAAAAATTTTAATTTTCTTAAATTTTAAATTGGGTATGCAGATTTTTTAAACTTATAAAAACAAACACAGAAAATCTTACCGAAAAAAATTAATACTTTTTTGGCTTAGTTATCAGTTTTTAAAACTTTTTAGAATACGAATATTTTTAAGTAAGTACTTAAGTACTGCGAATATCGATTTCCGATTCGATCCAATAATTTAATTTCAAATTGCAAGGGTATTTAAATCCGGCTTACCGAAGCTGAATTCATTTCTTGTTTAATAAGATTTTAAACTTAATGTTGTAAATTTTATAGAATCGGACGACTATATTGTAGTCCTTTTTTTCTAAGATATCTTCTGATTTTAAAGTATTATTAAACCCAAGGCATCCAACAATCCCTGATACTGTAAAAAACTAATTATTGTTAATTGTTTTATAAACCTGTTTTTTTTTATTGGAAAGTCACAAGTCAAGTTGAATACTGAAGCAAATCGATCAATGCCTGAGCAATAATTTTAAGTGATTAAAGTCATATTATCATAATTCCCCTCTCAAGTTACACCTTTTAGAGATATTTATTTAACATGTTGTAAGTTTCTTATTTTATATTTACAACTATGTTTCTTGTACTTTTTATTACCGCACAAAGTAAGGTCAAAGCACTTTATACATTGGGATCGCCCTTGCCATTGTCGCCAGCTTTTCAAAATCCAGTTTCTCATGTAGGTTTTTTCTGTTTCGCAAAAATCGAAGGGCGTTACTTGACATTGCAATGGGTTTTAACCCCAGAATGACTAGCATAATGCAGGCTTTCCCTTTTGGAAATAATGGGGTTTTCCCTACAACCAAAAAAAAGGGCTACTCGCAGAGGTTTCGTAGACCGCAGCTTTTGTGTGCGTTCGCTTCAAGTTTGTTATTAATATTAGACCACACTCACAGGCACCCAAATCTGGCCAAAATGAAAACGAGAGTATAACGAAGCGTAAAACCATGAATGGCCCGAAGTCTGTGCACGTGCGATCGTGCGATTGAACCGATTTGTCCAAAACCGGACGCCAAAACACAACACAATACACAACACACAGGGTGCTGAGCTTTGGGACGTGTTAATTGTACCAAATATTCGATGTTTATAGACGGGGCTACAATAATACAACTTGATTTTAAGTGTGGTTGTTAAGGTGTTAAAAACTGGGAATAAGATTATCGCATATAGAATTTCTAATTGTTTATAGTTTAAAATAAAATAAACCAAAATAATTGAATACTAAGAGTTCTCTAGGGACAGAAGTCTTTCTAAATATATCGAGATATGACTATTTCTTTCCCTAATATCAAAGTTTGTTTGTTTTTAAAGTTATTTTAAAAGTAATTATACGTTATTTAGTGTTTTCTGTACAAGTCGGGATTTAATTCGACTTAAGCCAATCCTGTACCTGTTCAGAATTATAAACTACATTCCGACAGTCTCTTCCAAAAACTACATATCAAAATCCCTTTCACTGACATCACTATTGACTTGACCCCAGGTGTATGTTTGCCAAACAGGTGTAAGCACTAATTGGCGTAGAGCGTGGAGCGGGGCAGCATTGAAACCGGATGGCACAGAGCACGGAGTTTCAGGGTCGTTGTAGGAAATGCCTAAGCCAAGGGATTTTCAAGCGCCCTCCGATCTGGGCAATTACACTCAAAGAAAACCCGAATAAATTAGCTAAAGGTAGGTGAGAAAACTTTGGAGTTGAAAGCGAAACTGAAACCGGCTTTATGTGGCATAATTTCCCAATGATGATGCACTCGCTCTCGGTTTCTTGCCCCTCTCTCTCCGATATAATATCATGAATGTCATGCTCAAGTTCAGATTTCTTTAGAGTTGTGAACTTTTAACATGAATCTTATAATATAATATAAATAAACTATATATATTTTGTATTCAATTGAAGAGATATTATTTATTTAAATGATATTATAGTATTGTTTTTTCTTTAAAGCTAAATATTTGATTATTTCTATCATATCAAATAATAAGGTTTAGTTTTATAATTCTGTAGGAATTCTACATGATCAAATTAAAGATGAAAGTGTCTATATGTTAGTTAGTTTACTTTAAATCCATTAAAAAAATAGAAGTTAAGATCCAAAAGACTAATCTAATAGATACGTATGTTTGTCTTGTCTTGATTGTCTTTAAAACTTGTGCTCTTTTTCACTTACCAACTAAATATTTAAGCCAAGTGTGGGGGAAAAAGCGCTGTTTTGGCAACACTGCGCTTTAAGCGCGTCTCCGTCGCCCACTCTCTGTTGACGCTCTCTTGCCAAATCCAGTTTTGATTCTTGGCCTGGCATAAAATCTCCCCAGCGCGCTCTTGGCCGCAACAGTTTCATCTGAGCTTTTGGCTCTGTTGCACGCGTCTCCCTGCTGCTTCTTAACCGTCTCCGGCAGTCTTGGCCCTCGCGGATTACTGTTAGCCAAAATCCAAAACAAGTTTGTGCGGTGCCCTCCTTGTGTAGTACTTCGATTAGATTTCGTATTTTCCCAGCCATCAGCAGCTCGGTCAAAAACATTAACAATTCAAAGGTGTCATAGGGTGTGTGTGTCATTTATGAATGCGAAAATATGCGAGATCTTTAGCATATCATCTGGCCGATCTTATCGAAAATGGTAGAAATTTTCAATGCCATGTTTTTAATGTTAATTTCCAAATCTTTTGTTTTTTTGGGATCATTGCGACTGCGCAACAAGATGGAAACATTTACGGCGCTAATTTTTTGAGTTCATCAAGCAGTCAGATTTTACTCAATTGTATTGAAGTTAACTAAAGCTCACAGAAAATGTTGTTAGTTTTGAAATTCGAAACTAGTTCAGCTACATTTTCGTTCAAGTAGAACGTGTCAAGAGTCTGGAGAATCTAGCTCAAGGTTTCCTTTTCCTTCCCCCCTTTTTATCACCTGAGATGACAGCTCAATAGCATCTCTTCTCTGCAAGAATTGCATTAGTCGCGATCCGTTGTCTTTGATGGTCAGCGATTTTGCGATGCTGCAAAATCTTTAATTTCGCCTTCCGCTATAAGTTGCGAATGTCAAGGTGAAGGTTGGCCAGGTGATAAATAAAGTGATCGAAACTTAATGGGTGCGAGTCTGTCGTCTGTCTCATTAATAACTTGAAATTTTCCACCCATTTACCTTTGAATAGAGTGCTCTATAGGCTGAGATCGCAAATATTATACAAAACAAATTGAAACTTACACCAGAATAATTTTAGTTCGAGGAGCAGTCAGTCAGCAACAATTGCAAAATGAGTAAGTAATTGTGAAGTGCAGTAACTGAGGTTACTTAGTTCCAAGTGCATCTAGTGAACAAAAAAAACCCGCATCTCGCGAGCTCAAAGTACAGAAGCTACCTATCGCTAATTGAATATTAATGACTGCCCTTTCAGGAGTTCCCACCATGTTGTCGGACTTAGATCAGCTGCCCACACTCCAGGTGGGGGACTACACGCTCCAGTTCGACCTTCAGGAACCTTCCGCCCAGGGCAAGGAGGTGGCCATCAAGGAGCTTCGGGAAACGCCAGAGCGCCAAAAGGAGGCCATCAAGGAGCTGGCTCGGCTCTTAGAGGGTAAGAGATGATCTTTAGGTATTAATGGGATATATAAGTGTTGTATAACATTAATGATAAAGATACTTAATTACAAAATTATCATTTAAAGTTTATTAGTTTCCGGCTATGAATTTGATCTTTTAGTTTAAAAAGTTGCAATATTTCTGTAATTTCCCGGTTTTAATATTTTAATCACTTGTGACCTTTCAAGATTAAGTTATTATCTGTGACGGAGGCAATCAGTATATAATTATACCATATACTAAAAGTGCAATCGTTTTCAATGACACTTTAAACTTATAGTTTACCATAATAATAATAGTTTCTACTTTTAATCTAAAAATAATTGAATTTAATTTTATATAGTTTAAGGAATTTTAAAGCTAATCCATAATCATTCTATTTCTGGATTATAAAAAGTACTTTTGACTAGAACTTTATTAGCTCAAAGTAGTTTGCTTTGAAGATAACTCGTTATGAAATATAACTTTCTACATCTTAAACTTAAAGTGGTCATTAAATATAGAAAATCGATTTGAAGACTTTAAACTATAAACTATAATTTCATACTACTGCATAAACATTTCGTGTCATTAATGATAGAGTAAAGCTTAAAGCGAGACGCCCTCGATGGGAGTTATTGTGCAATTGTACTCTGTAACTAAATCAATTTCCTTTATAATTGCATCTAAATGATAATTACTTAAACTTAGTGTTTTAATTACTAATAATGGTATATGTGTAATTTGGTATTTCTATTTTTAGCGGAAACCGATTTACTGTATCCCAAGGACAACGACGAGTGGCTGATCCGATACCTGCGCCCCTGCAAGTATTATCCAGAAAGTGCCCGCGACTTGGTATGTTTTAATTTAAATTATTGATAGTTCATAACAGATATTGACATTAAATCTTACTTTGAATTAGATCAAGCGATACTACGCCTTCAAGGTGAAGCATTCGGATGTGTACAACAACCTCAAGCCGTCCAGAGAGTCCAACATTTTTAAGCACAATATACTCACCGTCTTTCCCAATAGAGATCAGTGTGGGCGACGTATTTTGGTTCTTGAATTGGGCAGTAAGTGCAAATAACCAAAAAGGAATTTTATATTAAATCATGCATTTATGAGAGCTTAACAGTTGAAAGATAGAATCATCGAGTGACTAAGTCGATTAAGCATTTAGAGGCACTTAAAAACGAGCATTGACTAATTTTAAACATTGATTTCAGAGCGCTGGAAGCACAAGCAAGTCACCTTGGATGAGGTCTTTAAGGGCGCTGTGATTTCCTGGAGGCGGCCATGCTGGAACCGGAAACACAGATTTGCGGTGCAGTGGTTATCTTCGACATGGATGGCCTTAGCTTGCAGCAGACCTGGCAATTTACACCGCCATTTGCTAAGAGGATTGTGGACTGGCTGCAGGACTCTGTACCACTTAGGATTAAGGCCATTCACATTGTGAACCAGCCGAAGATCTTCAATGTGGTATTTGCTCTGTTCAAGCCATTCCTCAGGGAGAAGCTGCGCTCCAGGATCATCTTCCATGGCACAGATCGCGAGTCCCTGCACAAGTATATGTCGCCCAAGTGCCTGCCCACCGCCTACGGCGGTATCCTTGAGTCCAGCCGGATTGACAGTGATCAATGGTACCAGCTGCTCCTCAAGTGCGATTCCGAATTCGATGCCATCAATTCGTACGGCTACAAGAAGAAGTGATCAACTGTCTGTATCCGCTCTAAACATTGTGTAGATTCCGCCGGAAGCAAGTGATAATCAGCTACCCAATAGTTTTTTATAACTCACATTATAGTTAAGCACTCGATCTGTTATACGCTTGTCCTGTTAGTGAATAGCGCCTAGAGTTTGCCTTAGTCTTAATCAGGGTCGATGCTTCGATCGAATCCAGCAAAAGTGTTATACCCACATATTATATTTAGTTCCGGGGTAAGCGTATTTATATCATGTTACTATTGTACATTTTAAACCAAATTTGTTGAAATATAACCTCACGTTTGTGCAGAAAAATGGTCTCTCAATGTGCTTAATGTTTCAAGAACAAGCTAATTTTAAAAGGGTTTAAAATTGTTCAAAATTATAAAAAGTATACATTTCAAATTTAAGACACTTGTTGGCAAAAAGTCATAATGTCAATGTGACTGTAAGATGAGATGCCCGAACTTCAAACATGGTTTATTTTCCAAATTTACATCAATTTATTATAAATATTCATAAAATAATTCATTTATAAACAGTGGGGTAAGTAGCAGTCAAAATATGTCGTTTTTTTTAATAACATTGGTGATGTTTGAGTTAAATTGTACGTACTGAGTGTTTTATTGTTTTCATATACTGAAACAATATTTGGTCTTAGTTCCTAAGGCACATCGAAAGGCTAACATTTTTACAATCAAAGCATTTTTAGTGTTCATTGAAAGTAACCCGAGTGTGATTTAGCGTATTCTGTATATTATTTAAGGAAAAAATTCATTTATTTCCATTGTTTAAGACACTTGTTTAAACTGTTTTACAGTACAAGAGTCTATATATTTCGTTTTTACAATCAAAGCATTTTAAGTATTCATTAAAAGTAACCCGAGTGTGATTTAGCGTATTTTGTATATTATTTAAGGAAAAAATTCATTTATTTCCATTGTTTAAGACACTTGTTTTAACTGTTTTACAGTACAAGAGTCTAAATATTTCGTTTTGTATTATTTGAAAAGCGTTTTCATATTATTTGGTTCATTCAACTTGTTGAATATAATCTTAAATCAATTCATAAATTAAAATTTATATAAATTTAAAGACAAAACTGGTTTCTGTCCTAATATTCGCTGTTATATTAGAATATATTCGTTTGCTAGTTACTTCAAAAAGTAAATCATAGAAAACATTCTTTAGAATATGTATGTATGTACCATTAATTTATCGTTTGTTAACTTTTTTTGGTCTGTCTCTTTTCCTGCTTAGAATGGAATGCACTTGCTGGGAGTAGGGTCAAGGTCAGGACCTCGATAAGTGGTTAAATTAAGCGTAGATTCCCTAACAACTGAAAGTCTGTCTGCTCACAGTCGATAATTGGTGGCTGGCGCCTTTGCTGCATTGCGCTTTTTACCCGGACTCCGCATGGCGGCATCGCTGTCATTATCCCCATCCCCATCCTGACCACCACCGCCACCCGTGCAACAGATGCGCCGCTGTACCAGACGAATGGGGCGGGTGAGGTCAATAGTGTCGCCATGCTGTCGCAGCTCCGCCTCCGCCACGCACTCCATGTGCCGCCATTGGCGGAGGCCCAGGATGAAGGCATCCGTGACATTGGTGGCCGCCTTCGAGGACGTTTCGATGTGGGAGGCAATCTTCTGGTCGGCGCACCATTGCTGCACGCGGTCGTAGCTCACCTGGCGCTTCTGCTGTGGTAAGTCGTTCTGAAAACAGAAGAAGCGAATTTGTGATATCAGTTATCAATCATTAAGGGTTTACAGTGTACTCCACATGTTTGATAATGAATATTTACAAAAGAACATTATTAATTTAGTGAAATACAATACTTATCTTACCTTATTGCCCACCACAATGAAGGGAAATTTTTCGGCATCCACATCCGCATAGTTAAGGAATTCATTCCTCCATAGATTCAATCCATTCAAGCTGTCCCGATCATCGAGAGCATAGCACAGCAGGCAAATGTCTGATCCCCTGTAGAAAGGTGTTCGCAGCGCCCGGAAACGCTCCTGACCAGCGGTATCCCATATCTAGTTTCCAGAGAAGAACCAAACAGATGCAGCAATTAATTTTTATTGAATTGACTTGATTCAATTAAAGCTTTATTAGAATAGAATATACAGGAGCTGAACTGGGCAATTCAAATGCTTTTGAGAGTGGCAACCAGAGCATATATCCAAAATTATAGCACCTACCCAGCTGACTCACTTACATCAACACCTTTACACTCGTGTTTGTGGGACAGGTAAATATTTGGTTCTAGAGGTAGTCAGTGCTTAAAACTGATAACAAAGTTGGCAGTGATAAACAAATAAGCCAAACAAGAGACCTCTAAAAAAAGGGCATTCCACCATAATAAAAACAAAGTGCAAACATTATATCTAAGACTTGGATTCTAAGTAATTAAAGAGGTAGCTGAATCTTGATAGTATTTAACAATCAAGGTTTGTCATTAAACTTTTCCTAATTGAAAGGGAAAATCATTACTGTCACAAAAAGTATTTTAAAGAGGCATATAAATATTCATATAAACATACATACATATATACCATATATACTTTCAAAGAGAAAGTGTTTGGTTTTAAATAATCAATAACTGTTGGGTACTCTAATCAATAATAACATTTCTTATTTCTAGTAAAGCTTAAGACTGTGTCACACTCTAAGCAATATATGAACATACATAAATGTACAATAAATATGGTAATCAAAATATCTGCGAATTACTAATCTTATTTAATGTATGGTCTTGTATCAAACTACTCCAGTTAATTATTTTAGTTTCTGTGTTTAATGAATTTATTGGATTTATGCCCACTCTGCTCATATATAAATGTCACCTGAAGGCCATATAATTTAATTAAGAAGAAAATTTAATTAAAATAGACTCTATAAATACGTTTGCTACAGATCGAAATCGAGAAGAATGCATATATGATATAATTATTTAAATATATGGGGCTTCCCATAGTAACCAGTAATGTTTATTATTGGCTTGGTAGTTCCCTGCTTTTTAAGTTCTTCTCCAGCCTAACGAACCTCTATGAGATTAGGGGAAATGACCACCTTTTTAAATAGATAATTCGGTGTATATTTTCACAAAAAATGTTAAATTCCCCGGGGATTAGTCACCTAACAAGATGAATTCCTGCACTTTCTAGAACTTGGAGCATCGGCTGCTGTTGGTTCAATTAGAATCATTATTCCGAGTCGCCGCCTCCTCGATTGCACTCACTTTGCTTACTCACTGAGACGCTACATATTCATGAGCCCGTCGTCAATAATCCGAGCTTGGCGAACTGTGAACAATATTTTGTTTTGGTTTCGATAATTTAGAAGACAGGCGACACAAGCATAAATGAAAAACAATTACGAAACACACACGGGATTGAGAACAGAAAATGTGGCGGCGAATGAAACAAAGTTCTTTTCGCCACAACTATCAACCGACCGACCGACCGGGTAGAGAAACTATCATTATTGTTATTATTTCAGTTTTTTTTTGTTTTTTGCAATGCCAAGCTGTACGTTAATTGAGTAGAAATTTGTTGTCTGTCTGTGAGTGAGTGTGAGTGGGTATGGGGGCAGATGGAAGAGATACCGAACATATAATAATAGTACAGTGGTATCGCAGAAATAAGATCTCTCTTAATTTATTAAATTTTTGAAACCAAAGTTTAGAATATCTCACAAAGATTGGTAAACTATAATGAGTGTTTTAATATAAGATATTAAAATGAAGGCCTTTCGAAAGCTATATAATAAAGTTAGTTTCCTTTCTTGTTTTATATAAATCTTGTACATTTATTTTGTTTTGATCGCTATTGGTGTTTTGTAAAACGCTTTTCAAGTTACTTTTAGCTTGATTTTGATCTTGATTTTAGTTGATTTTTATCTCCGATTGACCACTGTACTGTCCGATGATAGGGAAAGAAAAACAAAGCTAGATCGTTGTTCACTTTTTAAGTATTTACATTGACAAAATGCCGGTCGGTGCATTCTGATGATTTTGCAATAAAACTGGAGGGGAAGAGGATCAGACAGTTGGAGGAGTAGAAGGAATCACGCTTGGCTAGTCGTTAGTCTTGCCCAACTGTTGCAGGTTTGCAGGCTTTTCAAAAGTTTCCTAAACCTGAAGGTCTTTTGATTTTGTAATATTTATTATTTCTTTATAGTTTTAAATAAAGCTCAAATAAGAACCACCACCGACCTGTAGTGTGTATCGCTCGCCATCGACAACTATGTCCTTGTTCATGAACTCAACGCCGATGGTGTGGAAATTGTTCTCCTCGTAGCGGTTCGAAACGAAGCGGGTGAGAAGGGCGGATTTTCCGACGCCCCCATCGCCCAGTATGACGACCTTCAGCAACTTGGATTTCTGCGGGCGCATATTTGTCATGTTGCTTGGTGTTTTGTTTACTCTTCCAGTTAAGACGGATGGCGAACGATGTGGTGTGTGTATTTCTTTAGTTGTCTCCAAACTGCGCAGCTGAAAATTGCTTAAGCACTTCCCCGGCCTTTGATTAGCTTTAATTTCACCCACGACTCAACAATGATCGATTACTGGCGATTTTATAATTACAATCGCGGTGCACTTTACACAAAAACCGCATTTAATTGAACGAATTTGAATGCAAAATATGGGCTCAACCGAAATCCGCGCCGGGGAGCAAGTCCAATTGGATGGGCTGTCAGCTGACAACTAACAGAAAGCTTTTTAATGGATAGTGCTGCCAACCTGTGGTTTGGAAAAAGCTAAAGTGATAGATGCTTTATTATACCTTTGCAGGGTATTATAATTCAGTCAGAAGTTTTCAAAGCAGTAAAGGATTCATTTCCAACTATATAAAGTATATATATTATAGATTAGCAATTTGCAAAAAAAATTATAACTTTTACAGCTTTTAAAATTTTTTTTTATCTAATTTGATTCAAAGCTATCTTATATATCGTTTTTAATTTTATAAAAATTTGAATACTATATTATATAACTGCCAGAGAGTAATAAGTATCTTTCAACAGTAACTTACTTAATTACCTATGGCCAGTAAAAAACTATGATCAGTAAGTATCAAAAAACATAAAGTAACTATGATCAGCAATTACCTATGATCTTTAAGTATCTACGACCAGTAAGTAACTATGATCAGTAACTATCACTAAATATTAAGTAACATGATCAGTAAGTATCAATGAACATTAAGTAACTATGATCAGTAATTAACTCTGAACAGTGAGTATTTATGACCAGCAACTAACTATGATCAGAAAGTATCTATGATCACTAAGTATGTATAATAAGTTACTAATTTTGAACACTAATAAACAATGACTTGCAACTTTTGTAACACAACACATTTCTGAGACTTGGCCGACAGAAGTCACTTCGTTCCGGGGATGTTAGAACCAGTTGAGAATCATATGTACAGATGTGCGAGATTTGTTTTGAAACAAATTTAAGCTATTTGAATGAAACTATGCAGTTATTCTTCTATATAATTTTACTAGCATATAAATCGGAGCATGGCGAATCGGTGGACTATATATACATATATATAGCTGCCATAGGAACGATCGGAAAATGTTAATAATAAACCATTAAAAAAATAAAAAAATCAATACCTAATTTCAAAATATAACCAATATGGTCATTAAAAATATTTTTAAAACATACAGTGGTCTCAAGATTCAAAAAAATTATATTCAAAATATATTCTCTAGGAATATTTATGTTAACATACAAATCTTTATTTATATTTAATTCCGTTAAATAAATTAAGATTTAATCAGCCTGTAGAAGTATCTATCAACCCTTTATAACCGCAATTGGTCGCAATTTAATGCACTTTTGCTTATGCCCGCCGCATGACAGGTGTCGACCACATCGGTGACATCCTTATACGACTCTGGAGCCTCCTCCATGACCAGCTTGGGCGAAGCTACTCGAATGGCGATACCGATCTGATCTAGCTTTTCCAGCACTTCCTTATAATCGATATTACGGCGAGATTTTGCACGGGAAAGGGCGCGACCCTGGAAACAAAAAGCAATTACTAAGTTATAGATATTAAAACAAATTATAACAAGTCGCAAATAAAAATTGATTCAATTTAATTACTTAAATACGAAATAATCTTACTTTACAGATAAGCATTTTAATAGGAAATAAAGAGTGACTCACCGCTCCGTGGCAAGTGCTGCCGAAGGTCTCCTTCATGCCCTGCTCTGTTCCAGTCAAAACGTAGCTGCAGGTGCCCATGGTTCCACCCACCAGGACGGGTTGTCCAGTGAGCTGATAGTCCACAGGGATGAGAGGGTGATGCGGAGGGAAGGCTCGCGTAGAGCCCTTTCGGTGAACGAGCAGTTTTCGCTCCTTGCCATCGACCATGTGGTTCTCCACCTTGGCAATGTTGTGCGAGACATCGTAGATGACATGCATGTCAAGATCATCCGGTGTGGTGTTGAACATCTTGGCGAAGGCCTGACGCGTAAGGAAGGTCATCGAGCTGCGGTTAACCCAAGCAAAGTTGGCCGCCGCCGCCATGGCCTTGAGGTAATCCTGTCCCTCTACCGAGTTAATCCTAGCGCAGGCCAGCTGCCGGTCATTGGTCTCGATCTTGTCTCGCTTCATGGCCTTTTCCATCTGCACCAGAGCGTCGGTGGCCACTTGGTGACCAAAGCCACGGCTTCCGGAGTGAATCATAACCACCACTTGGCCCTTCTCCTCGATGCCCATCTTTGAGGCGCTCCATTTGTCGTAGATCTCGTCCACTACCTGGATTTCGGCGTAGTGGTTACCAGCACCCAGAGTTCCTAGCTGGGGCAGACCACGCTTCTTGGCTCGCATGCTCACCTTGGCGGGATCGGCATTAAGCATTCGACCGTACTCCTCGCAATGCTCTTTGTCCTCGGCCCAGACGTAGCCCTCCCGCAGAGACCAATCCATGCCCATTTCGAGGGCCTCCTCCAGGTCGCGGGCGTTCATCGGTATGATGCCCTTGGAGCCTACGCCCACGGGTATGTGATCGAACAGGGACTGGGCTAGCTGCTCCTTCACCGGTTGCACGTCCTTCTCGTACAGATTTGTGCGCAGCAGGCGGACGCCGCAGTTAATGTCGAATCCAACGCCTCCGGGACTCACCACAGACAAGGGGTCATCCATGTCGAAGGCAGCCATGTTTCCAATGGCAAATCCATAGCCGGAGTGGATGTCGGGCAGCCCAATTGAACGACCCACGATACCGGGTAGTGCTGCCACATTAGCGATCTGTTTTACTCCAGGCAGGAAGCCTCCTACAGCTCCCGGACGACAGGAGTTCTTCAGCTCCTCCAGCATCAGACGCTCCAGGCGACTGTTCACGTAGAAACATCCCTCCACGTTCATGTTGGGCTGGAATCCCTTCTTGATCCGCCAGCAGTGGTCGCTCACCTTCTCCAGGTACTTGAGCTCATCGTTGTACGAGCGCACGACCATCGTGAGGAGTTTAGGAGTTCACTTTTCTTGCTTCTTTGTCACGAAATGCTATTTATTGGCTTGCTATTTCATCAGCTTTTGCATTTGCCCATATGTTTTTTTACATTTTACTTGGCAATTAGAGATGTGGCCGGCCGGCAAACTTCGATAAATTTGAAACTATCGTGATAGTTGCAATCGTTTTGGCGCCTTCCATATCTTGTCAAGCGATGCACTTTTAAAATTGAAGTTTTATTAAATTAAATTAGTTAAATTGGTTATCAATTAAATTATCTTTCAATGATTTCCTAAATTTATAATAAAATACGATTTTTTATAAAAATACAGAGGGTCACAGAAACGCTTTATTAAAATAATTTGGTTATAAAAAAGTTTTATATATCTACAATTAAAAAATGTCAAAATAAATCAATTTATTTCTCAAGGACTCTTAAAATACTCATGATAGTATTTATAATACTTTTGCAGGTAACCAGGAGGTCCGTATATTTTAAATTCGCTATTAATCAGATCACTTATAAGAAGGCTCAGATTTGGGCACTGCTGGGCGAGATCCTCGGCGGAGAACGGCAATGGGCCAAGGATTGTGATGTGGATGAGTCTCAGGGATGGCAACCTATTGAGTATACTAGGCTGCAGGTAAGAGTCTCCAGTCTGATTGTTAACATGGAGCAGAGCGAGGGCCTTTAACTTATCGGCCGATTCCAAGAGCTGTGCTATCTGGTAGTCCCGCACATCACAGTGACGCATGTCCAAGAAGAACAGCGAAGGAACCACAGCTTGAACGGTCGCCAATATTTCGGGTGACCACTTGGCATGGTCCAGCTTTAGAGCCCGCAATCTTCGGCTTTCGGAGGCACCTTGGCACAGCGGCTTCAGGTATCGCAGAATGTCCTGGTCCTTGGTTGAGTATCCAACATTGATGTGAAGGCTGTACAGGTGGCGACCCAAGGCTATCATCAGATCTTCGTGAAAAGGGGGAGGCAGCCTCATGCTAAACTCCAGATCCCTAAACCGATGGAGTTGCCTTTCTATGGCTTCATCAAAGCGATTGTGAATTTCCCTGTATAATGGCAGTAATTCATCCAGTTTAAAGTTGACAAAGATAAGATCCAGACAGTCGTCGTGCAGTTGCAGCAAGTCCATTTTTAACTAAAATATAAAAGAAATTAATACATTTATTCAAAGCTAACAGTTGAATCCCCTTAAAAATACCCAACCTTTGAGATCGAACACCGCCAGGAATTAGTTGTGAGTACTTTTGATTTATTTTCGTTAAGATAATGAATTCAGCTAAAGTTGGAAATGATAATAAGAAACTGCAATTAGATAAGAATATTATTTGTCCGCAGTCTAATTAAATGAAAGCTTTAATCTTTGCTCTCACTAAAATCCGCATTCCATGTAACATATTTATATATTGTTACTTATACTTATTTCTTCTTAAATAAAATTCAATCTCTTCATTTTAAATATTTATTAAGTAATTCAATAACATTTCTCATTATAATATATTTCTTTGTATAATGGGAGCCCTCACGCAATTGAAGAAACCAAAAACCATAACCATTTCTAATTCTTAACTTAAGTATTTAATCCCTGATTTTAAACTTGGCAAGAAGTGATAGTATTAAGCTTACATATTACAAAAATTAAAGCGGCGTCAGCTCAGCCAGCGTTTCAGCTATGGAGCTGTCTCGGAATCGTCCGATCCTCAAGGCATAGGAAATGGCGTGGGCCACGTAGCTCTGTTCGTGCACTCCATGGAACAGGTAGGACATGGCACCTTCTGCATGGATTGTCACATCCGATCCGCCATGTAGGTTTTCATCTGTATTAATGGCTGCCTGTTGGGTGTATTCCCAGTCCTGAATATTGCTTTCTGTGGGATTTTTGCGCTTCTGAGTGGTGGGATCCACTTGGAATCCTTCGTAGCTGGTGCCATATGTGAGTGTGGTATAGGGTGTCTGTTCCGTCTTTGATTTGCCCGCCAGTCCCAGTATACTGGAGCCCCGATCTGGGTGTCCATTTATGGTCAGACTGTGCGAATGATCGGCGGTCACAATGACCAGTGTTTCATCCAGACGGTCTGTTGACTTGAGGAACTTAAGTGTAGATTCTACCGCCGTACTGAGTTCGAGAACTTCATGAAGGGCCTTGCGAGCCTTACCCCTATGATGAGCTTGATCGATTAACCCGGCTTCCACGACAAGTAGGAATCCCTTGTCACTGTTTCCCAGCACCTCGAGCGCCTTGAGGGTCATATTCGAAAGTGATGGCATTCCGGAATCGCCTCGATCCCGTTCGTGGTCGTACATTAGGTGTCCATTGGCGAAGATGCCCAGAAGGTAGTCAACCTCCTGGCCATTGAGATTCCATAGTTCACGATTGTTTTGGATAACGGCATGTGCCTCTCCTGCAGCTTCTTTCTTCCGTCTCCAGTCCCGGATGAGATCTCGCCATCTGCTGACTTGCTTGCCCAAGTGTCCAAGGGATCGGCATCCGAGTGGCTAACATTTGACACAAGCATTTGACGACCTCCACCCATAATTACATTGATCTTTTGACCCGTGGGCATTTCGATTAGCTGTCGTGCGATGTCCATGCAACCTTGATCCCGGGCCTCTGGCGTCATTCCAGTCTCACATTCCCAACGACGATCCGGTACATGGGCATAGAGAGCAGCGGGAGTGGCATGCGTTACCCTGGTGGTGGTCACAAAGCCCGTACGCATTCCGTCCAGCTGAGCCCATCGCAGGATTGTCTGTACGTGGTGGTCCTGCTGCAAGGAGGCTGTGCAGTTTCCCAGAGGCACATTAGAGTCCACTCCACCCGTCTCGTAATTAACCTTCACGCCGCCAAAGAGAGCCGTAGCTGTCGAGAAGGAATCCGGCACTTGTTTATCCGCGCAGTAAGTTTTTAGTAGCCCCATGTGGGGAAAGTGCTCCCAGCTGAGGAGACCCTCCTCTTTGAATCCATATATTCGGGCAGCGGTCACTGTATTCGGACCCATTCCGTCGCCAACAAAAAGAATAACATTTTTGGCACGGCGCCGATTAAAGTCTCTCGAGACGGCTTTCTGTAGCTCCTTAATTCCTTGATCGTACCATTCCTGCTGCTCCTTGGGTAGCTTCACCGGCCAATAGTTCACCGTATCCATGTCGCCCACATCTTCAGCCATCCCATAGTGGACCACGAAGCCAATACACATGGCTGTGATCAGGAGGCACGAAAACACGAGCGATATGATGAAGAGTCTGGACCTAAACCATTTTGATGGGGGCTCCTCTGCATTGCTGTCGTTGAATTTGGTTTCTTCGGTTCCATGAGAGCTTCCAGTTTCCACGTTATTTCTGGCATCATTTAGTTGCACTTCCGTCATTTCCACATTGCTCAGTTTCCGGATTTTTCTATTTTTGATCGGTGTATCAGTTATTCGTTCCATTTTGTCTCCTTCTCACGTCAAGATCGGCTGCCTAATCTTTATACAGACTGAAAATGCGAGATATATTGCAGATTGTTAACTAATCATTGTTTACCGCAGATAAAAAGGCAATTTATAGACAGATAAACGAAACTGGCATTGGAGTTCTCAGTATTTCCCAGTCGGTTTTAAATTATGAGACTGAGGCAGCAGTTACGGATTTTGTAAGAACAATTAATTACAGTCAAACTTCCATAAGTTCAACTTTAGAATTCCTAGTGCATTGAATATTTAATTAGTTTATATATAGCAAAATATAGTATAAGCTATGCCAAATGTATGGCATGTGATAATACAATAAAGTGTATGTTAATTAAAATGAAAATTGTTGAAGGAAGTATTCCATAAAAATGTTAAAACATAATTTAAAAAGTCAATAAAAAAGAAATTACAAAAATTTAATTTACATATATATATTTGGAAAGATTATTAAGCTATCTAATTGTTCCGTTTGAGGATAATCTAACTGAGTTATATTAAAATTTAGGACAAGATTAAGCCAGGAATTATAATTAGTTATAACACAAAAATTATATTAAAATAAATATACTGATGATTAAAATTTTCCAAATTATACATTTTAATATTTTGTAAAATTCTTGTAAAAGTTTAAATATCTTTTTGTAGCCACTTGTTACTGTAGATGTGAACTAGTGAACTTGTGGTTCCCCACCCAGAGTTGCCAACTATTCGGTACACAAAAAGCTATAGCTGAACAAAAACAGCCTAAAATACACAAAACATTGTGAAAAACAGTTGCGACAAATTTAATTCGGGAGTTTATCGTAATAGATAGAGTTGTGTTAATGTGGAATTCAAATCTATAACGAACTGAATCTAGTGGGAAAATAGCTAGCTTGTATCACTTCGCCCATCCGATAGTTTCCCTATCGATAACCAATCAGCTGTTGCTCTCTCGCGCTTGCTCTCAGCTCTTCGCCAACTCTCAAACAAATAGTGCTTAAAATAACGAATAACCCTTAAATTAACACACCTTTTTGTGGCTTTACGATGTTTTTGACGATGCACAACGCGGGAAATATGCAAATCTAATGCAAGCTGGCCCCAACAACAGCTGGAGAAACATCGATGTATCGATGTGACATCGACGTTACTTCCAGCTCTAGATTGGGGATATTGTTTATGGCCGCTCCGCCGCCGCTCCAAAACCGAAGTGAATCATATGAAACTCGTCTCCAATTCGCGGCGAAGAGCGCGATTACTGGCCAACTGCTCGAATTAGTCTCGATCACACTAGCGAACGTCCAACTCCGCGAATCCGTATTCGAGCCACGAGTGAAAAGTGTTTGCGTGGACCACGGTTTTCGTCCGCCTCTTCAATCAACATCAATTAGCTGCGCGTGTGCCTGGGCCGAAAACTGAACTGAACCAGAACTAGCCCACTGCCGTGAGCATTCCAATTGGAGAGCAGCCGAAGCACACGCACACACATCGGCCCGTCGAGGGAAAGGCAACGCCATGGACGACTTGGGTGAGTCCGCTTTTCCTGTGAGGAAAACTTCCTCAAAACATTCCGCAGCACACATACACGCACACAGTGACACCGCGAACTTATGCTCCAACTTCAAGGTCGGTCGTTAATTGGAGTTAATTAGAATGCTGCGAATGTATGTTGGTGTGGCCGCCAGGTGGCGACACCTCAGGGCGGAAATCTCACGGATGAATAATATTCGGTACAGTGAAAAGTTACTACAAGAAACTATAGTACTATACCTAAAAACAGTAGATGGTTTCATTGGTTAGTTATTATTCACCTTTGTTTCCGAATTATTTTAATTGTTTTGATAAATCGAGCATAAAGTAAAAAGCGTTTAAGAGAACCCCTTGAAAATAAATATTTTGGACTATGAATGTTCAAATGTTAGAGAATAAGTTAATTACCCTATACAATACAATACAATTAAGAAACACATTTCAAGGATGTTTAATAATAATACCTATTTGCTCATTTCCCAATTCTTATCGTTGACGTTATGTACAAGCATTAATCACTATTTTAAATAGTATTTACGTGCCGCTTTCTTCTCGATGATGAATACCAAGTGACATCTTATCGCTAGCAGTAAATACTACACACATATTTCAGTATATGGGTACATTATTTAGGATTTCCGCACACCATTACACACTCCATTTAATGCAATTTGCATTCCTTGCACTTTATGATTTATTCGCATTCCTGGAAACCGAATGTATAACTTCGAGGCCGTCACTTCCCGTGTGTGAGATCATTCACTATTGCGGCAACGCCTGAGGGCGTGGCTTAGCTGAGCGAACCCTTGGACATTCAGTGAATGATCACGGAGAGCGATCGAGCCGGCTTTATTTGCTTTCTTTTGCTGCCACACAGCACACTTTTAGTCATCATCAGCGAAATAAAAGTGTATCTGCCATCTCTTGCTTCGTTCTCTTTATGACACAATTCTTTGCTGTTTACCAGTCCCACTGCGTGTTATTCGTGGAGCGTCTTCTGATAAAGCCACAAATGCAGCCAACTATCTACATATAAACGTATTTTTGTATGTATATAAGTGGATTTGGGTAATCTTGTTTTTTTTTTTGTTTTTTCTGATCAGACATTCTTGAGAAATGAGTAAAGGCCAGGTCGGTCACAAACACCCTCGACAAATGCCAGCTGACCGGCACTCCACCTCAGCACAGTGGTCTGTGACCCATTTAAGAAGCGATTCTATTAGATTATTTTCCTTATCTTATATTTATAAAATAACCTCAACAAATGTACTCTGCATTTATGAACTTATTTTTGTGTTGTCGCTGAAATGAAATAATGTAAACTTTTGTTTAAAAAATCTATCTGCGTTTGTAGGTTGAAGCTAGTACAGGTTCTCGTATACTTTTTATGATTGCAGAGTAAACAAAGTCTGTGATAAGAAAATATAGTTTAACAGCCAAAATTAAGAGGGTTCGACTGTCTGTCAAATCTTTTTCGAGCAGAAAAAGTATTAGATTAGCAGAGCAATTCTGGCTTAATAGCATTCTAATTCTTTTCGGTTGATAAAACTTTTCACTTTCAAAGCTCTCTAACCGGCATTGAATAATATTTATTTTATTAATTCAAAATTTAATAATTATTTGAAAGTTATTGTGCAAGAGTTTAGTAAGATAAACTCAAACCTAAACCCTCATTTCCATTGTTTGCATCTCGATTTCCAAGTCTCCAGCTTGAAGCTAAGGAAATTCGACGCTTAACAAGTTCGTTCATACAGGAAGTTGGGGCTTCAGCTCCATCTTGATCTCCTGCTTCAATTGCATCAATTTTGCGGCTATTAGCGAGTGTGCGCCCACTTCATCGGTGGCTGCCCACTCGACACGCAACCACTCTGGTTCGTGTTGCGTGTGCGCACTGTAACAGCGGTTGACTCCGGCTGTCTGCTCGGGATGAAAGGAGATGTGAAGATCTGCCGAGATCGGCTGAAGGTTGTGCTCCAACTGAAGACAGCGATAACAGATATGCACAGTGGGGCCATTACGATTTCTATAGATTTTTTCTTAAAATGAGGAATATCTTTTAGATATAAATGTATACAGACTTCCCCATTTGATCTCATAATCAAATCGAAAACTGCAAGTGTAAACAAACTTTGGTTTCGCCAAAATAGATTCATTTCCTTGTATAGGTACTAAATTCATTATAGGTTTTCTTGGTACTATGATTTTTTAAAATTAATACTTATTAATGCCATACAGAGTTAAATGAGAATAGTTAAAAGTATTATTTTTTGTCTAGACTTACCTTTATTATATTAGCTCTTCATGAGCTGCTGTTATCGGTTAGCTTTAAGCACACTGCTGCTCTCACTTAAACACAAAAGAAAACAGAGAAACGGGCGAAAATATTTTCCCGGCGGTTTCTTTTCCTTGTGCCTCCCACTTGCGGTCGAGATACTTCAGACAACCGTAGAGAAATGCGAAATGAAAAGCCACTCAGCAAGCAAGACGAAAAGCTACATTTGTTGCGATTATTTCGCTCTCTCTTTGCTCTCTTATCACTCTGAAAATAAACAGCAGCTAAGAAAATAAAATAACAAATAGGGATTCTATAACAGGTTCTTGAGTTAATCAAATTTTAAAAGTAAGGTACAAAGGAAGTCTACATAAATTTAAAATAAGATAAGTTATCCGTTTCAAGAAAATATTTCTATTCAGAATGAGTTATGTGCTGTTGTTGTTTTTTATTATTTTGTTTATTTATTTCTCATTTTTTATGTACTCAATTTCTTTGTTTTAATATCTTGTATGCAGTTGTATTAATTTTAAAACTTGTATATCACTTGTGGCTAAAATTGCATCTAGCATCATAACTCTTATTAAACTTTTAGAAAAGAATAAAATAGTAACCAAAATTGTTATAATATATATATTTAAATATATTTAATAATTTTTGTGTATATGAAGTAGATTAACTATTCTTTTTTAATAGAACTTATTTCCCTTTTTGTTTTATCACATTAATATTGAAATATTTTGAAAAATCGATTGAAATATTTCTTTAAGTGCACTTTGTTTACCTACTCTCTCAAACATTGGAGCTCTCACGTTTGCTCGCTCTGTGCTCTTCGGGGCTGAGAGATCCAGAGAGCAGAGAGACGCATGTCGTGTCTAATGGAGCCCCAACGCTGGTTCCCCAATTGGATTTCAGTCTATTGGGTCGTTTCTGTTTGGGAGACGCGACCACAGCGCGCATATATCAGTCTCTCCGATTCCTATTCCGATTCGGGTCTCTGTGCTCCGTTCTCCTGCGAAACAATAACAAAATATGTGACAAGGCAACAGACTGTCAAAGTGCATGGAAAAGTGTGGAGATAGCTGACAGCAACAAACAAAACTATATATCGGTGCGAAATCGAGGCGGGAAAATCTAATGAAAAATCGGTGGAACTGTGCTAGTGACATTACACATGTACTTGCGGCAGGTTGGAGCGTGGGAAACTGCGAGCAGGAAAACTCACCTCAACTCAAAAAAAGTTGACAAACAGCTGAAAGATAGCAAGGAACTGAGAAACCAGATAAACGATAAAAGTGGAATTTGTCTAGATTAATGTATCCATGTCACTCGCCTTAAGATTCTGCTAATTCTTGGCAAATCTCTGCGCCAATTTGTTTGAAAAACATTTCGATTTCATTAGCATTTCCCCCACTAATTATGGAACTAATTATCAACGGACTGAGACATTCAAAAAATGAGGTATTTGCCCCGATCTGGCGGAGCAAAGAAATTCGGTTAGCCCCATTCATTTTCGAGCGGATTAAAGTCGTGGGCGGTTGTGATGGAAATGTTGTTTCGTTCGTTTTTCCTCATCTTTTTTTCTGGAGGGGAAATGCTCGGAATAAAATAACAATAAATACAAGCAACAAAAGCAATTAAATTGTGCCCACTTAATCTATTAAAATTATGACATTTTTCACATATTTCAAGCACTCGAAACCAAGTGCATTCATTCGCGGAGAGGGGACTTCCGTCCCCTTCTCGTAAAAGTATCTCGGGTTACGACAGCCAAATGGAAATGCTGGAAAAATGATGTAAACTCGTCGGACAAAGTGCTCACAAATGAACATTTTGCTTGCTGTATGAGAATCGCTTTCGTTTTCGGTTTTATTTTCTATTTTATATTCGAATATCTTTGTATCTTTCTGATATGCTTGGTTTGCGGCCAAACAGCTTCTCTCTTTGTATCTCTCGAAGCCATCTTCAACCACAAATATATAGCAATCACTGATCTCCAGAAGATTGCCGGTTTATTCCACCACAAACTCGAAGCTTATTTTAGTCTCAGCTACTTAGCACCTTTTGGCTTGGCAGTGCAATGAGTTCATCGTTAGATTCGATTGTTCGCAAAGTTCCCCTAAGCAATATGCTCTTTCCAGTGTTTGATTTTATCGCCAATTCATATAATTTCAATTAGTGTGTGTTGTTTCGATTGGCTTGAGAAAGACGCTGCGCTCTTCTGATCGGGGCTTTTGAAAGATTTCGAAATCTATAATTGCTGACAGAGTCTGGTTGCGTAATTAGAACCCAGAATTTAATGAATGAGCAAGGGAACAAGTTCCGAAAAGTAACAATAGAAACAATTTTGATACTTGGATTTTTGGGTTTTTATTTTGTATGTATATATGCTTAGTATATCTTTATACTTGATCATTTTATTTAGCATATAGATTTCCAATAAAAGAGCCACAAGATACTGTTCTAAGAAGTAAACTTCTTTTAGAATTCATACGTAATCAATCAATGGCGCTTTTCTTAACCCAATCTATAGTCTTGCCTTTCCAATTTTCGACCAATACTCTAATCAGTTAAACTAATTTGATCATCGTGTAAGGCAGCACTTCCCAAGAGACCCATTATCTTATCACAAGATTCCTAAACAAAACTCAGTGGCAAAGTGTTAAAGATAAATGTATATACCTCTTACAGCGGCATAAATTGGCCAAGTTTATTGAAGAAGCTCTCACAGGAGAGACATTGGATTTTCAGCTTAAATTTTCGTTGGCCTTTCTTTTGGCCACGCATCGCATTTTCACCTTTGCGCCTTCAGCAAGGTCAACACTCGCATTTCACACACATTTTATCTACTTACTAATAAAATATTTATATTGAGATCTTGGCGATCGGCCGAGGCTCGATCGCTTGGAATTTCCCTCTGGCAAAAGAAACGTATCCGTGCCTTGGACTTTTAAATATAGGAAGGAAAATAAAAACAATTGCCCACAATTTTCGGCCCGACGTCATCCTATACACCGACTGAGTAATGCCTCAGGTGTGGAGGGAAACTGATTTGCTATGCACAGACCTGGAACGAAAGCGAGTTTTCTTTTTTGGCAACGTCTTGCGGAAATCTCTCGTCGTTGTATTTTCAATTAATTTCCCCATTTTCCCTAGCTCAGCGCTCTCTCTCCTCTCTCTCTCTATCTCCCTTTGAAACGTCGCCTTTGATTTGCTAAAAGTTCTGTTTTTCCTATTTTTTTTTCGTTAGTCTGATATTTTTAGTTGGCGATCATGGTGTTGACGTAATTTGGCAACCTTGATTCCCCTTCCCTCCCGCCGGCTTCAGTATTTTTGGCTTGGCTTGCTTTGTTTTTAGTTTTTGTGAATTTATGTTTATTATTTTTTACCTTCTTTTTCCAATGTGTCGTTATGTGTTTTAAACAAATGTGAAATGTGGCCTGCATGTTCATTTTGGTATTTTTATGATTCCATAAATCTGTCTCACCAGATCGTTTGGATCAACTTGATCTGGTCTAGTATATCTACAGGCCATCGTAAATTTTGTTTGTTTCATAGATCATCCATTGAAAATTCACCTACACATTTTGGGAGTCGGAGAGTGAATGTATCTCCGGGCATCTCTGTTTTGGTTCAGGTCTTTGAGCTAATTTATCGATCATGTTTGCTGCCTTTTTGATCTTTAGATCACATAGATTATAAAGACTTCTTTGTCGAGCTTCTTGTTTAGGGATCTTGGCTGTTGATCAGTTTAGATCACAATCAAAGCCAGAAAGATTTAATTAGTGATTTACCTGTAATTTATTGTCCATGTCTGAGGTTTTCATTGACTGAATGATGGCTGTTTTATGGTATCCGTTTAAGGAAATGAATACTTTGATGGTTATGATAGTAATGCCTAATTGTCATTCGTTATTTAGAGTTTCTGATTACTAAGTTTCGTCTTTCTCTTAAATGTTTGAAAGGAAAAAACTACCTTTACAAAACTGTAAAAATATAGATGCATTGATAGAAGATAAGATACTTCACCACTAAAACTACTGTACATACACATATCCCATCATATAATTCCATATATCATTAATCCAGTCAATTAATAGAACATTTACAAAGGCACAAAGCACAACAATTTTACAACATTAAATCACTGGGACTTCCACTGGGGGCAGGAAACTAGTTTCTTTTTATTTGTATTATTATTTTTTCTCGGTGGGTACTGGGGCAAAGCTCTGATAGACAGGCAAAGACAACGAGACATCGACAACGACAACGACAACGACTCCTCTGACAGGCTAAAACTCAACGCAAACAAAAACGACAAATCCGTCGTCGAGCCCCGAAATGCCAAAAATAAAAATGCGCTTATAAATAATTCAAATGAAACTGCTTTTTTTGTCGATCGCAGCGAAATAATAAAAACAAAAACTAAAGACTTTGAAAAAATATTAATTAAAATGTCACTAAACAGTTCCTTGATTAATCATTAGTATTTAAAAATAAGAAAATTTGTGAGAATTGTGAAGTGAATCTCAACTGGCATTATGGATAGAACAATGTATGGAAAAATTGATCCAGGTGCACGTCAACCTTACCGCACGCTCGTACCAAAGGCATCCTGCCAGGATGTAAGTATTTCCCATAAGGATGTTACAAAAATAATGAAAGTTAAGCATTATAATTAATTAATAATTACAATTAATTAAAACGAAATCAAAAGGGAATAGATTTCAAAATTATACATTTATTTAAGATATATCTGACAATAAAATGTAGTTATTTTTTACAAGCATTACCTAAGAATTCCATAGCCTCTTGTTACGCTTAACATTCTTCCAATATTTACTACAATTTTTTTCTGATAAGGTTACCTGTTGCACTATAAATTCTTATCGGGCATAATTTTCCTAGTTTACCTGACAAATAAAACCCACCAGTCTTTGGCAGGAAAGATCATTCATCTGAAAGGAGCTAGTTGATGGCCAAAGTTCCACACACCGCTCATTGCCCTCGATATTGTCCGGTTGTCCGACTGACCAGTCCAGGAAAGGTGCCTCGATTCCAGTGGCCTCGGATACGTAGAAATGCCGAACTCCAAGGTCATTAGTGGATATCCAGTAGCTAAGAGCTGGGTGGAGATAAGGGGTCAAAAACTTCAGTTCTTCCTTACTCTCCAGATTGAGTAAAAAACCTCCCATTTGACGACATCGATTGGAAGCTTCGAACCAATTGCATTTAGATGAAGAAATGTAGTAATTTTTTCCACTAATCATAATATCTAATCCTTTGGGAAACAACAAGAGAGAGTAATACAGTAATAAATTGACTTTTTGTATTTTTAAACACATATATTTAATAGTTAAAGTAGTTTTTCAAGGAAACTGTTTTTTTACCTTGTTTTGCAAAGGAGCGGCCTCTAAAATAATGACACTCCACAGTAGGAGACAGACAAGGAGAACTCTAGACATTTTCCTACAAGTTTCAATTGGCGACTGGCATTAAATTGTTTTGTCTTGTCTCTCTTGATACTAAATGACTTGAAAAGATAACAATCTCTGATAACTAATATTTTACTCCGATAAGACTTCTTGGCTGATAATTAAAATAAAAATCTGGGGAATTCCCTTATTACCTTATATATTTTATTTTCAATGGATTTTTGTTGTATATATCATATTTTTTAAATCCCTGATTGTGAGAAATCCAAACTTTGTTTAAACAAACTATACACTTTTATTAAATGCTTTATAAAATAAGCACTCTATTTCCATACAAGAATTGAAATGGTTTCTTGTTTAGGAGCTTCGCAACATACTTAAAAAGACTATTTCCATCGTTACTGCAAGGACGATCGTTAAGCTGAATGTCCGTGGAATCCTTGTAGATGTAACCCAAATGTATACAATGTTCCCTTCCTCCAGAATTATCGGGTTGCCTGGGAGCCCATTTTTGGATGTCTATAGGCTGAGCATTGGAAAACCAAAGGTGTGTTCCAGTTTTTCCAAGATCATTGCCAGAAGTCCAATGATCTGAACGCTCTCCTTTATTTTTCAAGTATCCAGAAATGGCATCAAACTCCTCGGGGGTCTCAAAGGTCACCATTCAGCACCCAATTTTCTGCAATTCTCATATGCAATGTACCAATTCACTTTCTCCGCTCCAAAGTAATAGTAACCATCGTTGATTTTGATAAAAGGAGTCGAATCAAGGGCCATGTTTAAAGGATTTCCTTGAAAAATGTGTATAAAAAGAGGATTTTCAGTACTCCTGCTGTTATAATAAGCTCAAACAAAACAAGTTTAATGATTGTATTTATCCTTAACAGAAATTCCCTCAAGTACTTACCAGGACTCACAACGACGTTGTATCTGTCACTTGTCCATCCAAGGCTCAAATGAACCAGGAGAAAATTAGTTTCACTGCCACCTTCTGCATTGCGTTGCAAACTGATGCGATTGAAAAGTACCTTCAGCTTATTTATACTCTCTGTATTATCTGGCTGCTAATTACTTGTTGTACGGGTTAAATGACTTGTGATAAGAAGAGTTACTTGATGAAAGGTGGCTCCGTTTTCTACAAGGTATTGATATTGGGTAAATAACATTTAATTAGTAAGTGTATTTACTATGTCGTCCAGGATATTATTATTGTTTAATGATGATTAAGTTGAAGTAAATATTCGCGATTTACTTCCACACCACAATGGATATGGTTTCCAGTTTGGGTGCCTCGCATATATACTTGAACAAACTATTGTTGTCTTGGGAACAGGGTCGATCGTTGAGCTGGAACTTCTTGGAGTCCTGGTATACGTAACCCATGTGGATGCAGTGCTCCCTTTGTCCAGCATTATCCGGCTGGTTGACTGCCCACCTGAGGGTGCTGATGATCTGGCCACTGGTGAACCACTTGTGGGTGCCAGTTTTGCCCAGATCATTACCCGAAGTCCAATAGTTCTCCCTCGAATCGTTGGCCATTAAATAACTGGAAACTGAATCAAACTCTGGGTCCGTCTCAAATGTCACAAGTTCGGAATCTAGAAGCCGGCACTTTTCATAGGCCTCATACCAGTTGAGAGACTCTCTTCCAAAAAAGTAGTATCCATCGTTGATTTTTACAAAGGGTTCCGACTTGATTATAGCATCAATGGCATTGCCTATAAAAAAGCAAGTTCCAAAATAATTGCAAATTGTATTATAGATTTGAAATATATACATTTACCTTCATTTATTTGAATGGTGAACTTTTCATGACCCCAACTAACTTTTGCACTGGCCAGCAATACAAGAAATAGAACTGCAGACTTATCATTGTTGTGAACACTGAAGCACACCAAAGAGCTAGCACGCTTTATATATAGAAGGTTTTATATATATAGTAGAGACACTGAGTTTTCAATTAACATTGCTAATTTGTAGCTTATATTATATTACAATTCTTTGGTATGTTTTCTTTGAACGTTTAAAATGTTTAATTTGAGTTTACTGAATGTTATTGATAAGGTTGTTTTTATTTAGTATATATGTACAACGGTATAAACCGGCTTATGAATTCTGCAAGTAATATAAATTTAATTTGTTCATTTTAGCTAAAATTCATTGAAGATATATTTAATAAATCTTTATTTCCAAATACTGTTAAATTTTACAAAATAATGATTATAATTTACTAAATTGTGGTAATAATAAGGTTACAAGTTTGATATTTAAGTTTGCTAGCAAATTCGAAATTCCTTAGCTAAAATAATGAAGCCTACTTTTAGACAGAAAACGACATTGGTAGGATTGTTTAAAAGTAGCTATCTTTGTGGCTGAGTTTGCAAATTGAATTTCAAACAAGTTCATCCTCGAAAAGCGTCATAAAACTTAACAGCAACAAAAGGCAAAGTAAACAAATGTAGTATCTCAATCGCAACGGATGACGTAATCATTACAGGCACATTTACATTATAAACTTACAAGATGCTTTGCTATTCCCTGGCTGCTTTTTCCGCTTTCAATTCACACCTTTCAGTCACTCAAAAAAATATATACACTTTCCTAAGGCTTTCCTTTTATGTTTTCGGTTTATAAATTTAAAACAAGAAAGGAAGCTAACTTCGGCACACCGAAGTTTATATACCCTTGCAGATAGAACTTCTATGAATTGGAATCTATACAATATAAATTATATATATTTGTGTTAAAAACAATGAAGTAATACCTGCTTTCATTTCATTCCCTATACATATTATATTTGCAGTTTTACATTCACAGATTTGCATTTTTCCTCTACATCAAACAATCGGTTGTATGGCACCTATATGATATAGTCGTCCGATTTTCATGAAATTTGACACAAAATTTAAGAATAATATAAAATGGCTACACCTCAAATTTGATGAAAATCTGTTGAAAACTGAAAAAGTTATAATTTTAATTGTATTAATTTCTCTATCGTTCCTATGGGAGCTATATGATATAGTAGTCCGATTTTCATAAAATTTAACACAAAATTGTAGAATAATATGAAATGGCTATATCTCAAATTTGATCAAATTCTGTTGAAAACTAAAAATGTTATAATTTTTTTGTAAAATGTTCCGATCATTCCTATGGCAGCTATATGATATAGTCGTCCGATCCGGCCCGTTCCGACATATATACGAGTGAGAGTATATAGAAGGCTAACTACAAAGTTTCATTCAGATAGCCTCAAAACTGAGAGACTAGTTTGCGTAGAAACGGACAGACGGACAGACGGACAGACGGACAGACGGACAGAAGGACAGACGGACAGACGGACAGACGGACAGACGGACATGGCTAGATCGACTCGGCTGTTGATCCTGATCAAGAATATATATACTTTATATAGTCGGAGGTGCCCCTTCACTGCGTTGCAAACTTCTGACTGAAATTATAATACCTGCAAGGGTATAAAAATATATGACTCCAATATAAGACTAGTCGCTAATGCTTTAATGAAGCTTAATATTTTAAAGGAAAATATTTTAAAGTCACCTTTCATACATCATACAGAACAGAATATAGTTCAATTATTTACTTAAAAAATATACCATCTTTATATAGCAAACTAAACTATTTTATACATTTACTTCTTTAAAGTATCTGTAATATATTCTTACAGCAATCACTTTAACAACTTTTCCAAGTGTAATTGCCTGACTGCTTTGTTTACATTTTGTCCGAAGTAATGTTAATTGCACACAGACGAACACCTCGCTTGCATTAGCATCGGATTCTCCAGTTGTCAGCACTCGATTTGAATATTTTCAATTCAGTTTGCATTGCGCCGTCGAGCGGTATTCATCGGATTCAAAAATTTTAATAAGTGATCACAGTTGGAACAAGTGACATGAAAATCGGTAAGCGGCAATCTGTCAAGCGTGGGATTAGCATTACAATCGTTGGTAGTCGCTGACCTTACTACGCGTTTCATTCATTAGATCATTCGATCATTGTTCCCATTGAGATTTCGAGTATCGGCAGTGGGCGTCAGTGGTTTCCATTCGATTCGTGTTCTATTTATTGCCAGACGCGACACTTTGCCAGCGAATATGTATAATCTGTGTGGATAAAGTGCGTTTCGCAATGATAAGATTAGCAAATACCTAGCAAGAAGAATATGTGTTTTGCTCTACGATTAATGTATGTTTATATATAAAGAGTTCTATAAATAGGTGCAGACTTTAGAGTTGGTAAAACCATTTTCCAAAATGTTTATGAAAAATCAGTATAAATATATATGTACCAATATATTTCTATTACCATGTTTTGTGATAATGTTTATCTTGGTTTATTTATTCTAACCTGTGTTTTAAATAATACAACTCTTGAATAAATTTCTTAACCATTTTGAAACTGAGGATCTACTTAATCCTACTAAGTTTAACAGATCTTAGGAATCTGAAATATTAAGGACCTTTAGCTAATAAATATATCAAAGAAATATAAATCAATAAATACCTAAAAGATCAAATAATATTTTCACACCTTTAGCTTGTCTTTGTAAGCATTTCAGTTTCGTCTCATAGGTTACCTTTTGGGTGTATACACCTGTTTGGGTTGGCATTACGCAAGTTATTCTAATTGCCGAGGTGATCACCTCAGGGCATCTGAAACCCGATTGATTGATTGCTCTAGTGGTTGATCTCATAAGCCGGGCTTGGCGGATACTACGGAAGTTGGAAGCTGGATGCTGGGCGGGGATCCATGGCAACCGCAACGATAACGATAACGATACAGGCGAGGTAGAACCCGTTAGGCAGCTTTTCAGTTGACACAGGTCGTGGCCATCGATTTGTGTTGACCGATAATCTCGTGTGTGTTTGCTCACAGATCAATTGAGTTAAAAGCAACGACGCAAAGCGAAAAAGATCAAAACAATTCCAAACAAAAGCCTTAACAATTTGCTGCCATTTGTTGCTTTTGTTGTTCTACTACTAATTTTAGTTTTCGTTTCAAAGTCAAGTGATTCATTCACCCACCGAAAAAAGAAAACAAAAACACAAACAAAAACATAAAACAAGAAACAAAAGCAACGCACTCAAAAATAGAGAGTGAAAAGCGTGTTGCGAAAGGCGGACGCCAGGTGGCGCCGCCGAGAATGGGACACAAACGCCCACACAACAACGAATGGCAATAATTACTCAACACCTCCTGTTTGCGCCTCTGTCTCTGCCATGCTCCATGCTCAAACTGTAAATGTTTTGTAATTGAGCGCTAGAGTTGCACTCGAGTGGTGTCGCACAGTGGCTATTTTGCTCAAATGTTTTGAGTCAAAACACTATGAATTATTATGAGCTCAAATTGATGAAATATAGATTCTCGTGTTTATAATTCTAATAATAATTCTTATATTAAATAGATAATATTTACAATTTTAAATTGTGAAGTTAACAGTGTTTCAATGAATTAATATTTTTACCTCTAATTGTATTCGAGCTATAATTCAAATTAACGAATTCTTTTTGAAGTTAGTTAAACCTCAACTATCAACCAAATTACGATAATGAAAACCATAAAAAGAATAAAAAATCTTCCCAATTTAAACAATAATTAAAAATATAATATATAAAAAATATGTGTAAATTTCATAGTAGGTATTTAATAGTCTGGTAAAGTCCTTACTGAAGGACAACCCAAATATCCACTATTGCAACGAGTGTTTAAAGAAATAAGCCACTGTGCGGTCGTCGAGTGAGTATGCTTTGAGTGGAATTAGCGCGGGAGTGGAATCGAGCGCGCGCAGCTTCAGCGGCGTTTGTTGTCGAGCGTCTTGTTCAGTTGCTTTTAAGATTTTGCCCGAGCGAAAAATAATTCCTGTGCCGCTGCTGCCCGTGTGTGAGATAGTCGTGCGAATGTGTGTTGCGTGTGTGTGTGTGTGTGTGTGAAGAATTTAATTAAGGCAACCCGCAATCGATCAGCAACATCGCAACAACAGCAGCAACAGCAATAAACCGCAAACAAGCCGCCAAAATGAAAATCGAAAGTGCTCCCCAAAAACGAGTCAAAACAGAAAGAGGCGAAGAGCAGAGAAATATGTAACAATGTCAACAACAATTGCGAAAGGGAGAGCGGCGTCCAATAACAACAATTCGCGAGTGACTTGACCTGCTCTCTCACCCACGCTCTCCGCTCCCACTCGCACTCTCTATCTCTCCTTCGCTGCAGTTGTCATTGCCATTTCAACAGCTGTCGTCACGAGCGGCAACTCCCCCCGTCTCTGTCCCACCCCCTTGCATTCATCTAAAACTGAGTCTGAGTTGCAGTTTTCCCAACTGCAACTCCGCCATTGACAAACAGTTTGGGTCAGCTGCCCACCACCAGCATTTCTCTGGTGTCTCTTAATTGATTTTAATTGCATTTTAATCAAGACCAAGTGTCTCTGCCACTGCACTCTATGAATCTAATGTGTGAAATGGCTTTTTAATGAAAAGTCTCCTTCTGGTTATTGAACAAACCCCTTAAATATATACATTTTTTTATTAGAAAAGCAATTTCAATATTTCGAGACCGTATCTAAAAATTCCCTAGGCGCACATGTTTTTTATAAAATTGTTTATGATCAAAATCATATTTGTTATCTGTTATTTATAGATTTATATTGAAGATATTGTACAGTTTAAAGAATTTTCTTTAAATTTCTAGGAAATACCAAACGATTTTCATCAAATTTCAGTTCCTTGATTGCTTTTCCTTGCAATATTTATTAATATACCTTAAATATTATTAAAATTAAAATTTTCCACGAACAATTATGTCAAGTATTAACTAAGGACACTTTAAAATATTTCTACATTAAATATTGTGATATAATCAGAATTCCCAGAAAAGTAAGGATATGCATCATTCTTTAATTTCTTTAAAAAAACTTTTTTGTTTTCTTAGAAGAATGATTCCTTACTACCTTATTCTGAATTGATTTTTGATCATATACATCTGTATATATGTATGATGATCTTCAAAATCCTCAGTAAATCGTTTGATTTCTATATTGTTCCGCTTTGACATTTAATTGTTCTAAATTTGATAAAGCCAGGATGATAAATGGACATTTCTTCCGATTTGGGATTATAAATTAAAAATCTTGTTCCGCTTCTTTGTCGGGTCTTTCCCCCTTGTAGACGTTGACCCACTGAGCCGTGACGTTCTGATAACCCTGCCCTGTCCTATTTATAGACATCCCCTTCCTCTTTCCCCCGACGGGGAACTCTTGGGAAATGGGCGTACGACCCCACATATGGTGAATTGAACGCCTTTCTCGTCAACCACATGTTCGATCTTTCAATTTTGGACTATTTTTAAATATATTGCGAAATAATTTGGCTGATTTTCTTGCCCAATAATGCAAAATGTATTCGAATATAAAATTGAGCATCGCCTCCTCGGGTGCCTTCTTGATGTTTTTCTTACATACTTGTTGTTATGAATTCGCTTGCCAAAATGTATAAATCGCGTCACACCTTATTTCGCTTTATATAACTCATATACATATTATTGAGTATAATGTTGAGATTTTTTTTCTCTCTCTCAACGTTCTATTTTCTCGTTCTCTTTTTTTGGCATTGGCCCAGTTACAGGTGTGCCTTTTCCGCACTTCCCTACCCCCAGAACATTTGAACTTTTGGATGAAATGTTCGAGTTTGTTTGATTTATTTTCTGGCCTTATGGCTTAATCGCCGGCTGTCATGTCTTCCTAGTGTGTTTAGCGATTTGTTGTTGTTCCATGCTTCATGGGCGGGTCAAATGAATGGCGTTAAGTGCGATTATATGTCAGCAGAAATGGCACGACATCCGAAAGATACTTTCGGCAAGCCTCAAAGTGATTTTGGAGCCTTGGGCTTAGTGCACAGAGAAAAGTGATGAACTATGCAATTAATTGTGATAATTAATAGAATCTTTCTCAAATTGTGTAATTTAATTGAATTTAATATTTGAAAAAAATCTGGAGTTCTGATATTCTATTTAAATCGAAAGCTTATTGAAAGCTTCCAAATATTTATGTATGCGAATGAACTTAAGAAAAACCGAACAGATAATCAAAACAGGTCTTTATGCGTATGTTTTTCTTATCATTTATTTTGAATACTTAGAAAATCTTCTTATAGATGTATATTAAGTACTCTTCTAGTATATATGATATTTTTCCCACTCTATTCATTATCATGCTTCTGAGATACTTCCCCATTTCCATTTCCCCTTTTAGCTGATTAAAAGCAAACATAATGCAAATAGCATTAATTTGATGAAATATTTTTTGTCTATAAAGAAATACTCATACACCGGCAGTTATTATGGCATCGAGTGAATGCGATATTTCATGAGTTGGTGCGATTTTTGGCCCGTTCGACAAGTTCGTCCCACCTTAACTGAATCAAAAAAAAAAACTGTGTGTATATAAATATATATATTTATATATGCTATGATCAGTCTGTGTTTGGCTAGTTTTGGCTGCAGTGTGGGTGTCTCTTTGGTCTGACTTTGTTTGGATTGAGTTTTTAGTGCTTTAATTTGGTCAGTTGGCAACTGAACTTTCGAGTTCGTTACCCATGTACCACCTGTAGCCAGCTGATGTGCGTTTGCTGTATGCCGTATCGGTAAAAAATATTTAACTTAACTACCGTTTATAGTGGTCTTCAAAAATCGAATTTCGCACACCACAAAGGAAGGCAATCGAGTGACAGACAAACGAAACATTTCGATCCCATCGATTCTGGCCAAATTTAGTGCGTGAAAATGTCTTCAAAACTGATATCATCGTCGTTCCACAGTTCGCCCCTCAGCGACTGCTTCAAAGTGGGCGAGTTCGAGAGACGTTTGGGTAAGTTTTGGACGCGTGATGGGGGAGCAAGTGCAGCGTGGGCGTTATAGGGTTAATGGTGGAGTCTCTACAGATAGAGATATGTATAAACCATGCTGGGCAGCAAGGTCAAGTGCAAGCCAATTGCAACTTTCACTTTGGATGCTGCAAAGACAATTTATTAATAGGAAAAATTAATTTCAAATAATGCTCAACTTTAAAGAATCTCAGGAACCTTCTTTGAGACTCTCTTCATATATTTTGATAAGATTTTCCTTGACCTTTTTTAACAAGATTCTAAATATACCAACTTTCCTTCCAAAGTGTTAAAGAATCAAACACAAAGAGCAGCAAAAACATTTTTTTTTGCAAAATATAATACATATTTTTTTTATCTTAAATGTCTCCAACTATAACCTTCAAGAACATAAAACTATATTCTCTTCCGTCTTGGATAACAAATTATATGTCCCATAATTTAAGCTTATTATCGTGTAGAAACAAGCTTTCAATTCTTCCCCAAATGACAATTAGCCGGGACACAAACCGAAGACAAGACCCATGAAATCATTTCCAGTATTATTTGGGCTATATCTTGCAAGACAAAAGAAAACAAATAAAGTGTTATCAGAAACTTTTGCTATGAGATATGTGCCAGGTAGCCGAAGGTAAAATGGCAACGGAATCTCCGTTCAGTTAACAACGAGCTATGCGTCACAATTGCAGTGACAGGTGCTGTTAATAGCTTGGAATTTTGGCAGAGAAAATACCTGAGAAAAATCGGAAGAACAATAGCCATGGCCAACTATGGAGATTACGATAATCTGGGTAGCTTTATAAATAGTGCAATGAATTTAATAACCTACTAAATAAGGGTTTTACAAATAAATTAATACATATATGTGATAAACTAATGTTCCTAGTGAATGAAACCATTTAATAATAAACAACAATTATATAAAATTTGGAACATTCTTCAATCTTGAAGGACAGTACATTACATCACTAACTTATCTTCATCTTTATCTTCTTTTAGATGCTCTCCTAGCTGATCTGCAAAACAGTGTGCCAGGTCAACCTCAACCACCTCAATCGCAATATGGAACTGTCCAGCCCAAGCAGACGCCTCTGCATCAGCAGCAGCATCAACAGCAGCAACAACAGCAGCAGTTTGTGGACAATACTCCAGGTTATGGCAGTCTCAGGGGCAAGGCCCAGCCTCAGGTGGTAAGTAATCACTACTTAAATAATACCTAACAATTAAAACCAACTCAATATAATTTCTTGCAGTTCCAAGATCACTACACCGTAGAAACACGCTCTCCAACGGCAACGGGTGACTTCAATGGCTCCTCTGCTGCTCCCGGCTATGCCAACCAGGGATCCCTGCCAAGACAGGCGGCACCTGGAAGCTCCGGACTGTCAGAGTTGGACTCACTGCTTCAGGATCTGCAAAATGCCCGATACAATGGGGCTGAAAAGAAGGGTGAGCTAAGAATATCATACTTTTCATAGTGTTTAAAAGAAAGAAAAAAGCTTTTAAAACATTATTCATTCAATATTAATACACATTTGGCCAGACAGTTGGGAGACAAACTTTTGGCTTTTAGCTATCATGAAATTAAACGTTTTCAAAATCGAATTATATAAAAATTTAATCAACAAGAAAGAAATTAATTCGGGAAGCCAGATTGCAATTAATTATAAGATTGAATCGGAAATCGATCATAACTAAGCTTAAAATATTCGATTTTCAAATTTCTTCGACAAATCAAAGTTTAAAAAACTCATTACATAATCAAAAAGCCTTAATATTAATTCGGAAAGCTTCCTATGTTAGTTTTTACTAGGTTAATAAACCTGCATACCCATAATTTAAGAAAATTAAAATTTTAATCAATTTAACGATGAACCCCTTATTATTAAAAAAATTTTAAATTTATATTTCGACCACACATGATTAGATTGACTCGGCTGTTGATGCTGATCAAGAATATATATGATTTATAGGGTCGGAAATGACTCCTTTATAGCTTTGCAAGATTCTGACTACAATATAATACTCTGCAAAGAGAATTAAAAACCTAACTATTAAAATTGATATTCTTTTAACTACTATTAGGTAATATTAATCATATTGTTTATTATTCTTCAGATATTGATGTTCCGGTTAACTATAGCACGCCAGTCTCGAAATACAATACATACAACAGCTATGCCACCGTGGAGGAGCGTCCCACCATGGACAGCCTGCTGAACGAATTGGACAATGCTCACATTTATGCCGTGCCCAATGGGTAAACACTATACAATGATAATCCCACCTGCGGACGTAAAGATTAACTGTTGATTTTATTATTTTAACAGATCTGCGCACAAATCACCAACGCCCGGCGCCATGTCACCATCACTGTGCGCGAAACCAAGACGGAGAAGCTGACGGGTCCCGATGGACCAGGTATGTATATATTTACCAACTCACTATAATACCCTGATATTAACTGAGGTGATCTCCTCTTTATGTTTGCAGTTGGAACGGTGGAGGAGCAGATCGTGCAGCAAAAGATTCATATACACCCAACCATGCGGTGCCCGGTCAACAGGTTGTTCATCAGGCATACACGTCACAGGCCACCAAGGAACTCGATGACCTAATGGCTTCACTATCTGATTTTAAGGTGAGTCATTTAATGAGAAAAAGGGGGTTGCGAAGCTTTAATTTGTTTACTATCAATTAATCAAGATCAATACTTTTATGGGTTCAAACTAGTTTTTATTAAAAATAGCAGAGCAAAGGAAATTTTAAAAATTTATTAATTGAGGGATCTTGACTCTTTATGAATTATTGCATTCTTTCTAGAAGGCATTTACTTTATTTCAATACTAATGTTCTTAGGTCGTAGTTATGATAGTTTGGTGTTATTTTATGAATTTGAAAGAAGAATATATATTTATTATATGGTTCTTCGTTATTAAATAACTATATATAATCTCTGGATTAGTATTCTATTTCGACCTGAGATGTCAGGAAATATCTATATATTGAAAGTGATTGATATTTAAATTAAATATAGTTTTAACATTTAACATATGAGTGGGATAAATAGCATTTTTACTGTTATATATGTAAGAAGAGCCTAAGCTTATACAAAACATATATAAATATAATACCCATCGAAAAAGTTAATTTTTAAAGTATTCAAATACAGTCGGTAGAAAATGCGAATAAATTAAATTAGTCTTAGCAAATGTGTCCAATTTTATAGACAATATCACTAACTTAGCGTAATATATCAAACTACGATATATTCGATGTAATATAGCCGCCATAGTTATTTAATATTGTACTTCTTCACTGGACTCTATTTAGTTAAAAACAAAAAACTTTTTGGGTTGATCTTTCAAAATGACTAAAATCAAATGAATAACGTAATTTGGCAACGTATTTAGCTTAAAACTCTTTGTTTATCTTTTAAATACAATAATCCAATATTCTGCGTGTTATTCTTAAATCCCATTCTTGTCTATTTTGAAATATAATATTTGTCAATGATTTGCATCGAGTACTCACAAATTATTTACCTTTTCCACCTGTCGGAGTGTTACGCTCACTTTGAACAGCGTCAGAAGGAATTGCTTTTGTAGTTTTTCTTGAGCATCGCCTACCTTATTTCGCCCATTGTGCTATCTTGTGGATGATATGTATTTTTAGCAGACGACACCCCAATGTTCTCGGTTAGATTGTGCTTGTTCTTGGTAATAAAAATCATAAAATGGACAGATTTATCATCGCAAATCGTGTGACGCCAGGCAATGGTGCGAATCTAATGACACCGTCGATCCTAGGTCCCGGTCCCAGGCCCATGGGACCCAATGAAGATCCCTTAGAGCAAAGTCTCAGAGGATCCGAGAGAGATCTTGACTTTGACATCTGCCAACGCAGTCTGAAGGTGAATGAATATTGGGTATAGTTTAATGGGCAACATAAATTGACTTGGCTAACAAAGTCTGATTATGGGGGAAAGCATTTATGGGAACTGTAGTGATTGTCACATTTCAGCGATTTATTGCACACGGCGCAAAATATTTAAAGACACCAGATTTCCCCATCCCACCCCCATTTACATATACCCAAATCTTTCTTTATTCTATCCGGATCTCATTAAGCCATCGATCAATTTTGGATGGCAAACGAGTAAACAAATATTCATTGCACATCTCCTTTAAATGTATAAATATGTACATATGTATATATAGAGGAAAACATTGTTTCCGTTGATTTGGATTAGCCTGTTTTTCGGCATTCGGCCCTGCCACGTTTTCTCCATGTCTGACATTTGTTTTTAGAACTTTCGGACATCTTAAAGAGAACGCCTATGCGGATGATGTATCTTAGCAGATGTCTTTGCATTTCATTTCGTCTTTTTAATGCCTTTTTATTTAGCTTTCATTTTATGAGCTTTTTTTAATATACTGCAGTTCTCCGGATGCCCGGTTTTTTCATTTTATTCATAAATTTGTGCCAAGGGTGCAGGGGGGAAGTTTCCTTTTATTGAAAATGTCCTTGGGTCAGTTCGTTAATGGAATACATCAATCATTGGTTGGAAAATGCACATATTTAAATGAAAAAAATTTTAATACCAGAAAAATAGAGAGAAAACTGTAAAAATACTTGGAACTAATACGAAATACCTTATAATAATTTTTGAAAATAGTTCAGTGTTTTTAAACGCCTATAATAATTCTTTGAAATAGTTCTAGTTTCAAGTTCAAATGTTGAATGCAAGTTTTTTCTTTTATTTTTATTTTTTATTTTTTTAGTTCAAAATGTTGACAATGCCAAGCATTGTTTTTCTTTTCATAATTAAGGATCTATTGAATTATAAATTTTACCTGAAAGTATATTTAGTAAATATATATTTAGTATATTTTAATACTTTGTGACAGACACCTTAGCAAATGTATTTAAATACATTTTTGCCGCCTTAGTCTATAAGATTTATTGGCAATATTTTTAATTTGATTATACGTTTTGACGTGACGTTTAGCATCGTTTTTATTTAAACGAACATTTTTGTTTAAGTTTTAAACTAGTTAATTTATTAAACGATTTGAATTAAAGACAACTTTTAACTCGAATTTATTTATGTTTTTAAAGTACTTGTAGCTATTTAACACAATCTAAACCAGAAACAAAAGACCTTTTTCGAAAAAATGTCAAGCTGTCAGCAGGAATGCGGCAAATTGTCAGTTTGTCGCCAAGTTATTCGACTCGCATTAATTAATAATTAATTACTAAGTGAAAAATATATTCTGCACATTGATTTTGATGGTCATCGTTGCAACAAAATTAGCTCACAGACACTTAATGGCCAAGCAGAGAAACAGAAAACGGGGAAGTCCCCCCAGTTGATTCTTGAATTCTTTGAGTAAATTGCAATTCAATGTCATTGACGAATGGCAGACGTGAATATTTATTTATAAGGAGTATGAGTGCGAGTATATATTCATATTCGGTGGGGCCTGTTAATTATTTAATATCATTTTCAATTTTCTGCCAGCCGTCAGAACGGGTATAGGCGTGTCCGTGACTTTTTGTTGATATGATAAATACGAAAATTAAATAGGAAAATCTCTCTGCCCCTCGCGTTAGTATATGTGTGTGTGTGTGTGTAGGAAAAGCAAAATAAAAATATATTTCGGATATAAACAATATTGCACACGGCACTTCGGATTTTCCCTGGCGTTCAGACAGTTACCCGCCCCCCACTCCTTCCATTTTCCGACCTCCTCGCCCCCGCCCCTGCTTGTCAACGCTCTTTTTTTCCACAACGTTCCGCTTTTGCTATAGTTTTTCATTGCAAATCATTTGCATATCTATTTTAGAAAGCGTTTTTTATTCTATTTTTCCCTCGTTTCTATAACCATAACGATCCATTTGGCATTCGTGTGTGCGTTTTGTGATGTCTATATTTCTGTTTGCGCTTTCATTGCCATCATGTGCTGCTGCTGCTGCTTAAAACCGCACTCGCAGTCGCGTTTTCCCCCCATTTTCATTGATCGAGATTTCCTCGGTCCCCGCTTCCTGTCCTGTCCTGTTCCTCCCCCCTTGGTCATATCTCCTCCTCTTGGATGGAAAAGCGTGTGCCGAACATGCTCATGCGCTTTTTATGGGGAAATCCTGTTGGCCAGTCGGTCGACGTTCGGTTTTATACTCCACGTCAAGCGACGATATCAGCGAGGTTCTATTCTATGGTCTATAGTCTATGGTCTGCATTGTGTACGATTTGATTCTTAAAATAGACAACAAAAATATTAAATAAGAAGCAGACCGCCAACGCCAAAGCAATTGGTTTCTTTTTTGGCCTAAAACAGGAGCGGATTTCTGGTGAAACGGGTTGAGCAGTGGTCAAGCGATTTGAAGTAAATTTATTTTATACTATGTATATAATTAAAATAAATACCTCGAATTTATATTTTTTATTGTAATAACCAAATATTTTAGAATAAAAGCATAGCAAAAGGAAGTGCTTATTAAGTGTAGGTACCTTTCTGTTCTGTATATATAGTCTTGATTAGGATCTATATATTCATGTTTATCTTTGCCCACTGTATATAATACTATGCTCAGAATATATAGATTTTCTGGAGATCTGTAGATTTCTTTATTATTATTAAAAACCACTATAATAGATCAGAAATATATCAAATGAATTCAACACAAGAACTCCATCTGGCAGATTTAGAGTTCTTATTTTAAACCTTATTAAAATACATTGGAGCATTAGGAAGGCTATAATTATATAGTCTGTCAGTGGAATAATAGAAAATATCTTCTAAGAGTATATTATCTTTTTGAGTCGATAAATTCAAAGGTATTAAGGAACACATTTACATATGTTTCAAGTCACGTTCAAAACCCTTTTTAAAAAATATAGATGCGATGATAGCTCAAAATTTCTTATAATGATTATATTTATTATACTTTCTGTATTTACGAGCAAATATATTGATTAATGATATTTTAAACGTTTTCCATTGAATCCTAAGCGTTTATTAAAAGAAGAAAGTATAAATATTTATTTGGCTATTAAACATTAATAAAAAATTGGTGAAATATTTATTTAAATAGTGTTTGTGCATAGAATTATCTAGTTACCATGGACCTTACCCCTTTTGGGCCTGATCCTGCACCTTACACAGAAGAAGGCAAAGCAGCGGGCGCTCAATTAGGCGTCTACTTAGTTAGACTAAAGCCGGCGGGCAGAGGTGGGTAGGTTAGGGGGAGGCAGAACCCAAGCACGCCCAATGAAAACGCAAAGTTTATGAAAGAAAAATTGAATATTGAAATGGAGACTCGACAGACAAGACCCACATATACACACACACACACATACAGAAGAGGTGGTGGAACAGAGAAGAGAGAATCCCCGCCGCCCACACCTCCTTCCACACTTTCCCAGCTTTTCTCCCGGCCAGTTGTTCGTTCTTCGTTTGTATTTTTGGCAATGAACGAAAACTACGTCAACGTTGAAGAAAAATGCTTTGCATATGAGGAGAGCGTCGTGCGCAAACACATATAGTAGTTCTTCTTCGGCCAGGAGAATCTGTGCGAAGATGGAAGAGGAAGAGCAGCATTATTTTTGATATTTTGATTTTGATTTTTTTGTTTTTTTTGGTTGGTGGCGACGGCTAAAAGCAAAAGTTTTTGTGCTAGCGCTCGCACAACTTTTGATTCAGTCGAGGCAGACACATCAACGTAGGGACCAGCACACAGGAGCCGCAAAAGGATAATTTCGACTAATACGCCTCCATTGTACCCCTACCATTTTGCAGGTCAGCAACGGAATCAACGGTGTAGGAATCGGAATCGGAAACGGAAACGGAAGCCATCCGCAGCAGCACTCGTCGACGTTGCAACATCAAACGGTCACCGACTACGCCAGACCGAACAAGGGCAGCCAGCAGGCCCATTTAACCCAGACGATCGAGGAGACGACCATCGTCGAGGACAGTCGCGAGGATCAGTTGGATTCTATGCTAGGCAATTTACAAGCCAATATGAGTCGCCAAGGAGTCAATACCGTACAGAAGGGTGCTGCAATGCCTGCGAGAAGCCGATCGTTGGCCAGGTGATCACCGCCCTGGGCAAGACCTGGCATCCGGAGCACTTTACGTGCAATCACTGCAGTCAGGAGCTGGGCACCCGCAACTTCTTCGAGCGCGATGGCTTCCCATATTGCGAGCCGGATTACCATAATCTCTTTAGCCCGCGTTGCGCCTACTGCAACGGCGCCATTCTGGACAAGTGCGTCACTGCGCTGGACAAGACCTGGCACACGGAGCACTTCTTCTGCGCCCAGTGCGGCCAGCAGTTTGGCGAGGATGGTTTCCATGAGCGTGATGGCAAGCCATATTGCCGCAACGATTACTTTGAGATGTTTGCCCCGAAATGCAATGGCTGCAACAGGGCCATCATGGAGAACTATATCTCTGCACTGAACTCGCAGTGGCATCCGGATTGCTTCGTCTGCAGGGTAGGTTTATCATTACCATTACTCTTTTAGAATAATATCCCCTCCTTTTACTTGGAAGTTAAAACATATTTGAAAAAGGGCGTTCCACTGACACAAGGATTTTAGCAAGATAAACAAGTTGGTGGAACACCTTTGGCTGCTTTACTACAAAATCTTGCTTTACAGAACCAAAACCCCCACCAAATCATACAATCATCTGTTTTGATAAACTTGTGCCCATTTTAATCGATCATCCTGGTAACATTTATCATTTAGGATTGCAAGAAGGCCGTGCGCGGCAAATCCTTCTATGCCATGGAGGGCAAGCCAGTATGTCCACAGTGCGTGGGCGTTGATGAGGAGGAATAAGTGGAGGAGTCCCAACCATAGTAGCAGCAGCATCAGCATCAAAACTTGTTGCTGAAGTTCATCAGCAGGCAAAAACAAAAACAAAACGAAAATAGACCCGGGTGGCAGCGGTTTCGGATACATTTTTGTATCTAGCTGCGTGCCACTTTCCCCACTAACAGCGTCACGAGGAGAACCGGCAACCAGCTGCCCGCCGTCCGTCTCGTTCTATTTTCGTTGTGGGTCTAGGAGCAACACGCAGCAGCAACACGCAGCAGCAGCAGCACAACAGCAGCAGCAGCAACATTAACAGCAACATCGGCAACAGCAAAACCCTTGTTTAACCCACTCTAATCCCGCCCGGCTGGCCCGCTCCTTGAAGGGGCAGGTGCCGCTGGGTGGGGATTAGGGTTCTTAGCCCTCTATGATGGTCTTTCGCCCCTGAGCCCCTGACCCCCACTCTGACTTGTTGTTGAACTTTTCTATGCGCCCCCTTTTTGTAGGATTAAGCTTGTAGGTACTTTTTAAATTTAAATTCATTTATGAAAATGACCAACAATATTGTAATTTGTTTTTGTAAATAAAATTTTAATAATTACACATACAAAAAAAACATAAAAAAACATAAAAAGAAAACAACCAAAAAACAAGCAACAAGAACACTCAAGGAGGGAAATGAAACGTTGAAAAGTGTTTTCATCGTTTCAAGGTGGCTGCTGTGACCCTGAGGCACCTCAGAGTCACGCATCCCCCCCTTTTATCACCCACGCAGGGCCACCTATATGTTAGTGTCAAGGTCAGTGTCAGTGCTCTGGCCTTGACACATGCGTGGGCGTCGCTCTGTTTGGTTCATGTTGCTCTGTGCTTTTGGTTGATAAACAAATTACAATATTGTGGATATAGATTTGCGATTAGCTAAAGCTATAATTTCCCTAGTCGAGACTATTTTTTCGTTGCTGACGATGCGTCTATATGTTCTCACTATGATCGTACAAGTACTAGAGCAGATATATCTTTTTAAAATGTTTATTGCTTTAGATTTAGTGAAGCCCCTCCCTGGGGTGTTAATTGAATTGATTAGCCTAAATGAATTTATAGATATTCGTCAATCGGTGGAAACTAATCTATGTATTTTTGCGAAATATTTGTGCCAAAAATAGCTTGAAATTAATTCCAAAGTGCACTTGCCTTGCAGCTACTTATTAAATAATTGAAATTCTCTATGATTGGTGAAAATATTATTCGTGTCGTGGTGTATTTTTAGTCCATATCGATATTGATTATTTCGGTTCGCCTGTTCTTGTTGCTGGGCTGCCCCACTTTCAGTTTCCTTTGCATATACATTAAATCAACAAAGAAAATTGTTGAAACGCTTCGGGGGAAATCGTTGCACCTGTTGTTTATGGAATGATTGATTTGCGTGGGCTGGGAAAGAGGGGAGAGAGCTGAAAATAACATAGTTCTCCCCCGCACCAGATATCACGTTCGCAATGATCCTTTCCTTGGATGATACCATCTCCTGCTCCCTCTATCCATTCTCTCCTTGGATGCTGGCCAAAAGCGTGCGCAAAATGTTATTGTCTTCGTGGGACAATTGTTGCTGTCTTGCTTCTCGCGAAATGTTTTTCCAAAAGCTCGAATAAATTAAAACAAATGCGACTTGCCTTGTATTTATCATATTTGAAATTTTGCTCGCTTGTCTCTTTTTGACAATCTTGAATTTTCGCTTCCAATTAGCCAGCCATTGTGTATTCTGCCAGGGTATCTGCGCCGTCCATTCGACACTTTCGGTCAGTCTAATTAGGTTCCTCAGGCCAGGCGTAAAATCTCGCACAGCACTAATATGATGTTGTCGACGATTCTCGATCGGTTTTGCTGGTCCGGTCATGCTGTATGGCAACTAATTTATAGTTGTAATTAGCCTCAGACGGAGGCTGCACAAACATTTGGCCCACAATACATCATCCAAGTACCTCTCATATAAGTATTTCCGAATTCATATTCATACCTCAGTCCAAGTATTGCCAAGATTTTGTAGTTTCACTTTTATGGCGTAGTAAATATTTCTAGTAGGTTTATACCAAAGACATAAATGGCGTAACTCATCTTGTTATAAGTTTATCCTGCACTGGGCTTCTTAATCCGCATTTAAGTCATGAAATAAGGATTAATCCTTCCTTAAAAATGATTTGTTTGATTATTATTCACCTCAACACATAAGATACATAATTAAGATACTCCATAACTCCACCTTAGTTACAGAACCCAATTAATACTTATTTATCTTTTCCAGGACTGCCGACAGCCCTTCCAGGGCGGCTCCTTCTTCGACCACGAGGGATTGCCTTATTGTGAGACGCACTACCATGCCAAGCGTGGATCCCTGTGTGCCGGCTGCTCCAAGCCGATCACTGGACGGTGCATTACGGCCATGTTTAAGAAATTCCATCCGGAACACTTTGTCTGCGCCTTCTGCCTCAAGCAGCTGAACAAGGGAACCTTCAAGAGCAAAAGGATAAGCCATACTGCCACGTCTGCTTTGACAAGATATTCGGATGAAGATAATTCGCAGCTGCCAAACCCTAGTTACGGATATAAATATTGTTTTTTATACGATTTACGAACCCTAGCCCCCCCCCCATTGAAGCACATGACCCAGAAACACCACACGTACACCTACTTACCGTGCATCTGTGCTTTTGTATAACCGAGTCAAATTAGTAATTTAATTAACGCCTATCGACAGGATACGATAATAAATGCAATCGTAATCAATTAGCGGACACTAATCATAATCAATTATGTTGGTCACTTTGGTATTTGCTACTCGTTCAACAAGTAAAAGACCACAGAATGATAAATAAACATGAGAAAATAAACAAAAAAACACTATCTAAATGGTATGAAGCTTAATGGGGATTATGGGTTTTGCTTTACCTCTTGACTTTGGAACTTTTGATTAATTATTTATACAAATGACTTATAAATGACTTTTTATTTTATGTGCTCAATTTAACGATAATGTATTTGGAATTAATTGTTTAAAATATCCTGTATTTTCAAGTATTATAAAATTTGTACAATTTGTATTATTGCTTTAGTGAACAAGGAGAAGCTACGAGTTTTAAAATAATTTATTCTAGTAATCTATTTCAAACAAAAACATTTGCGAGTATTGTAAAAAAGTCTTAGAAATATAAAATTTAATAGTTATTCAAAATTGTCAATTAAAAATTGCATAAACTTTCGAATATGTAGCATACTTTTAGGCATGAACGTGTTCCTAATGCTGGGCTGCGCAACTGCGTAAAGAACTTTTCCAATTTATTTGAAACTAAATCTTTACTCCATTATAGACAAATTATTAATTATTAATTTAATTAATTAATTTTTAAAGAGAAATTAAAAACAATTAGGAAATTTATTATTTGTAATGTTAGGCATATAGAGGAATGTTAACTGACGTCAATTGTCCCGTTTTACAAATCCAGCATACTCTCTCTCTTCCCTTCAGAGTTCCAGCCCAAAGCTTTTCAGTTCACTCTCCATTATTTTATGTTTAAGTTACATTTATGTAATCAGTACCGATTTACATATATCCGACGCACAACACGCAAAACGCCGAAAGTTCTATTGTCATTATTTATTTTGTGTTATTGTTTATAAGTTTATCTTAGAAGGAACAGCACTTGAAAGTTGCTGACAATAAGTGAATTCGTTTTACCGAATTATAAAGAGCAATTAAACTGAGTTAAGCTCAGTTTTTTTTCGTAGTGCAAATTCGACGGAGTGCAGTGAATACTGGTCCAGCAAAAGCGTCGTGGATAAAGGAAAACAAAAAATTAGTTAACAAGGGTTTGTTCATAAATGTAGGAAAATTAATTTTATTTCTTTAGAAGATCACAATGGCAAAAAAATTTTAATTTATTGATAATAATATTATCCGGTTCGGTTTTTTTATTTGAAACAATATTAAACTATAATATTACAAAAAAATTAAACCCTTCGTATTTATTTAATTCAATAGATATGTTACTCGATAAAGCCCTTCCTGCTCAGAAATCATGCGCGTTCAGCGCTAATATTTGTTGGTATTCTTTAAATCAATTTTATTTTCTTAAATAAATTATTTCTAGAATATATTAGTCTTATTACTGGTCCAAAAAATCTGTTGGGCTTTTTAAGAAAAGTCTGGTAAAGTATACAAATAGCTTAATAGGTGAGAAGGATTAAGAATTGTTGGAAATCTACACCCAGTCACCAACAACGATGGTGTCTTCTCCTACTCCTGCTCAATAAGGTTTTTTGTTGCCAGATTATTACAGGCATTTTCAATAATTTAGAAAGTTTGATAGTAGTAATATGGTTGGGAAATTGACCCACACCATATCCGAAAGTGCACGAATCCCGATCCTTCTAGAAAACAAAGAGTATCTAGAGAATACATACCTCATATATATTGCCTCATTATATTTGCTCTGTTAACCCGTTAGCCGGGACTCAAACCCACGCTAGCATCGCTCTCTGTTTGTGTATCTTTTTTTTGAAGAATATTTCACCAACATCTTTGCATCTTTTGCACTCGCTCTCCGCTCTCTCACCTTGGATACGATTCTCACCCACACAGTTGAACAACGATGCCGGCCGGTGTGCTTGCCTTCTCGCTCCCACAACCGCCACTTGACATTGGGGCAGCAACAGAAGAAGAGGAAGAGCGACATCGACCGGCATGCTCCACCAGCCGCACCCCCTCCTCGTCATATAAATTCCATCCCCATGAGAGAGGGGCGTGCGTGCGTGTGTCTGTGTGTGTGTGTGAGCGCGGGCACGTGTGCGTATGAGGTTCGCTTCGCCCCTATATAACGCCGTAGGGTTTCGATACAGCTATGAATCAGGCGGCGTTATTCTCGCTCATTCATTTTTCATCCGTTGGCCGATTCGGTTCGCAATTCCGGGTTCTGTGTTTTTCTCCGATTCTCTATATACTCTCGCTCTCGGTTTGTCTTTGCGGTCGTGTGCCGGTTGTTGTTGTTGTTATTGGTGCTCGTCCGATTCAGCGTGGGTGTGTATGTATTAATATATATCGTTTAATTACCATTATTCCATGAGCTCAGCTAAGAGTTTTTAATTAAACATTTTTCGGAAAGTGAAAACGTGTGTGGAGAGAAAAGGGGAAAAGTGCGGGCCAAAACGAAGCGCTACAGGTTGGTGGTGCAAACACACATACAAATACATGGGCATTGAGGGCCATCAGTGAGAGCATCTCTCACGTGCCTCACTCCAATTCTGACTTTTCGCTCTCTCTGGCCTTTCTCTGGGGCCAAAACATAGCTGTTTCTGCCTTAATTTGCTCTCTCCGCGGTGATGTAATATGAGCCACAGTTTAAACCCGAGTCCTTAGCCAAACATGTCCCGTACAGGGTGTGCCGGTCACTAACCGTGACAGTAACTACTGACTATAGGGAACTGTATGAAAGATACAGATACATAAATACAATATGTTTTTTCTCTTTATTAATTATAGATAAACAAATTCACAGATGTATTAAATATTAATACTCAGGCATGTAAAGTACAAAGTGTACGGTATAGAGAGCACTCACTGTGCCATGATATCAGCCCCAATTGGTCTTATTGTGGCCACAATTGGAGGGCCCTATGTGCGGGAGTGTTGATTGTGCGCTAATTTGTCCAAGTGCCAGTGCGATTTGTAAATAAAAGTGAAATTAGCCATTGCAAATTGCTTTGTAATTCATTTAAAGACTCACCCCGCTTGCCCATTCAGCTCCAATTGATCGAAAGGGAAGGGAAGGGTATATAAATAGTCGCCCGGCTATTTTCAGGTTCAAGGTTGCCAGCGCACACCCTGTGGAGTGCCTGGAACAACAAATTGGGACAATTTCCAGCGACACGCAAAGGCGATTGGTCGGGGGGAAGGGTGGGAGTAATGGCTTTTGCCCATTACAGCTCACCTGGCAGCAATTTTGTTTTGAGGGAGCTTATCACGTAAGCCAAGGGTTTGGCAGTCACTTGGCCAGCTGCACAGTGCTGCTCCAACCGTTCGGTGGACACTTATCAGTTTTGGGGGGTTTTATATATTTTTTCTGCTGGTTTGTTCAGATTTCTGCCATATAAAACAATTATTCGCTTTTTTCGGCTGTGGACAGGCACGCCTCTTAATTATATGTTTATTTTTTTTAATTTATCTAAAATATTTAGTTTTTTCAATGCAAAAGTATTTATTTTAGCAACATTTTATATATAAATAAAATATTCTTAAATATGTAAATTTACAATATTCCTTATATCTTCTATATTCAAAAATAAACAAACAAGTAGAGAACTCAATTTTGGGTAGCCGAAGTTTAAATACCCTTGCAGTATAAAATTATTTTATATTCAACATATTCTTAGTTTTTGAATCGATATTTATAGGTTTTTTATTTGAAAATTTTGGACCAATCAAAGTTTAAAAAACTCATAACTAAGTCAAAAAAGGTTTAATTTTAATTCGGGATGCTGTCTTATGTTAGTTTTTATTAGGTTAAGAATCTGCATATTAAATTTTAAATTAAAAAAAATTAAATTTTTATCAATTTTAAAAATTTTAACGATGTAACCCCTTAAAAATTTTGAAAAATGAAAAATGAAAAATTTAGTTTTCTACCGGACAGGGCTAGATCGACTCGGCTGTTACAACCTTCTGACTAAAGTTAAAGTACCCAGGAAGTGTATAATGGTTCTACTCTCACCGCCAAGTGTAAGCAAATATAGTTTCGAGTGTATCGCAGTTTCCTCGTGATTACGGGAATGTACTGATTGTGGGCACTCTTGGGTGCGAGTACATATCTGAGATTGCGAATCGAGTTGCTAATTAGGTGAAGCAGTTAACGTTCTGAGAAATCCATAAAAATACAAAATAAAAACAGTTTATGGTCGCTTACTCGACCGAAAATTCCCGAACCTAGACAATACGAACTTATCGCTGTGATGTTTGTGCGGTGCTACATATAATTATTACTAATTGTATAATTGGCCGATAATTGTCACCGAATCGGCCATTCGCTGTTGGCCTTATCTGGGAATCATGTTTTTGGCAATGGGGTTTTATAACACATTTCTTGTCGTTTCCTCTTTTTGAGTTGTTTTCTTAATCAAATATAATTATTATGTTATAGTTTGAAGTTCAATCTTTGAACTTTAAGTTCTGCTTCCATAGAAAAGATCTGAACAAAGTTATAGCTCAATATCTCGAATGCGTTATATCAGTAGATGAATTGTGAATGAACTGACAAGCAGAATAACATAAAACTGCCAAAGTCAGTTTCTAATTTATATGGCTATTAAATCAGTGGCTATAATTCTCACTAGTTTATATATTTTGTTGAAATGCATATATATTTTAGGTAAATTATTCATACTCACAGCATTCTTAAGAAACATTTGAGTAAATAAAACTTATATTTGTATATTTGTACTAAGCTTTAAGATAGGTATCCAGTAACTCCAAACTCTATATATTACAGCATCGATCACAGAAAATTAAACCAAATTTGCTATCAAATTCGCACAACTTATGGCATTGAAAGCCAAATTATTCAGAGATTATCCATATCTACCATATTCCGCTTTGATGTTTCATGTTGTTTTCAGAGTTAGATAATATTTTTCTGGCAAATCACCGCATGATCGATCCGTGTTCGGTACTTTTATTTATACTGCAAAGATAGGTTTGCTTTGCATTGAATGCGTGATCGAATTTCTAAGATATTGGGTGCTCAATAAAGTCATGCATTCCTTAAGAACTTGATAATCTTCGATATATTTAGACATGCATGAGTCGTTTTTATGATTCCACTTGAACGAGGGGATTCAGAGCCAGAAGAAGTGTCACACATTTGTGAAAGCGTGCTTTTAGTTAGCTGATAATATTTGGAACTTTAAAGTCTACTAAAATAAATATATTGGTTTAAACCGTAATACTTAATCATCTTTAACAATTTTATTTTAATGTCCCCACTAAATACTTGAGCTTCCCTTATAACTAATTCCCTTACTTGATTACTAATGCATTTTAATTAACGATTGTCAAGTAACGAGTAAAATTTATCAACTGAGAACGCACAAGAGCACAGCTTATATGTCGGTTTCCTCCAGTTTAAATGTCTTGAGATCGACGTTATCATACAGAGCAACATCGTGGCCGGATCTTCCTTCTCCTCGTCCAGCAGACAGTAAATGTTGTCCGTCTCCTGTTTGATAATCTCATCGCCCAGACGCTTCCAGAAGGGACGACAGCGGTTCTTCCACTGGCGAAGGTTGAAGAAGGCGCAGTAACGGCTGGAGGAGGCCTTCAACATGGCCATATAGAGCGGTGTGATCTCATCGGCCATTAACTTGGCCTGCAGATAGTTGGCCATCTTGCGGCTGTGCTGGTCATTAAAGTCCACGTAAATGCGTTTGGCATGTTCGTAGCACTTTTTGGCAATGCTCGTCATCTTTGGATCCTTGGCAAAGATCTTGCCCAGATGCAAAAGGAGGTTGCCTCAAGATCCCGGTGGGAATAGATGCGGACAGGCGAAGGGCACGCTTGTAGCTTGAGATAGCTTTCTCTGTATGTTCAAAGCTATTTAGAAATGCGAGTTTAAGGGTTATCTATTGATAGAATCGAAGAGGAGTTAACTGCTAAGATACTTACATTTCCGAGCACTCTCCCTGAAACAAATAATACTTGATGTTCAGCTTCACAAAGCGGTACTCCTTGCAGGCCAGTATCTGTGTCCTGATCTGATCCAGGCACTGCTGCGCCATGTTATAGTCGCCGATCTCCATCAGAAAGCTGGCACGCTGAAGGAAAGTATCACAGAAAAGTTCCAAGTTCTTTTCCCTACCAACTGAAAGGGGAATAGAATCAGTTAATAGTTCGTTAATTTTATTTAATCTTCTAAGAATAATTATACTCACTTTCGGCCACCAGAACTGTGGCCCTCCGGGCCATGGCAATGGCCTCCTCTGGATTCTGGCGCACGATGGTCTCGCCATGGATGAGAGACTGTCGGGCTAGATCCTGGGCCACCTGTTCGTGCAGCGTAAGGCTACCGGCGGGCATACCTATCTGGGCGGTCCAGACATGACCACGCACCATAGTCATGGCAATCTGGAGGTATTGAGGGCTCCTGCCCGCTGACCCGTGTTCATGAGGTAGAGGGCATAGGTGTAATAGATGCGGGAGATGGACTCGGCGGCCTCCGGCCCGCTCCTGATTCGAGACCCTGTGGCACAACGCGATGATGTGCTCGTTGAGGAGCACCAATGCGTATTGGTACTTCTGGCGGTATGGCTCCAACAGCTGTATTGTTTCGTAGAACAAGGAGAAGGGCTTCTTGAGACCCCGCTGCTTGGTCACCTTGTAGGCCAGCTCGGCCTCTTGGAGTTTAGCCACCATGGCAAAGAGCAGCTCCTTGTCATCGGCTAAACGCTCCCGGATGTTCAAGCTTTCGAAGAGTGCCTTCTCCTTGGAGGCCAGACACTTGACGAACTCTGGCACCATTGTGCAACCCGCCCGACGCAGTTCATCTTCCAGGGCCTCGTATACGGGACCCTTGACCCTACGGGCATCGTCGAGGGTGATCGGCGGAATGCTCTCCCGGATGATGTCACGATCGAAGCAGATCTCGCGAAGGTCCGGTGCGGTAGATTCCTCTTCAACTGGCGCCGTATCCGAACCATCTCGTTCTGAGCTTGGATATCCATGATGGGGATAAATGATCCTCGGTCAGGATTGAGTAAAAGTGTTTACTTTGTGCACTGTGGAAAATATTTGATGTTTTTGGAAAGGCAGATGTAAAACCTAACAGATGGAAAAGAAACGTTTACTTGGTTTAGATTCGTATTTGGTTGATTTCTTAGAATAGTTTCTTATTTTTAAAGCCGTAGATAATGTTTATTAAATATATTATAAGTCTATCAGGTGTTGAGAAAATCTTTAGGCTGGATTCTATAACATATTTTATAATACGAATCGTAGAATGCTCAACTCGAAGTTTAATGAAGTGTTTTTCTTCAACAAAACAGTTGTATTACTCAAAATAATAATAATATTATAGTTTATAATTTAATTCCCAAGAGAAAACAAAACATATACTTTGTTAGGACTTAGGAGCTTACATTCTAATTTATTTCACTTTCGTTCTTGTTAAAGCATTTGGTTTCCGCCCCTTGATATAGCTGTTTAGGTATAGTTGCTAAGGTATTTATATTGCCTTAAAAAATCACAATTTTCTATTTTACTGCCAAGCTTAATGACAGTTCTTAGTAGCTTTGCATTTTAAGACTAAATATATTAGGGATACAAATTTGTGCAAAGATAAGATAATACAGCTACTTAAATATTTTGTTTTATTGGTTATTTTTTCTCAAACTGCATTTATTACAGTTTAAGCTGCAATGCAAAGATACTTAGATACTTTGCATCCGTTTTCCAGTTGTACTTAGCAAACACTCAAACCCAGAAACTCTTCCCAGTTGCACTAAAACTCTACCCGAAAGTAACAGCTAATACGCAAACCCTTTAGTGGAACATAATGACTCTCAAACTCGTACTTTTGAGGTTTTCCCCTACTATGGCTTCAGTTCACTGCACGCTTGGAGATAATGCAGTTGGAGTGCTCCACTTGATGGGTTCGTCTTCGTCATCACCTGTCCAGTGGGTCTAATAAATATTGTTTTATTTATTTTTATATGTTTTGGTATAATTCAAGTGACTCACTGAACAAATATCTCATTCATACCGTTCACAGTAATCGAATCACACAATGGCCAACGAGGACACGAGCTTCATTCCCGATCTACCCACCGGCGGACCTCTGGCCGTTTATCGCAAAAGGGCCAACTTTGACTGGAAGCGACTTCGATTGATATTCGAAAAGGAGCAGGGACTACGCATTAAGGTGAGTGCAATGCGATCAATTAAGGGTTCCACCAATGTCATCGAACATTGAGAAATTCCAGTGAAGCTAATTACCAGGCTTTGACATCTTAATTGACCCCAAAAGTCAGTTTAATTGAAGTAATTGTCGAGATCAATGCATTTTTTTAAGTAAAAACTTTCAGACGTAGACTGTGAGAAACAGATTTTAAGTGAGCTCTAATTTGCTTTAATAAAATTAAAGTTTAATTAAGTTGTAAAAGGAAAATTGAGATATTTACAAGATTTATATTGTATCTCGTAAAGTATTTGACAGAACTACTCACTTTGATAGGTGGTCCTTGGGTCCTAGCCTTATTGGTCTTCGGAATAAGTTCCTAAGCATATCACCTTGAACCTTAATAAATATAAGATTATTAAATATATGAAATATAAGAATATTACTCAATCTTCCCCTTGTTTTTCCAGTACAATGTTTGGCGTCGCCTGGAGAACGATCCCCTCTTTGCTCATCCTTCCCGCACACTGCCCATGGATGAGCAGAAGCGTCTCTGCGCCATGCAGGTGAATCGCATGAAGCACCTGGATCTGGTGCCCAAGGAGATTGAGAATCTTAGCTTCTCGGCCAAGACCAAGTACCTGATGTACATCAATGAGGCCCTGGCCTCCTATTCGCCCAGTCTCTCGGTGAAGATCGCCTTGGGTGTGGGCCTGTTCAATAATGCCATCCGGGCCATGGGCACCGAGAAGCACAAGAAGTATATTGAGGCGGCTTGGAATCGGGAGGTGATCACATGTCTGGCCATCACGGAACTATCGCATGGCAGCAACACGAAGAGCATCCGGACCACGGCCACCTATGATCCCAGCACCCAGGAGTTTGTGATCAATACACCGGACTTTGAGGCCGCCAAGTGCTGGGTGGGAAATCTGGGTAAAATGGCCACTGTGGCCATGACCTTTGCCAATTTGTATACGGCTGATGGTCAGAATCATGGACTGCATGGGTTTTTGATCCCCATACGTGACCCGAAGACCCTTCTCTCCTACCCAGGCGTCCTTGTGGGTGACATTGGTGAGAAGTGCGGCCTGAATGGCATTGATAATGGATTTGTGGTCTTTACCAACTATCGCATTCCGCGGGATAATCTCTTGAACCGTACCAGTGATGTGTCACCCGAAGGTGTCTACGAAAGTGTCTTCACGGAGCCCGGAAAGGTCCTGGGAGCCGCTCTCGAGAGTTTTTCAGCTGGACGTATTGGCATTATGCAGGAATCGGCCAATACTTTGTGCAGTGCTGCTGTCATTGCTGTCCGATATGCGGCAGTTCGTAAGCAATTTGGTCCGGAAAGGCAGGGTGAGGAGATGGCCATCTTGGAGTACCAGTTGCATGTGAGTCAAGTTTACGGAAAATATAATATTTATTAACTAATTAACTTGGATTTTGTAATATTTTCAGCAATATCGCATATTCCCCTATCTGGCTGCTGCCTGTGTCCAGAAAATTGCTGTCGAAGAGCTGACCATCACCTATATGGAGATTATAGCCCGTTCCCAGGCAGACTCCAATGGCTTTGAAATCTTGGTATGTCTTCGGTTGAATTATTAATATTCCTATTGATTAATTTCTTAATTTTCAGACCCAAAATGCTGCTGAGATTCATGCCTTGATCTCATCCTCGAAACCCCTCATTACTTGGGCCGCTCGGGATGCCATTCAGGAGGCGCGTGAGGCATGTGGTGGTCATGGTTACTTGGCAGCTGCCAAGTTGGGTCAAATCCGCACCGATCATGATCCATTGTGCACCTACGAGGGTGACAACAATGTGCTGGGACAGCAGGCCTCCAACTGGCTGCTGCGTCAATGGAGTGCCAAGGAGCTGGAGACACCCATTGGCAGTATAAAGTTCCTGGAGAGACGTCATGATTTGCTGGCTCTGAAATATCCCACCCTACTTCAGCAAACTCCAATTTCTAGCTGGGAATGTGAGTGAATATTAATCTAACTAATTTAGAGGAAACATCATAAATACCTCCCTCAATTTGCAGTCTCTCTCCGTTGCTATGAGTGGCTGTTGTGCCATTTGATGGCTCATACCACGGCTCACATTGAAGGCGAGTTGGCGGCAGGTGGCAGCCGGTTCGATGCGAGAAACAACTCCCAGGTGGCTGGAGCCCGGGAACTATCCTTGGCCTATGCCGAGTACTATGCTCTAAGTCGCTATGTCGATTATGTCCGCAAGCTCAATGTGGAGGCTCCTTATGCCTCCGTTCTGCGTCTGCTGTTCGATGTTTATGCCATGTGGTTGCTGGAGAAGCACATGACCACCTTCTATGTGGGAGGATTTGCAGCTGGCAAGGATTTCGCGGCTGCAGTGCGAAAGCTACTGCTCGACAGTTGCCTGAAGCTGAAGGATGTGGCTGTCAGTGTGGCGGATGCCATATCGCCACCCGACTTTGCTCTGAACTCGGTGATCGCCCGAGCGGATGGTTTACTCTATGAGAATTTGCAAAATGAATTTATGACCAATGAGGGGGCATTCCAACGTCCCACTTGGTGGCGGGATGTCATCATACCGCAGGCCCAGTCGAAACTGTAAGGATACCCACCGATTTCTTCATTTAGTGCCTGGAACTTGGTAACGGGAGGGAGTTGGCCAAGTTGTAATTGTAATTGTGATTGCCACATTTGTTATCAGGTATTAAAGGCAAATTGCATTCGCATAGATCGTAGTAAACACTTTCCATCATAAATTGTAACGTTCACTCGAGTATTTTAAGATCAAATCTGTTACTAGCATACGGGTTAAAAAGTTATGTGTAAACATTAAATGATATCAGTTGATTACAAAGTTTTAATGATGTGTTTTGAATTATGTTTGAAATGGAAGAGAGCGCTAGAGACTTGATTAAAATTAAAGGATTAACATAAATGGAAATTCAGCGAAATTTGAAATTAAGGAACCATCTTACCTGTAAGATAAAGTATCTGTTGGTATTTAAGTAAAGTAAAATGGTAATAGAGGGTTTTATAATCCTGTAAGACTCTGTATTTTATGTAAGTTAAGATCACAATTATATAGAAAGGTATTATAAAGATGAGCAAAACAATTAGGTAGAACAATGATTGTAAATCAAAAATCTTACAAAAATCCCTTACCTAGTCAAGCAGTTACTTTCTATATTTCTACACAGAACCAAGTCAGAATTTAACTCAGTCTGTAATTAAGACTTTCATGATAAACACCTAATAAGCATCGAAAGAAGAGATTTGATAAAAACCCAGAATAATTTACGTTTCGATAACCCTTGTTAAAAATTCGGGAAATTTTCGTGTTCTACATGTATTTAATTACTTTCGCTAAATTAGCATTTTATGAACCATAAGTCATAAATGCCCAGTCAATTTTTGACTTCAAAATCACCCAGAAACAAGCTTAAACAATCAAACAGTTGAAAGCTTTCATCGATCGAGAAGTAGAAACCCAAACTATTTTTTATTATAATTAGTCAACGAAGAGGAGGCTTCTCTTACATTAAATCCCCGAGGCAGCCAGCGTGCCGTCATCACCACCACAGGTGCCTCCAGATCGTTTATAAGAGCACCTGTCCTCACCTGACCGGACCCAGACGTTGCCCAGTTGCCGCACAGTGAAGAAGACCGCGGAGAATCCGAATCCGAATCCGAGCTCAAAACAATACAAATAAATACACAAAACAGGTCGGGAATTGATTCATAAACAAATCAAGTGAGTCGTGCTCACAGTGTTTCTGTATCTGTGAAATAGAGAACCCTACAAATGATTCAATGTAGAGAAATATATATGTATACAGTAATGTGTATAACTTTGATAGTTTTGCCAATTTGTGGCGCAGTTTTGGTTCCGTATTTGGCAGTGTATGTGGTAAAAAAGTGCTCGTCGGCATTCTGACTTATCAGCAAATGTGTTTATAATGATGCTCCATGAGAGACTGATCATCATCAAAGTCGTGTCAGGGGAAATATAAATATTAAAATGTGTATGCTACTCAGTCCGGTTCCTTTGTTTCAACCGAGCAATGTGCCAAAAAAGTTGCTAATTATTAAAAGAAACCAAAAAATGAAAATTGTAAATCATCCACAGCGGACCGGTTGCTCAGCTTCAAAAGTCATTCAATTAGAACACCTCAATTGCCGAAAACAAAAAATCCCCGCTTCGATGGGCAAAACTTGATAAGATCTTTTTTGTAAAAAAATGACAAGCAAAAGCGTAAACAAATTGGAATATAAATGGCGCATCCAAAATTCATATGGAATATAAAAGGCAAAAGGGAAAAAAGCAAACCAAAAAATAATAATAATATACATTTCTAAACGCCGAACAAAATTAGCAGAAACCGGTTTGTTCTCCCCTTAGACAATAACAAATTGAGTCCATAATATATATAGAGTCATATGGAATATATCCATTAATTTACATTTTGGGGGTTTCCGCTTTCGATTTGGCATCAGGCCGGGCGGCTTTCATAGCCGCGATTTCTTTTCGCCAATTCATTATTGAAAAATCGTGTAAAGGCAATTAGTTGCCTCAGCTGAGGGGGTTGCACATTTTATGAAATGCCTGTAATTGCAGGCTTTGAATTATTATTCACATAGTAAGTAACATTGTGGGGGAGGGATGCAGTGAAGCCAATGACCCAGGGTATTGATTACATGGGATTTGTGGCTCCCCGCACAGATTACCGGCTTATGCAAGCGGATTTATGGATTCTGGCCCCGGGGCTTCTAATGACAATGGATGCGAACTCTGGGGGAAACAAAGGGCCTCAGTCATTAGCTACAGACTTATAATACATGATCTTATATAAAAAGAATTCATCTTGGCTTCTACATTCTAGTATAAACATTTCCGTTCTGCTATTTACACTCCAAATTTGTGTATCTTAAATATGCATCGCTGGCTGTTAACCAGTTATTTTTACACTAATTTTCCAACCAGTTTTTAATGAATCCTTTGTTTTATGTCTCAACAGATCAACACTTCAATCGAAGTGAAATATAATGTGGAAGCTTCTGCTGATTTGTGTGGTGATGAGTTCCCTAAATGGAGAGTCATCTGGCGGTAAGACTACCTATAAAAATATATTATATTCTTATTTGTTAAACCAGAATGAGATTAATTTTAAGCGCACATAACTGGGAGTTTAATTTTGCTTTTAATTTTGTATTTACTTTTCCTTAAAACTCCTGAATAAGGTTCTTAAAGATTAATGATTTGAAACCAAATTGAATTAAGAGACTAAGTTATAATGACTCAAAGAAACCTAACTTATAGTCATCATCTCTTTGATGTTTTGTATTTTGTTAGTTTTCACTTAATGGGTTAAATCTTTCGAGTTTTTCTTACTTAGATGCATAAATAATTATTAAATGGTTAAGGACCTAAACCTTTTTAAATTTTAACTATAATTCCTTTTATGTATGTTTGATTTTTTTTGTAAATGAGTTAAACCCTCCTTTCTTAATTAGCATGAATTTAATTTGATTTAAACTAAGCAAAAATATTAATTTATGAATATCTTATTTGCTTTTCAGCCAACAGGCAGCGATCCCGACCACGGCGCGCCTATGCCGGAGGATATGCTGGAGGATATGCCAGCAGTGGTGGAGGAACTGGTGGCTCCACGGGAACCTACAACAGCGGCGGTGGTGGCTACTATGACTATGATGACTATGATGGCAACTCACCCAACTTTGGCATCATCGACCCGTACCTCTTCCATCAGCAGCTGACGAATCACATTTTGGCCCAGAACTATGCCAACCAACAGTGAGCATTGATCTTGTCCCTGGGGTCTTGGCTGGTTTATGGGTGCCTTTGGCTTTTGGGTTTACTTAACGCTTGACCTCTGTCTATTCTTGTAGAGCTGTAACGGGTCTGGCCACGGCTGGCAATGCTTTTGCATCGGCAGATGCTTCTCTAACCGACGACAATGATATGTAATTACTACTAACCTAATCAGAGTTGCTCACATAGGGTCCTTAAGAGCCACGCAGCTTGCAGGATGCCTCAAGGCTCTCGAAGACTTAGGAGCATCTCTGAGCTTAACTTGAAACTAATGATCAGTGTGATCTTTTCCATATACTAATCCTTGTTTATATCCTCTGCAGTCGCATCCAGCAACAGATTGCCGCCCAGCAGGCCTATCATGACAACCTAGTTCGTCAGAATCGCTACCGTGGAGGATCATCGGGTGGATCGTCATACAACTCCCATCGCTATGCTCCCAGCTATGCCGTTGCTTCCGGATCCATCGGACCCAATGGACACCGCCAGACGGCCTATATTAACCCAGCCAATCCGGTAAGTTTATGGTATATAGTGTCTATATATATGTATATTATAAGTCCTGCCTTTTGGATCTTAGTTTAAATAGTTTATTTTATAAGAAATATACTAATAAGGGATCATCTATTTATAAACAAATATGTAAAAACTATTGATCCATGGAAAAATATATTTCTGCGCTAAAAGAATTAGGATTACTATATTAGCTTTCGCTTTAATACATTCAACTCCATAAAATACAAAGAGGAACTACAATAATTATTACTTCAAATGATCAAAATTGGATCATAGTGTTATTTAGTTAGAATATGAAAATGTTAGCATGTTTTGGTATCTAATTTATAATATATAGATACTATTGATCTGTATATCCAGTGATTATATTATTATATTTTTATAGCAAGGTATTATAATTTAAGTCAGAAGCTTGTAAAACTGTGAAAGAGTCATTTCCGACCACATAAATCACATATATTCTTGATCAGCATCAACAACCGAGTTGATCTAGCCATGTCCGGTCAAAAAATAAGTTTTCAAAATTTCAAAATTTTACCAGGGGTTACATCGTAAAATTTTCTAAATTTTCTAAAATTTGAAATTGAGAATGCAGATTATTAACCTAGTAAAACCTAACATATTCAACCTTTCCGAACTAAAATTGGTGCATTTTTGGCTTAGTTATGAGTTTTTTAACTTTGGTATTTCGAAAAAATGTTCATATAAACAAATCGAATCGATCCAATTGACCCTATAATTAGATGACAAGCTGCTAGAGTACATCAACTTTGGCTTTCTGAAATTAATTTCCTTTCTTCTTAAAGATAGTACTATATAACCCAAAATAACTCTTGTGATTACTTTTTTAACCGACTCTATAAATATAAGTCACACTAAAGTGAAGTAATTCATTCACTAGTACTAAATATTAATACAATCAATTAAGTTGAGATATTAGTTTTGTACCTGATAATTCCGAATTCAAATATTATTTTTAATATAATATCATTATAATTCTTTATTTACAGGCCTCTCCCAATATTGTGAACCGCTTTGGCGGCGGCAGCGGCGGTGGCTCCTCGTACTCGAGTTCCAGCAGCTCTGGAGGCGGCAGCGGTGGTGGTGGTGGTGGCTACAAGGGCGTCTCAGTATCATCCTATAGCCACAGCAATGGAGATGGAACCAGCCGACGTGGCGCCCAGACCACGGTCAATGACAATGGAAAGGTTACCTCGTACTCGGTGCACTCTTAGGGGAATCGTTGACTTCTCTAATACTTCTATTCCGAGATTGTCAAAGCTGACCGAGCCCAATTAATTTTGTATAAAATAAATATATAAACATACATGTATTTTATTATATGTTCGCCGACTTTCTTATCTGTGGGATTTCCAGAGCGGCGAAGCTTTCTTTTATTAGAAAGTTCCCTCTCCCTTTCACGCACAAAATATGCAACTTTTTGTATATTGACCTTGATTTTTGGTGCTCTATTTGATTTTGTATATAAATAAATCATTTCGCGATAAAGTGTTATATACTTGGGGTTTATTTTATGAATATATTGCTATATATTTAAATGATTATTTTTATTTGTTTGTTTTGCTTTGACATTTCCTTTTCTTAATGGATGGAAGAGCTTATCAAAGGTGACAGGAAATGATCTATCTCTCAGTTGGTTTGATTCAATATAAAATGGCTAAATTCCAAGGAAGGAATTCTTCAGTCAAAGTTGAGCTCTGGAGAATTGTGTATCCGGAATTTGTAAGAATTTTTAGGCATCCAAAAATAATCTTAACATCTTGAGGGGATTGAGATACATTCCACATCAATTAGATGCAAATTTAGCACATTTTCTAAAAATAAATACAGATTGTCAAACTTTAAACACTCTGAAACAACTAGAATTAAGAAACCTATAAATCTTACATCACAACTAGCCTAAAATCTTCTTAATCAGTTTAGATTTAATAGATTATAATCTCAAATGAAATTTCTGGAAATTTCTACATCGCATTTCATGCCAAGTTTGTTTACAAAACTAACGTAATCCGCAAATAGTAATAGAGCGAAAAGCGAAATGTATACTTCCTGAAACATAATTTACGTTCCAAGGTCTATTATATATTCCTTCACCTTGATCAACGCTATATTCTAAGTTCAAAGTGAGCTCATTACCATCGTCTTCCACCTATAAACATATAAATAATTAATCTCGCAATCGAACATGGCAACTATATACTAGGTATGTCTTTGGGCAAGGTTCCTCCGCGAACAACAATAAATCGAAATAAACCGTAATCTATATAGGGAGATGATGTCGCAATTAACTTTCATCACTCGGCTTTCTGCACCAATTGCGAGCTCCAATTCGCTGGGTATATAGTACACATTATCAGTGCCGCGGCCCAGAGTGGCATCCTCTCTAGGTCAAGAATCAATCGGTTCAAGTCTGACTTATATGCGAGAGCCTTATCATCGCCAATGTCTGGGGCTTTAAAGCGCGCTCCGAATCGCCGGATTCCTTAGTTCGATTTCAATCGCGAGCGTCGAACGTTTTTCCGGAGGAAAATAATCAATACCCAAAGAAAAAAATGAATAAGCTGCTGATTTTGGCCTTGTGTCTGGGTGTGGTCTGTGCAGGTAGTGAGCGATTTTATAAATTCCTAAGAAAACTAAAGTAATGCAAGCTGGCGGTATATCCTGTCCAAACTGAATCGATCAACGATAGCCTTATCAGCTCCGTTGGAAGTGTGATGTCGTCATTGCCATGGGAGGATTTTCCCTCAATGAAAATATTTACACAACACCTTGGAAAATTGTGTAATTGTGGCGCGTGTTGCGATAAGAGATTGTGTGATTTTTTTCAAGTATTAGAAATATATACATTTTCTTTGGATTACATCACTTAGATTGTTAACTAAAAGAGAGTGTGTTCAAAAGAGAGCTTCATAAATTAATTGAAATATATTTAAAAGAAGTTTAAACTGAAATACTAATTAACTTTCTCTCTCTTACTTTCAGATTTCCAGAATAGGTAAGTTCTTCGAGGAAATTGTATTTATTTCTGCTCATAATCTTTGATATATTTTTCAATTTTGGTATAATGGTTAGACAAAAAAGGAACGATTTCCATGCTCGGTAAGTGCAAATGTGGCAAATGTTGAAGAATTTTCATTTTGTATTGGCAAAAATTGAAATTTCCCCCATTGGCTGGCATGGCACTTCAAAATTTTAATCAAAATTACTGAAATGGTTAATAGAACATCGTTTAAAAAACTACTTCCTAATTTAAGAATGATTTCAACATATTTATTTATTTATGGATTGTAAAGCACTGCCAAAGAAATGCATTCATGAATTATGAAATGGTTTATAATATTTATTTACAATATTTAATAAAGACCCAAATTCTTCCCTTAGCCACTATACAAGTCATAACCAGGCTGTGGAGCAGGCCCGCAAGAATGCCTACGGTTCGGGTGGCGGCTATGCTGGAGGAGTCTCTGGCCAGGTCGATGGCTCCGCTAGCTTGGGTAAACTGGAGAGCTCCTACGATTCCGTAGGCGTGACGGAGTCGGTCGAGGGTGCCGGAATTGGCGGCGCTGAGGTGGGCGGTGGTGCTGGATTCACCGGCTCCTCCAGTGGCCAAAACTCTGGCTCCTTTGGTACCCAGAATTCTGCCTCTTTTGGCGGCCAGAACACTGCCGGCTTTGGTGCCCATAATTCGGCCTCCTTCGCTTCCAACAATGCCGCCTCCTTTGGTAGCCAATTCTCCAGCAACGCCGCCTTTACGTCCAGCTCCAACCAAGCCTCCACTTTTGGCCACAGTTTGGGCTCCAACGTGGAGTTCGCCGATAACTCCAATGCCGGCACCAAGGTCAACTTCGGTGGCGCCAACTCGAACTCTGTGGACGCCGAATTCGTTGGGGGTGCCGTCCAGTCCGTCCACTCCATTCCCGCCGCCCAGGGCAATGTGGAGTACTACCGCGAGGAGAAGGTGAGCTCCGCCGCCCCCGTGACCTATACCGTCCCCGCCTCCTCGGAGAAGTACATTCGCCACGAGGAGCGTACCGTCCAGCAGCAGCCCACGGTCCAGGTTTACCAGGCTCCCGCACAGACCGCCCACTACTACCAGCGTAGGGTGACCACCACCGCCTCCGCTCCCCAGGTGGTGCAGCCCTCTGCCCGCCTTACCTACGGCACCAGCTCCAACCTGGCCTCAAACTTTGGCAGCAACTCGGCCTTCTCCTCGCAGCTCGGCAGCTCCTTCGGTCAGAACTTGGCCTCCAACAGCGGACTCTTTGCGGGACAGAACAGCGCTTTGACCGCTGGTCAGAGCAGTGGATTCAACAGCGGATTCAACAGCGGATTCAGCAGCCAACTAAATGCGGGACACACCGGCTTCAGCTCGCAGAGCAACTCCCAACTGTCGCAGCTGGTCAACCAGGTTCAACAGACCGCTCGTCAGCAGGCTGGCTCCAGCTCCGTCTCCGGCAACCAGGTTCAGGCCGGTGGCTACCAGGGCACCCAGAGTGGTTTCAACGCGGGCACTCAGAGTGGTTTCAACACGGGCTTCGGCTTCAACTCAGCCAGCTCCCTGAACTCGGCCAGCTCCCTGAACTCGGCCAGCTCCCTGAATGCCGGAAACAGTGCTTCCCTGCTCAGTGGCAGCCAGGGATCTCTGTTCGGAGGACAGTCCCTGCTCAACAGCGGAGTATTTGGCCAGCACGGCAGCCAGCTGGGACAGAACAGTGGCCTGCAGGCAGGCTTTGGAGCTGGACTTGGAGCCGGACAATCAGGCAGCAACTACCAGACCAAGCAGTGGGAGAAGCAGTCCAAGTGGTCCTCCCAGTCGGAGGTAAGTTTGCATTACATATTCTTAGTTTTTCTAACTTTCTGGATTAAGTAGATTATTAACGTAAGGATCAAAGTCATCATTGTATAAATTGATGAATTCAAAATTAGATTCAGCTTGATTAATGAAAGTGTAACCAAATTATTTGCGTAGGCACACTTTCTATAGTGAAAATTTCGTTGATTTCTTGATTCTTTCCTCTGTTCCAGTTCGACTCCAATGGTCAGGTGAAGAACTATAGGGATCTGGCCACCGGTGAGAGCGAGAAGGTCAACATCAATGGCAAGGAGGCCGGCTACCATGCAGCCACTGCCACTGTCGATGACAACGGAAAGATTGGCACCCACAGTGTCCACTCCTAAGAGGTGTAGCTCTCAAAACCTTATCTAAATCCAATTTTAGAAGCCTTTCGTGTTCTTAGAGAATGAGTCATAATCTGAATGTTATTGTGAGATAATGTGAAAATAAAAAATATAAACAAAGTGTGTAAGACTCAACTGTACTTATTAAACAACCTGGAAAGACTATAATTGTTAAAGGTATCATTGAGGAAAATTAAAAATTAATGGATTGAAACACACATAGTTCTATAGTTAGTTAGGTAGAAAAAACGTCATTGGGTCCCGATAAGGGTCATTACAATCAAGTGATTCTCATTACTGAGTTGTTTAAATGTTTTCTAGTTAAACACCATTGAATTCCCTCTATTTAATCAATCCTACTCACTTTTTATTAAGAAACGAATGATGTATATAATTCAAGACGTCTCAGGAAAAGGGTTTCTCTAGCTTTCCATCCACCACCTGAACGACACCACTGTTGATGACACCTTTATGCTGTTCCCAGGACTTGTTGTCCCGACGGCGCCTAAAATCCCCGGAGGACATGCAATAGCAGGGCTTCCAGCTGGGACGACGATAAGTCTGTCCATGCTCCTGCGGTGCCCGCTCTGTGGTCCACACGGGAACGTAGTGTGTCCAGGTCTCACCATTCCGATAGACACTCCCAGCATCTGAACTTCCGCCGGTGTACACATTCTGTGGATCGTAGTGTGGATAGTAGCCACCGCCACCTCGACTGGAGGATCCCTGGTAGCCACGTTGTTCCCCAGAGAAGTTGGGATTCCACTGGGACTTGGGATCATATGGTTTCCGAGTCTTGTGCTTGGAGTCGCTGCCACCGCGACCCTTGTAGATGGGGACACTGGCGTCCTCTGAGAAAGAAGATGCAAAGAATTAAAGTTTAGAAATGGTATAAATAAAAGAAATGATAATTAATATGGTTTCAAACATTTACTGCCACACTAATTTCTTCTTTTTCTCCCAAAGTGACAGTTTGAAGTGAAAGTGAAATTAAAAGGAACCTTCTGGCTGATGCCAGGACTCACCCTTGTCGCCCTGCTGCTGGGCGGAGCTGGTCTCGTTTCCATCCGCCTCCGAGGTTATCTCGAACGTGATGTCCGTGTGGATGCCCACACGCTTCTTGTGCTTGCCCAAATCCGTAATTTCCACGCTCTCCTTGGACTCTATATTTGTTTTTTACAAATATATATATACATTTTCTTTTTTTTGTTGGTTTTGGGCCCAAAGGGAATGGGTCTCGTTGACCAGCTGAGGTGTGAGCGGATTTAATTACCTTTCGTTTGCTGCTGTCCATCGCCCGTATCGACAGTCACCCGAACGCCATGGATCTTGGGTCGATTTCCCCCGGTGGTGCCTCCTCCTCCTCCTCCAGCTCCGCTCAAGCTGCGTCCCGTGCCCTGGTCATAGCTCCCATTGCCAGTGACTCCACCCACCTGCCCTTGTCCCGGCTGTCCGGTTAAGCCCGTCTGATTGTTGCTCCCGTTGCTCTCATCGAAATCCAGCTTGGAGGACACTTTATTCGCCTGACCTGGTTGCGCCAGCGTTGTTTGTTTTCGGTTTAGCATGGAAATTAGATTTAGCAGAAATTTAATTAAAGTTATGTAAGCACTACAGACCCACTTTTACCCTCTGCCAGTTCCCTTTCCCATTTCCCATTTCCCATTTCCATCTCCAGCTTGGACCTCAATTGGAGGAACTGGAGCGTAACCGAGTCCATGGCGTATAAGTGATGCAATTAGCGCACAGTGACTTATTTATGGATATGCACCGCTCTCAAGTGATTCAGATGACTGAACTAATCTGGAACTTGAGCTGCGGGTTTTCCGATTTGAAATCGCACTTGAATATAGCCACAATTATGGGATTAGTTGCAATCAGAATCGGTTTAGATGGGAGTGACTACCCTGGGGGTTTGGGGTCTTTACTATGTATGTTAAGTTGCGGATTGCAATTACTGTATTTTGCTCACTTAATTTTATGAAAGTTTTATTCTGTTCCGGGATTAAGTATTATTGTTATATTAAATAATTAATTAGATTCAAGTGAATCACAAGTTTAAGTCCTTTTTGTAAGTTTAAAGTTGGTCACACATTAATTCTGTCACTTGAAGTGAAAAATTATATATGGTGTGTCATTCGTATCAATTCCATCATCTTGATAACTTGTCAGAGAATATTTTGTTCGATTTTCAGTGCGAGTGAGAAGCAGCAGAGAAAATGCCATTAGGAGACACTTCCACGGGTCCCATCGACATTCTTAAGGATGACTTAAATGATGAGGATCTGAACCATCGCATAAATGCCATCAAGAGGCTGCCGATGATTGCCTTGTGTTTGGGCAAGGAACGCACTCTAGGCGAGTTGATACCCTTCCTCAACGAGACCATCTACGACGAGACTGAGGTGTTGCTGGTTCTGGCCGATCAACTGGGCAAGTTTACCAGTCTCGTTGGCGGTCCCGAAAATGCCATGTACCTGATTCCAATACTCGAGAGTCTGGCCACCGTCACGGATTGTGTGGTCCGGAGCAAGGCCATTGAATCTCTGTGCACCGTGATCGCCCAGCACAGTGCCCAGGACCTGCTGAAATATGTGATTCCGATGATGCGACGCCTCACCAACGGCAGCTGGTTCACCTTTCGCATTTCAGCCTGCGGCCTTTTTGCGACCTGCTATCCACGTGTCAGCGAGCAGGTGAAGGCACAGCTCCGGAGCAGCTTCTATATCCTGTGCAAGGACACGGAGGTCATTGTGCGCAAGGAGGCGGCCATTAGTATGGTAGAGTTCACCAAGGTAATGGAGGGAATGAGCAGGTGGGAATTCCTTCCCAGCTGTGCCGTACTGACTATGGATAAGGATGACACTGTTGCTATGCTGGCCGTGGAGTCTTATATCATGGTTGCCCAATTCCTGACCCAGATTGAAGTGGATTTCCTGATCTGGCCCACAATAAGGCGATGCGCCAAGGAGTCATCGTGGGCCGCGCGCTATATGGTGGCCGAAAAGATTGTGGACTTGCAGAAGGCAGTCTATCCCAAGACGACGCTACTCAAGCTGGTGAAAGTCTTCCAGAAGTTGCTCAAGGACACTGAGGTCAAGGTACGCACTGCGGCGGCCTCCAAGGTTAGCGATTTCTGCGGCAACCTGTACAAGGCCAAACATGAGAAGGTCATTCTAAGCTCTATTTTGCCCTGTGCTCGTGATCTGGTCTCGGATCCGAATGTGGATGTTAGGTCAGCTCTGGCCTCTGTCATCATGAACGTGAGTTCCATCCTGGGTGCCTCTTACACCGTGGAGCGCTTGCTGCCCATGTTCTACACTCTGGTTAAGGACGAGAATCCGAAAGTGCGCCTGAATTTAATCTCAAATTTGAAGAGCGTCAATGAAATCATTGGCATCCAGCAGCTGTCGAACTCGCTGCTTCCGGCCATCGTTGAGTTATACGAGGATCCTAGCATTGAGATCCACCTGGGCATCATTGGCGTAATGCCCACTCTGGCCGGTCAGTTCGGTCAGGTGTTCTTTGACAAGAACCTAACCTGTCTCTTTATGGGCTCCCTCAGAGATCCTGTCTATGGGATTCGCGAGACTGCTGTTATCAATCTAAAGAAGCTAGTCGCGGCTTTTGGAGTTCTCTGGGCCGAGGAAGTCGTCATTCCTGGAATATTGACCATGCCCTGCGACCCGGAATATTCGTACAGAATGACTTACTTGTTCTGCGTGAACTTCTTGGCCGAGATTTGCGGCATCGATATCAACACCAAGATTCTGCTACCCAGAGTTCTTCAACTCGCCGGCGATCCTGTTGCCATTATTCGCTTCAATGTGGCCAAAACCCTGGAGAAGATTTTCCCCTTCCTGGAGGAGAGTGTCATCGATGCCCAATTGAAGCCCACTCTAGACAAGTTGATCACGGATAGGGATGTGGATGTCAAGTTTTTCGCTGCTCAAGCCATCGCAGGTGAGCAGCAGCAAATCAATCTTGTATATTTCATATTTACTTTCTTCTTTTTTCATTAGCAATAATACCAAGGAATTGAATATTAAAGTGAATCCCCGGTTAAGGCATTGCTAAGGTGCTAATCTAGACCAGAACAGAGTACACTATCACCTGCCAAGGAGAGCCACTAAACATTATAAAATACATACTAAAATTATATATTAAAAATTAACACATAAACAAAAAGAATATTAAAACATTTAGCAGAGTTTTCAGAGGTGCGCCAGAGGAATTTAATGATTAGGGAACGCTCTTGCAATGCCATGTAAATCTTGTGTTTTTCCCAAAAGTTCTCCGAGACTTTAGGCTTGGATTTGATCACTTTTTTGTATTGTTTCAGCTTTAAAAGTAATTTAATTATTATAAACAATCAGTTAAGATCACCGTGAAACTTGAATTTCACCCAAAATATAGTAGTTCCCCCGCTAATGGAATTTCCCCCAAAAATTGTGCGGAACGAAAGGAAGGCTTCAAGAGTTCGATTTGCTAACTCATGGAGGAGCTTCTGCCACCCGCCGCGTGATTGATTATTGAACAATTGCTCTCAACAACCTTGGACACCGTGATGAGTTAGCAGCAGGCCACAGAATATTAACAAGTGGCAGAAGGCGGTGAAAGATCGCGTTGTTGACAGCATCTTGTTACTTTTTGCTCTTCCCGATAATGGGCTTTTCCCCAAGGAGTTTCGCGAACAATTCTCGAGTGTGGAGCGCGTCTTGTGTGCGCACTTGAAAGCCGCCGACAAACAACTAAGCGATGCAAAACAACCAAAGCTAACTTCGAATATCAACGGCGATTCATTAAAATTAACTTACGAAGCTGGAGAGCAGAAAAAAACAGCTTTTGTTTATAATTCTATTTCAGTTTCACTTGATGTTGATGGTTTGTGCACAAGGAGAAACGGTATTCGTTTTTGGTTACTTATTTATTACATATTCTAAAATATAAGATAAGATAGAGCTTAGTATTTTAAATTTCTTAAAGTCTTTAAGTCATAAGATATTTAAGAAATAGTAATATATTTAATTCATTTTATAAAGGATACTTTTTCAGCATTATTTAATATGCAATTTGTAAAAGATACTCATTTAAAACCATGCAATATTCTTAATGTAATTTATAATAGATAGTTCTTAAAGGCAGAACTTTAAGGTATTTTAAAGAATCTATTTTAGATTTTAATTTCAAATTTCCTTTTCAAATTGTTTTAAAAATATGGATTGAAAATAATTTTTCTCCACGTGTGCTTCTGTTGTTGACGGCTCGTTAGGGTTTTGCGGATAAGATCTTGACTCGGCCCGGAGTGAGTTGTTGCAGTTGCCTCTGGTGCACTTGTGGGTGGGGCCAGTTGCACCTGAGCAGGTAACGAAATGCGTAAGTCGGAACACCCGACTTGCGACGATTCAATCCCTTCAATCCCCTTGCCAGTAATTGGCTTTAATCGGTTGGCTGGCATCTCTTGCGATTGTTCTGATGCCGTTTCCGCCGTATCTGTATCTTGGAGATTCCATTGTATCTAGCTGTGTTGTTGTTCTGTGGTTTGTTTTTGGGCCTTTTCATAATGCTCTCATCGTTAATCATGGGATGCCGAGCGCTTCTCTATGGCTATATGGCTGGCAATTATATTCTGTGGCAATTTTGACAGCGGCCAAGCGATTATCGTCATTAGCCCCCCGGAGAAATACGAAGTTCATCGCGTCTCAAGTTCAAGCTGAATCTGAAAATAAATTGCGTTCTATTCGAAGGTTCATTTATTTATCGGATGTATATTTTTGGGGACTTTCTTATCCGTATCTTGGTCTGCATTTCGGTGGGTGGTGGTGCACTAATGAAGGCTTTTCCCATTGTCCTAGCAACGCCCACGAATCAACCACTTCCTCAAGAGAAAATATATGGATCTAGATCTCCCCATAACCGCACATGTTGGAATAATAATGCTGTATAAGCCACGAACCCCATTCAACCCCTGGTCCGAAGCAATTAATTAGCAATTGCATTTGCCGCTGTCATTACGTGTGATAATTAAAAGGACTCTCTCTAGGGTGGCCCCAAAGAAAGCAGGCAAAAGAAGTCCTCTGGCAAATGTATGGCCATAAATCGTATGCCCTTTTGGGCCCGGCCAACATATCCTGTGCCCGGCTGCAAATGCACTTTAATCTGGAATTTATCAAGCGTAATAGTTTTGCCCCTCACTTGTGGCGGGTTAGCCGGCAGAGCTTTTGTAATCTCAGGGATTAGACTGCCGGGCAGGAGGAGGACCGGTGTGGCTGGATGGGTCTCGAGCGAAACCATTAAACAGATGGATTTCGTTGTCAACCTTTTTATTACAAGGCATGAGTGGTCGAGGCAACCTGACATGTTCAGGGGTTATATTGCTTTCGCAGGATATCATTGTATTTTGCTTGGAAAGATTGCAGAGTCTATTGCTGTAATTACAAGAAGATTTCTACGTATTCTTGTGGGGAAATATGTAGGATACTTGTGCATTATAATAAAGGTACACTCTTTCACAATTCCTCAAAGATTGTGGTATCCTATACGAATACAATATAATTTAGTTTAGTATAGAAGAACTCATTTAAGGTAAACTTGAGTATCTTTTCGTTCAAACCTATAACTTGAATCATTTTATAATATTTTTAATAATTGTTAACAATTCAAGATCTGTGAACCTTTATTAATCTGTAAAACAAATCTAATAGTTCTTTCTAATAAAACAGCTAAAATTTAAAGGCTTTCATCAAGTGTTTTGGTATGTTAGCTAAACACATTATTAGGCTGATTTTAAAGCCATTTATAACAAAATAAATTGGAACCCCTTGAATCACTTAATCCCTTTCATAATATAAACTTCAAAAATCTGGTAAATAAATCTGTGGAGGCATTCCCTCATCCCCTTCCCAGTTCCCTTTGACTAATCAACTTGTTTAATATAGTTTTTGTTTTGCTGAATCCATCTCCATCTGTACATCTGCATCTGCATCTCGGCCAGAATCGGTTCCCCATTTGGTCTCTGCTCTCGACCGGCTGACTGACAGCTTCTGCTGTTTGTGCGTTGTGTTGTGTGTTGGCCGGTGATTTGCATAAAGTTTTGCATTTGCTTACATCAACTCACTATAATTCTCATTGTTCCTATGCATTTGTGTTGCACTCGCCGGACGGTGGAGAAGTTCAAGTGCGTTTTCCAGCGAGTTGCTTGCATAATTCTATGGGCCCTTCAACACCAGAGAAACCTCTCAAATCTCTGACGGGGCAAGAGGAGTTTGCCATCCGTTTGGACAAAGGCATACTTTTAGGCTGTTTTTTTGAAATACTTTGGAAAGGAGCTACTGCTTCTGGTGTTGACTTGGCCACAAATTCTTCTTTGGCCATAAATGTTAATTACACAGAATATACATATACAAATAATGGAGGGACAGACGCCTGAACACCTATCTAGCAGATGCAGATACAAAGATACAACATGTCTGGCTGGCCAAGAACAATTACCATTGTCGGGCATCGGACAGAGGCCAGCAGGGCAAACAATTAAACTGGCAAAATCAAAATCGAAATTTACTAATTTATGCGTCTAGCTGCCATTTACAGTTTATCCAAAATTACACTGGCCACCTTCATAAATTGTACAATTTGCAGGGGGCCATCCTTGAACTAATGAAATAATGGGACGGTCGGATTAAATTATGGCCGGCGGAATCCCAAAGGACCACAGGAACAGGACTCGGGACAATAACTAAATTTGCACCCGACCAAGGTACAGACATTTTTTGATTGCATTGTTGCCGTTTGATTTGCAACCACTCGAGGAACATGCCACCCACCACCGCCACCACATCCTGCCGAAGGGCAATTCGACACCTTGGAATACCAGGAACCCAAGGACATCACCCCAGCACTCTCAGGCTCTTCCACTTCCGACCCTCATTGACTATTCACACTCATGTATTTCTCTACCATCGCCGTATTATTATTATTATATTTTTTTTTCTCTCCTTTCGCTGTATATAAAATTTTTATTATTTGCTCGTTTACGGCTCTAGCGTTTTCTCTTTCCATGGCTCTCTTATTTTCCTGCCCGGGTTTATCGTTCTCGTGTAGTGCGAAATTATCACAAAACGCATTGAATTTGCTTTTATTGTTGTCGGGTGTCGGCTGCCTTTGCCCCCCGCCATACCCCGCTGTGGAAAATCATTTTTCCACCCCCTCTGCATCGGTTGCCCCTCCCCCTAAGTCGCTCCAGTCGTCTGCACTTGAAAAAATCGACACTAGGTATAGTAATATTTTTATTTAAAAACTTTTAGGACAAATCGATGTTTAAAAATCTCATAGCTAAGCTAAATAACATTAATTTCAATTTGGAAAGCATTCCTATGTAAAGTTTTATTGGGTTAAAAAATTGGGCTAAAAAATGTGCATACTCAATTTACAATTTTAAAAAATTTAAATTTTTGCAAATTTAGAAAATTTTAACAATGTAACCCCTTATAAAATTTTGGAAATTTTATTTTTTAACCGGACAAGGTTAAATCGACTTGGCTGTTAATGTTGATCAAGAATATATATGATTTATGGTGTTGGAAATGACTCCTTAACTGTGTTTCAAGCTTCTGACTAAAATTATAATACCCAGTATATTTAGGAAGTCATTTGAAACTGTGTACTACGTCTCACTTTAAATAATATATATTTTTTGCTTTTAAACTTCTTAAATTATATATTTTAAAATTTTTAGTTCAATATTCTGATTGTCAATGTCAAGTAATCGTTTTCTTGAAATAATTATCTATACGGTATAGAATAATTATCTTGTATATTTATTTTATACAAGTTTAAGAATATCTTTCTTAATATATTTATTTAATTGCCTTGATTTTACCCGCCATTTTCTGCCAGTGTACCTGATGCAGTGCACCGGAAGCAGCAGAAGCCGGCTGCTTTTGCCGCCATCGTCGTCTTATCGTCTATGTCTCCTTTGTTGTGTCGCCACCGCCATCGCCAGCGTTGCTCCTGATGCCCCCCGATGCCACTGAAGTGGTGGTGCCCACCGAAACCACAGTGGTTAGTGGGGGTTTTTATAAAAGCTACAACTGAAACTGTGGAAATGTGTAATATTGGGAATTAATCACTATACTTAAGATTAAATTAAGCCAGAAAAATGTGTTTAATCTGACAGAATCCATAACTAAATATTCTATCATAACAAAATAGAAGCACTTCAAGGGTTCTTATTATATATATATTAAACTTAGTTAGCAATACAAAAACATCCCTTAAATCGCCTTGATTTCTTTTGGTTATTTTTTGGACCCACTGTGCATGTAAGGATTCTTTATGGCCACCTTCCCACATCGACGTAATCTGGCAGGTTGCTTGAGTGCAAAAAAGTTGGTTTAAGGCCCTTGAAAATGAAAATGTTCTCTGCAGCTTTTCCGAGGGCTTTTGCGGTGGCTTGTTGACCCACCCTTGCCCCTGCCACTCCCACACCCCCCGACACTTAGCTGACAATGAGCAGTGACAGCTACAAAGGGGGGTTCTTTTTATTCTTGAGGAACGGCAGGGGGTTAACTCTGTATAAGAGCCGCTTGCGGTTGCACCGCAAAACCCCCGCTCGGTAACCAGGATCTCAGATCCCACATCCTCATATCCTCATATCCTGGTACCCCTCATCCTGGACGTCTGCACGTCGGCTGCATCTGTCGCATGCCGGAACTAAGCGAAAAACGAACCCGGGGTCAGGGAGATGAACCCCAGGGAACAGGGCCGCCGTCGATAATGATGCGTACTCGCACTTGGCGATTATGATGAGTTTGATAGAGAGATGCAAACGGGAACTACTCGACTTGACATGCATGATTTAGTGTCCCGTCTGGCGGGTTGCACTTGTCCAACACCCCTAAATCCCTCTCCACCCCTCAACTCATGACCTCATCCCTGCCTCGTTCATTTCGCAATTGCAATAAGTCAAAAATGCGTGCTGTCGTGTGACATTCTGCAATTATATTTTATTCTGTTGTTTTACTAACTTAAATGCAGCTATGATTACCTCAAAAGGTTTTTTTTTTTTTTTTTTTTTTTTTTTTTTTTTTTTTTTTTTTTTCTTATATTTATATTCTGTATTTTAAATTTCTATTATTTTTAACAAAAATTAAATACAAGAAATATGTATAAAATCAATGTATTACATGCTAATTTTGGTAAACAAGTTTCCAAATATAACTAAGCAAAAATAATTACAACGAAGCTTTCCTAAGCTATTTATTATTAAAATCTGCTATCAATTAAGATTAAAAAAAATGAATTAACCCCTTATAAAATTTTGAAAAATCGAAAATTTTGCAAATTTAGTTTTTCAACTGGATATGGCTAGATCGATTCAGCTGTTGATTCTGATCAAGAATATATATGACTTAAAGGGTCGAAATGTCACCTTCACTGCGTTGCAAGCTTTTGACTAAAACCATAAAACCCTGGAATGGTATACAAATAATATTAGTTATTTGTTTAATTGAAGTATCTCTTAATCTTTTTTTTTAACATTTCCTCTAATAGAAATTCTGCATTAACTTGGTAGTTCAGTGTATCAATTCGTCCTGCACTTTGTATATCTCGCTGGCAGCATATGGCTCTTAGGATCCGAGGAGGAGGGCACCACTTGGGTTACCCTGACCATTGGCAAGCGGATCTGAACCCAGTCTCACACACGGCCCATAATTGGATTTCGATGACTGCAAATTGGTGATAATTTCGATTCGCTTCCGGGCAGCTTCCACGGGTCGCACGTGATTCGTGAAAATGCGACCATCTGCGCCCGATAGTGCAGACTCTTTATGTCTGGTCGTGACCGGCTAAATACGGATTGTACAAATGGACACAACGGATTGGCAGAGCAGGGAGCAGGGGTAGAGCCGGGTCCGGTGGCCAAAGTCCACAATGGGCTCTTTGTGTCTGGTCAAACAGCCTCGATCACACACAGAAACGCGGTTGTGGACAAAAGCCGACTCCCGAAATGGTTGAAGTGAAACATGCAATGCAAACATCTTTTCACAGCGATTACTCGATAAGAACTATAATATAAGCGCTGTCAGGTGGCATTAAAGACAGTAGACATTCGACATGAGATGCTGTGGGATTGTGGTGTGCCTTCTGGGCATCCTGGAACTCATCCTGGCCCAGGATAGCACATGTAGTGTGCGATTTGTCAGGCTAGGCAACAGTGCCTATCGCTTGGAGCCTGGAAAGGCAAGGAATATTACTAAAAATATATTTAAAATTTAATTATATGATAATTGCAGTTTAACTGGTGGGACTCTGCTCGCCGTTGCATGGCCCTGGGCTCCCAATTGGCCCATATTGACAGTGAGGGGAACTGAATGCCATTTCCACGTATCTAAACCAACTGGGATTGGTCGCCACTGAGGCGTATGGTTCTCTGGCATCGGCATCAAGTCCGGAGCCTGGATCTCCTGGCCAACTCCAAGATCCTCTCCTATTTCAAGTGGGGTCCTTCTGAGCCCAATGACTATGGCTCTGTGGAGAACTGCCTGGGCATTAAGGTCAACAGTGGCAACTGGTTCATGTACGACCAGAATTGCTTCACAGAGCAGTCTTACCTGTGCGAGGAGAGTTCAATTAATTTAATTTAAATTTAACATATAGTTTTAAAGTGTTTTTAATAGAAATTAAATGTTATATTACATTGCCTTTAAATCTCTAATAAATACTTGAGTACAACGATTCGTCTTCCTGATGTCCCGGATTGTTCTATCGATCGACTTATTGCTGTTAGTCAGCTTTAAGATTAACGAATAAACGTTGAATGTAAACTGAACTATATCTATATTCATATTAGTTTTATAGTATTTATAAAAGTATTCTCTGCACTTGGTTGTTTTATGGAAATAGCTCTAAAACTAAACCAAATAGACAAACAGTCGGGCAGAGCTATTTTATTAGACAGTTGGGCTGACTTCTTTAAGTTTTTATTGAATTAAAATGCTTCATTTTTTGTAAATATAATGCATTTTTAATATTCCATATTTAACTAATACAAACATTCAATTCGTATAAATCTGGTACTATCATACTCGCAGATGTAGGACAACTTTGAGCGGCATGAGTAATCATTCATGAACCAAGGCTCTCCAATGCGATAGAGATTCATGCAATTCTCACTGTTCAGGTTGTCCGGCTGACTGGTGTACCACTTGGCATACGGAAGAGGCCTGGCTGGACCGAACTGCAACCAACTTCCCTGGCGACCCAAGCCACCAATCCAAATCCAGTCAGATCGATAACCCATGGAGGTTAGGAAGTCGGCCAGCTCGTTGAACTTGTACTCGGAGTCGACGGTGGCCAGCTGAAGGCCGGCACGAATGCAGCGCTCGTTGGCATCGTACCAGGTTTGCTACATTAATTAATATTAATTAATAAAGTATATTAAATGATATTCTTAAAGCACCTTCTCCTTGCTCTCCACATAGTAAGCCTTCTCGCCGACTCGACTCAAAGGCAGGGTGCATTGATGATGCCTGTATCTGGACTATTCCGAGCACCGAAAGTAAAGTAACAAGGCACAACGCGACATTTTCGACATTCTCTTCAGGAATGATTATGATTTACTGTCTTATATAGAAGGTTCCCTCTTCACTCTGCCATTGTTCTTTAATCATATTTAAACTAAAATCTTTGGGGCCAACCGCAATCGATAAGGGCACCAAACAAACTAAGGCCTCGGAGTGGGGCAACACTTTCGATGTCTGAAATGCTCATTACTTTGGATTGGATGCGATTGAGCCCACGGGGCGTTGCGTGTCAATTTATGCAACTCTCCTGCAATTTCCGGGGGGTATTAAGGCAATTTCCAGCCCACTGGCCACAGCATACACCCGTGGACAGGGGCAGGACTTAATGGGGAAGTCCTGCATATGACTGTTCCCTCTACGGCAGTTTGGGTGTGACGGAAAAGCCTTCTGGGCATTGGAACGCCCAAGTGTGGGGAAATGTCTGCGTTGAGGAGACTTTTTTTTCTTTTGGTAGCTCAACCAAAATTGATATCACATTTGGATAAGGGAGCAAAATGACAGGCTGAGTGAAGGCTTTTTTTAAAGAGCAAACCAGTGGAGTAAATTGACCCTTTAATGGGTTAACACTAAATTTAAAAATATGTTGATATCTCTAGATATACTCTGCTGTTGTTGAAGAAACCTAAATGGTTTAAAAATGCAATGTCTATGTACAGTAAAAACAAAAGCATTTCCTCCCAACTTTTCCTAGAGTTCCCTTGGAGTTCAACGAAGTTAAAACACTCAATTCACTTCCGGGCTAAACATCTCATTATATTCCAATTTCCAATTTTAATCTTTTGAGAGGATTTAGCATCTAAATCAAATTTTTGGCGCCCCACGACGATGAACCCTTTTCCCCCGAAAGCAAAGCAACCCCCTGTCAGTAAAATGACAACTCCCCGGGACTTCTTCTTCTTCAAACGCAATAAAAAATACTCTTAGGGCAGTGCGTATAAAATGTCAAAACGTTTTACCAGCATTCGGAAAAACGTGAAGCTGTAGTCGACTCGGGAGCATCACAATAAAATGGAAATTCGCAGCAAGTAAATGCAATTTAGCTGAACGGGAGGGTCGTCAAGTGGCGCTGCACCCAGGGGGACGGTTTGATTTACCGTCAACAGGAGATTGAAAAAGAAAAAATACATATATCTATATAGAGAAATAGAATCAAGCGGGCAAAAAACACGCGCCACCAAAAAGTGAATTAAGAACGAGTGTGCTGGAACGAAGGAGGAAGCCCATCGAGGGTGTTTTTCCAGATGAGGGTGTGGCCGGACTGTGCGGGGGGGAGGGGAATTGAGTTGCAACACTTGGCAGGTTTTTATCTACGCACCACAATCAACCAGCCAACGGCCAACGAGCCCAGTCAGGATCAGGATGGGGGAACCCCCAGACCCTGTCAGCAGGTCACAGACCATCCAGCAGCCATCCATTCTATTCCAAAATACACTTGACGAATTTTTGGCCTTCTTTAGAATTTTAAAATTGGAATTTTAAAAAATTTCTACTAATTTAAGTAAATATTGTCTTTCCTGGATGTTCTTTTAAGATAGATATGGTAGATAGATAGATAGAAAGTTAGAAGATAGATGATAGATGAAGATAGATAGATAGATAGAAGATAGATAGATAGATAGATAGATAGATAGATAGATAGATAGATAGATAGATAAATAGATAGATAGAAAGATAGATAGATAGATAGATAGATAGATAGCTAGATAGATAGATAGATAGAATAGATAGATAGATAGATAGATAGATAAATAGATAGATAGAAGATAGATAGATAGATAGATAGATAGATAAATGATAGATAGATAGATAGAAAGATAGATAGATAAATAGATAGAAAGATAGATATGTAGGTAGATAGATAAATAGATAGATACATGCATACATAGATATATAGATTGATAAATAAATAGATATTATATTAATATTAAAGCAGCCAAGGCTTATATTTAAAATTATTTTTGGAGCAGTAAATAAGATCTTTCTAATTTAACCACTTCATAGATTTTCTCTCACTGTGTACCCATTTTCAAGGGCGCTTTAAGGCAATTAAATTCTTAAGTGTAGGCGGAGTGACCGACCATCAGCCTGGCCAGAAACCGAACAGGAGCAACTGTTTCGTGTTGGCTCGCGTTGATAACAAGATTTGTTTTTCAAAATTTTGAGAGGGTCGCCCCTTAATTACGCCGAAAAGCGCAATGAGCAATTTGGAAATGGCAAGTGAGGACTAAAAACCACATCCACCCCATCGGCAATTTAAGTAAATTAAATTTAGAGTGCGCCCATCCTTCGATCTTCCTTTCCACGCCGCTCAAAAGTCAAAAGTGGATGGCCCGTTTGGTTGATTTAAGCCAGAGATAAGGGTATCTGAGCTCAGGAACCCAGACAGGATACAGGAGGAGCGGCCCGAACGCGCATCCTTAGACAAATGCGTTTTGCCAGACACTCTCGACACTCGCTACATGGATATTCCATTAAAAGAGCCAACACGAATTGAACAATTTTCACTTTATGATTTATTGTAATGAGCTTTTTATTTATGGCACGACTTCTACTATTGGCCATAAAAAATTATGTTGCTACGTCTGGCCCTTGTTGGTATTTCCCCGAGTGTTTTGTGTTTTCGAAAATTAAAAATTAATTAGGCATTTATCACTTGACTGTCTAACAGATGGCGGCTTTCCTAGTGGCATGGTGGTGACACAAGTACGATGAACATAAGTGTTACTGAACATGAATATTCTTTCAGGGAAAAGGTCCTTCACGTGGAAGTGTGTCTTGGTTCGAGTGCAAAGCGGCTTGGGGGATTCATTGGGACATGAACCAGGATATGGATACTAAATTAAATTCTGATCTTAATACAATTTAACAAACTAAAAGTATTCACTAACTTCTTGTATTTATCGAGCAAATAAAAACAAAGAGTCAATGTTGAGGGGGAATGTAAAGGGAGAAACAATTCCTCAAAAGTTTTCTAAGCAAAAGAGTTCAAGAAAACATATGTTTCTTTGCAAATTAATAAAAAGAATCTCAATTACTAATAATTATATCAAGAAAGCTGTCAACAGCTGATTACAATTGCGATAGAGCTGATTACACTTCTCAGAATTGGAATTGATAAGCCACAGGGCTTCTATGGAATAAGCAATTCCGATCATTTAGAACTCTGAAGGAGCTCCCGATTATCAGATCTTGGGGCAGTAGCGACTATAAAAGATCAGCACAATTGAAAATCATTTAAAGTCTGCATCAAACACTTAAGAGAAACAAACAGTTGAAAAATGCGATCTATTCTCGTGCTCGTAATTTTGGGATTAGCTTGCCAATATGGCCTCGCATCTCCGGTGAGTTTTTCTTCAGGATCAGTATCACCTGGATGTAATAATTAATAATTAATTAATAATAATTTCAGCCCTTAATGAAAGACCCAGGACTATTCTATAATGAGTTCGTGAGTTCGGCTCTAGAACCTGTTATATCACAACTGGAAAATGTGCAAAACATGAAACTGACCAGAAAGTCATCCTCTCGAAACTTCTCTCTTCGTATGAAAATGTTATTGAAAAACTGACAAAGATAGAGAAACTAATCGAAGGAATTCAAAAAGATAGCCAACCGGTTGAATCTACGGAGGCTTGGCAAATGCCAACAGAGGGATCGGTGATCGAGGAGATAGATGAAGAATTGCTAAAAATTATGAGAAAATTGGATCGAAATACTATCACTTTGAGAACGATGAAGTACTTAACTGGTACGAGGCCCAGGACAAATGTATAAGCTTGAATGGCAACCTTATTAGTCTTAAAAATGAAGGGGAGTGGAACGCCATTACCGCCCGACTGAACAAACAATCAAGCTATTGGGTGGACCTTAACGATCTTGAAAAGGAGGGAGAATTTAAATCGGAAACCAGCGGACAGGCAGCTCCTTTCCTTAAGTGGGATATCGCAGAACCAAATAATCTGGCTTTTTCGATAAATAACGAAAACTGTGTTGAGTTGCGGGCACAATATAATCATTATATGAACGACAACAACTGCTATTCGAAGAACTACTATATTTGCGAAGCGAACTTAAATGATTATCCCACAAAGGAGAGTCAGCAATAAAGATTGAAAATGTGTGAAAATCAGACGTCGTTTTAAGCTCTAATGCCAATAAAATATGATATTCACACTTTTGAAGACGATTTAATTAGTAGTTAAGACTAGATGCTTTGGATTAAGTCACAAGTTAGTTATTAAGAAATCAAATTCAATTTCTAAAATATTTTACTCAAGCCCAGTTAATACTATATAATCCGATATCTTTTTAATTCATCACATTGTCTGGTCAATCGGAAGCAAGAATTTGGTTTACTCAACTCCAATTTGGAGATTTCACTTAACCCTTTCAAACTGAAACAAACTCGAAAGTGGCTAGAAATGGGGGAAAACTTGAGAACTCAGTACTAGCGGGGCTCCGGGGCCTCGCACTTGGGAAACACGCTGCTCTCATAGGTGGGCACCATATACTTGATGTTGATAAAGGCATTGGGACCCCCGCAATACTCCAGCAGCTTCAGAGTGTCCTCGATGACATCACCAATCCGGCAATTGCGATCGGGATCAATGCCCTCGCCCAGGTTCACATTGATATTCTTGTAGAGGTTGCAAACGGCCAGCAATTGGCGATAGAAGGGCACCAAGGCCTGACCCACACAAGGACCTGCAAAAAGGAATTAAAATTATATTTAACTATTGCTAAATCCTTATCAGCTTACCTAGGCGAACCATCAGTTGGATGACCTGAAGGGCAGAGATAATGATCCTTTTGTCGCGCGTCTGGAAGGCTCGCTTCAAGGGAAGGATCAGCTTGGGTAGCACAGGAAGCACCTTCTTGGGTGATCTAATGATCAAATCGATGGCTCCATTGACTGCTAGGAGTCGCGTGTCAGAGTCCATGTCCGCCAGTCCATCCACAAAGATGGGCAGGTAATAGCAGTAGTCAAGCTGCTCTGGCACACAGTGCCACTTCACAGGACGCTCCTTGGTCGGATCCTGTTTGCTGCTCCGGCCGGACATGACGCAAGGAATGTCACCGCGATTGAAGTAGATTTTAAACACAGTTTCCTTAACGGGTTTCCGCTTGAAAATATCAATTCTAGGTAGCACAATATTGGAATTTAATATTTATTTATCTTTTGTATTTGTATTGCAACTCACTTTGGAGGTGGCTTTACTACTGTGTTGGGTTGTAGTGCCTGATAGGTAAAGGCAGGGACTTCCCGCTTTGGCTGGAGAGGGAAAAATCATTTATTTTAAGCTCTTTGTACAGTAATTAATTAACCGAATATTAGATATTTTCCCAGCTCTACTTACCACCTTCGATCTGAGGTATAGCAACTCGCGACAAACCCTTCCCGGCTCATGGAGTCGGGTGACTCGTTCGTTGGTTGCATTACACATCCTTGCTAGGACTACAACCTGTTACTAGCTTCAAAAATGATTTGTCTTGAGTGGAGTTTGAGACTCCAATCTCGGATATTTTAGGTTCTGTTTTGTAGAAAAAACGTATCGGATGTTTCTGGACTGGGCTACGGGGTCAAAATGCCAAACAGCCTATTAAGAAATATGGAAAAATGGAAACTGGTTTGACAGTTTCAAAGCAGATTACTTAGTCACAAATGCATGAAATTGAGGGCAAACCACACTTGAAATGTAAATGAAAATGTTTGTAGTGTTGTGAAAATATAAATAGAAGCATTTAGCTTCTTATCAAGACGTCAACACTCTACCCCCAGTCCGCAAAACCAAATATTTTTTTTGGGGGTGTTATCCCCCTCCATCGCACATTCACACCTAAAACTGTTTGGCGTCTCCAAAGAGTCATAAAGGGAAAGTGCAAACATTTGCGCACTTTATCATCTTTTTCCATTTCCCGCCTCTGGAAATGTTACGGTAAATATTTTGTAACGCCCGCCAATTAAGGCGTCTGCCAGGGAATTCCCCAGCTTCCCAGCTCCTCGACTTTCGACCCTGCCTCCTCCCGCCCGGCATTAACCTACTTAGGAGTGGCGGGGGGCTGAAAAGAGAGGCAGGTATTTTCCTTGTTACTGGTGCCCTGAATTAATTAAAATCCGACATGCGAATTACTCGACTGTCCTTATCCTACTCTGTTTTCCAGCTTCTCTCTGGCTCCAGCTTGGCTTTTCCCGCTTTTCCTTCTGTTTTTAATTACCCACGCACAGCTTTTCACTTTCACCCCAACACATCGCGGCACGTCGCGATTTATCCGTTTTAATAATGTCGAGAGGCCCACCCAGATCGGTATCCTTTCCCTCACTTAACTTGGCTTAGACGCTCCCTACCCATCCTCGGGCTTAGCTTCTGTCACTTTCTGGCATGTAAATTGAGTTAGAAGCATTTAGGATTAGGAAGCATAAGGAATTAAGGAGGTGGCGGATCACCTCTAACTTCCTCGCTAATTGCTAAACATTTCCCGATGGGAAAATGATGAGACCAAGGCACATTATATATGAACAGTGATATATGAGAAAAGTAAATAGAATTTAGTATTTGGAGACAAGTTCATCTTATCGAAGTATGTGAGTAAGTAAAGCATTTTCTTTCTCTGATGCATTTAATATCCCGAAATGAATTTGCAAAGGGGAAGAAGTGTATTAAATTTAGTCTTATCAATATTTTAATTAAACTGAATGTTTGACATATAGATTTGACATATTCTATACTTTTAGAGTGCCTTTACCGTTGGCTCCAATTATTTTTGCAAACTTATTAACATAAAAGGAAAGAATGTGCAAAGTTTAATAATATATAATATAAATAAAAATATAAATATACGCTGCAAGGCTATTAAATATATATTCTAGTATAGCAATTTTATAATAATTTATAAACATTTTAGTGTTGAGATTTTTGTGTGGAGCTAATTCCAGTTGATACTTATTTTCTTACAAAATATATTCCTTAATTTAAAAGTGAAAATATATATTATGAGTAAATAAGAATAATTTAACGATCTGAAAAAGATTCACTTAAATTCTCATACTCCATTTCAAATTCATGGCTTTCCGCGATCAGACCCCAAAAGTAGGCAATATATCAAATGAGAAATAATTATTAAATTTCCGCCATTAGGGAAACGCACAAAACCTTTGGAAATCGAAACAAAAGATTCGGACCATAGACCCAGCTTTTACAATGGCCACAACGAAAATCAGCCGGATCATAATTTATTGGGAGGCATCTCCCATGGCGAGCTCCCGGGCTTTGAGGTGAGGTGATGCCATCAGTGAGGTGTCCCAGGGTTTGGGTAGCGTTTGTCTAGCTGACACTTTCATTAACAAAAAGTCAGCGCGATGACAGGGCCATGGTGTGTGTGTGGGTCTGTCTGGTTGTTTTTGCATTGTTACAAAGTGCAATTCGGTCCGAAGTTGGGCGGTATTCCTGATGGCCTGTGGACTTGTGGACCTGCGGACTTTTTGGGGGTGTTGGTTTGGCCATTCAGCTGACAGGGCTGCAGTGCGGCACGTAAATCTAAACAGCCACTGACAGCTTTCAACTGGCACTCACTCCTACTCCTACTCTTTTATGTGCGGCTCAAAAAGTGGACATTCCGGGGGGTTGGAAGGACCTCCTAACGGATGGGTGGCAGGAGAGCCCATCTTGAATGTCATATGGGCCATGCACACACACACACACACACTGTACTATACTATACTATACTATACTATATATATCAATATCCTGGCCATATATCAATATGTGCGCACTCGCATATATCTACTTTCGCTGGGTTGTTTGTCTGAAATTGACATGGCCTGAACGGCCAATACTCATCCTCTCTGGCTGCACGGAACATGGCCAAACAGGGTTTTGGCCTTTTGTTTTAGCCCCGGTCTCTACTCTACTCCTACAGCCTGGCCGAGATTTTATGTTCGCATACATTTGAGCGCTTTATTGTTTGTCCAATTTCGTGCAACATCCGAGCGACAGGGAGAGTAATCGAGTATCCGTTGTTGTCTATCCCTATCCTTCAGGTCGTGCCCGGAATAGGGAGCAGGACTACATATGGAGTGCTTCAACCCGATGGCCGTTAGGTGTTAATCTAATAACTGTCAAATGCAGGATGATGGCACTTCAAGTTGGTAGGGAAATTGCTGCTAACTAGCATCGAATGAAGAATATGTCAGGGGAAAAACGAATAGGGGGAAATGAGTTGTAATTAAGGTAAAGTTAAACATTCCATTACTTGATTTCAAAAATAATTATATATAACATTATTATAAAATACATTTCCTAAGTAGATCTGATATCTATCTACTCAATGTTTGACTTGTTAATACTTGTATATTCCTTTATATCCTTCACCGATTGATTACTCATATATAAAGTCTTTCATTACCCAATTAGATATTGCAAAAGACTCCCCCTGTCTGAGTCAGTTGTAAAATTCAACATTTCAATCAATGGAGCAAAAAAGGTCACTTCTGCTGTTAAAACCATTTCAGAGTTCAGACTTCAATTCAAACTTATAATGGCTTTTTCTCTGTTTATTTGGCTCAATTGCGCTGGCGGCAGCATAAGAATAATTTCTGCATCGCTAAAATCCCATAAAAATCAACAACGATGGGACGCGGCACATACGAAAGTCCAACTGCTAACTGCAGGCCCGGTCACAGGAGCAGTCGAGCATTAAATGGCCCCAAACCCCCAATGGGGATCTTGGATGGGGCTGAGGGGCGTGGACTTCACTTCCCATGCAGACAAATAAAGTCCCGCTCTGTACTCGAACATTTTTATGAGTCGTAAATCGAAGCGATAAAATCACAAGAAATGGAGATACAAAAACAAAATAGTCTGAATAACGAGAATGCGAGAGGTCAGTCCGGGGATTCCCAGACCAGACTGGGTTAGGCTGGGCTCTCATCCTCCATATCTCTCATAAGTCACACGATAAATTCTGCAACATTGCGCTAATGACGACAAGGGACACTTTGAAAAGTCGAAGAATGTTTTCATTTTCATATTTGCTATAAAATATATTAAATGTTTTTAATGCTTTAGAAGAGGAAAGATGGAAATAATCAAGAAACACTTAAATTTTACATTAGATTAATCCTGCTTATTCAAATTCAAATGTATAATTAAATAAGTTGCAATCTAGTTCGTGGGATAAGTATTTTTACGAGTGCATTTTAGATCGAGAGATGTCGCCCCAGTGTCCTGCAAATGGCGGAAGTTCATTATTGTCAGTGATTAATGTCAAGAAGCGCGGACAGATCCTGGGCCAGGGATGTGGAGTCTGGGCCTGGGCCTGGGTCCTGGTCCTGCACCACATAAGTTAGCTGTTGCTGTCAGTTGGCACAAAACCGAACCGCCGGGCTGTAGGAAGCTGCAAAAAAAAATTCGGAAGCCAGAGCTTGCAGGGCCTGAGGCTGGGACAAAAACCAGAGGCTGGAGGGACCAAGGACCAAGGATAACTGTGGGACGGACAGGCTGTTGACATCCTGGAATGTCACTCCGTCCGTCAGTTAGCAGGAAAATGCATTGCTGCCAGCTGCCAACGTGATTAGCGCGTTGATTTGGCAACCGATTGCCGGGCGCAGTGCATCCGAGCCAGCATTTTAGCCATCCTCAACAGAGTTTGACTTGCCAACTCCACCGAAATGGCATTTACTTCTGCCGGATATGGCCTTAAACTTATGCAACGCTAAGCGGCATTGACAACGGCACGCACACATCGCACACTCTTCCAGGGAATGGAGTTTTCCGAGGGGAAACCCCTTCGATGGTTCAATGTACGACGAGTGAAATTAATTTCAAACAATGCAGCAAACTGCGAAGACAACAGAACAGGAGAAGCTAAAACCCCACGACAGCAGAAGCAAATTAAATAAAAATTCCAGCATGAACGCTGCTATTGGGGGTTGGAGTTTGAACATCACTGAAAATAAATGAAAATAAATATAATATAATATAAATAAATAAATTTCCTGCTATATATTAATGTTTAAATTAAATTCAGTTTAGGGTTTATTGGGAATTTAACACAGTATGGCTTTTGAAAAAGATAAAAATACATTATGAATCACTTTACAAATACACCACAGAATTATGAAGCATTCTTTAAAATTGTGCAATTATATTAAAAGCACTTTAAGTCTGAATTTAATATAATATTTTTCCCAATATATATTGTTTTCAAAGTATTTATATCTTTTTAATTTAATCCAAATCAGTAATTTTATAAAGAATACTTACATTATTATAATTTATTTATAGAACTGTTATTATTAAGAAGTGATTAAGCTTATCTCGTTTTAGCCTCATTTTCATTTCTTATTTATTTATTTTTGTTTTCCCAATTTCGTGCAGTGCAAAGGACATCAGCTAGCTGAGGACCCTAAGGAGCTGAGTAGATTGCCAGCCATATGACAGACTCAATCTACGTGCCTCGAGTCGATGAGTAAGCCAAAGTTAAGGGCAAGCAAAAAAGCCAAGCCGAAAGCCCAAAGCCAAACCGAACTTGTCGAAAATTATTTCGTTTTAATTATGCCAAAGGGCTCTGTCGAAGGACGTGTCGAAATGTGTCGCCATTTTGCATGCACTCTAAATGAAATCACGTCACCGATTTTTCCCACCTGCCCCTGCACTTCAGGTTGCCTACAACCTACAACTTTCCGTTGTCATTATCAATTTGAGTTAATTGCCGCAGCCGTCGTGGCCAGAAAGTTGCCATTTTGTGTCGGCTGCTGCCGCCATTGCTGTTGTGTTGCGCCATCACTTCCGGTCTGGGGATCCCCTTACCTTTCACACGTTCCTCTTCTCTTCGCCAGACGACGCGACAACGCATTGTCTGCGACTGTTTGAAAGCGTTTAGTCGAAATTTATTTGTATTACATGCCAAAAACTGCAGACTCTCTTATGACAGCACGGAGCAGAGGAGGTGGGGGAGGGAGGAATGTTGAATTATTAAATTAAGTACTTGTTTGATTATGGCATAAATTCCCTTGTACAACGGCGACAGGTGTAAGCAAGGAGTTGAGTGCCTAAGGCGATTTTATGAAGCAGGTGCGAAACTAACGCGAAATTACAGGATGACGAGTTACAGGTAAAGAAAATTGAAAGTGATTTGAATTTATGGAACCAAAATCATTAAGAAAGTCCATTAAAATAGTTAAATGTATTCGGGAATTGGATTATATTATAGTATTACAGTATATATGTATTTATCATACCTAAGCTGAAAATATTCGATTACTTTATATTTATATTTCAAAGTAATGGTCATCTTGTTGTCGGAAGCCTAGGTCTTATCGTTTCGTTCACAACTTTTAAATATTTTCTATATAATTCAATGATAATGATTTATCAACGGAACTCAAGTTTTAAAAGAGAATAATGTCAATAAATATAAAAACCGGAAGAAACGAAAAAATGCTTGGATGAACCTTAAAAAACTCAACTATTCAAATGTAAAATAAACACAAACATTTTAATTAATAGCATAATATTTATTTTACTTGAAATTCAAATTCATTCCATTTTTTTAATTTTTGTTTTCAAATCATTGAACTTGAAAGCTTTTATGAATTAATTTCTACGAAAGTAAGCGTAGCTCATATTTCAGCAAACCCTGAGATTTATTTTTTTATTCAGTTCAGTTGTGACACATAAGCCTTTTATCAACTGTTGTTAATTTCTGTGTAAATAAGCTTTGTTTATATATAGTCACTAGAGTTCAATTGCTTATAAATCTCCATTACAGATTACATGAATTGTAACCCAAGAAACTGGGCAGTCTACACAAAGAAAATTGATATGTAATAATTGTTTACACTTCAGAAATCAATTATTATGATTATAATTCAAATTCACAGAAATTTAACCAGAATTACATTTACCAAGAGTTTCCTATTAAAGTATATTTGGTTCAACTAAATTATTAACATTAACATCCGTATTTAATTCACAAACAAAAGCCATTTTTTTATCGCATTCAGCCACGCCCATCACCACCTCCTCACCGGTGAACTCTAAATATACACAGAAACCATCCTGAAAATTGCGTTTCGGTGGATTGCTGGCCACAAAATTAGTAAAATTCATGGGATTGATATCTGATGCCAGTAAAACTTCACTAAAGTGCTGTGATCAATATCAGTCTTGTGGGACAGCCTTCCGCGATGGCCTCCGCTCCAAAAGACGGCGTGGGTTTGGGCATGGGCTCCATAACGCATATAATTGGCAATCAAACGCATTTCCTCAGAGCTACGAATGGTCATCAGTCGGGCTTGGGAATCGATGGTCTCACAACCAAAGTTTGCATGCAACCAATCCATCTAAGAGAAAGAGAATTTTAAAACATTTCTAGATTTCAAGTGTAAAAACCACGTTACATAAATACCAAACAGTCATGCTATATACCAAAGTGATTAATTGTAAAGTTATCATAAAGTTTACTCACTATGACGGGTACACTGAAAACGCGATTCTTGTAGCTTAGTTTGTAGTATTCATATGAGGGCTGAAAAAAGGATCACTTGGGATCGTTAAGGACCACAATAAAAATCACCTTACACTTACAGGCTTGTTGGAGGAGAAGAAAAAGCAACGCTCGCCAATTTGTACAAAAGGCTTCGTGCATAGAGCTGGCTTGGTAAAAGCACTATAAATAATTTTAATATTACAACTCACAAAATTCTTAGGCTTACGCTTGGAAAATTCCTTGAAAATATATATATAACTGAACAACAGGAGCAGTAAGCCAGTCACACCCACAAAGGACTTTCCCAGTGCCGACATTTTTGGTCACTGACTCGATTGGAACTGAAGGTGTACAGCTGAAAACTACACCTTTTTATAGGCATTACTTTAAAGTTTCCAAGAAAAATCAAGTAAATTGAGAAGCCACATGTGGCAGCAACAGGGAATTATTTAATAACGAAAAGGTACAAAGTCATTTTTACACCAACATAATTGAAAATTTATAAGACTTTAAAGAATATGTTTATACTTTGGCTTATAAATAATTAATAACAAATTAAAATAAGTCTCTTTTTTATGGTATTTCAAACGATCCTTTTTCTGTTATAAGTCTCTCTGTGGCATCCAGTCTTTGGTTCGACTTCCTTCTTGACATACAACTGGGCAACAGGACCAGGAGTGCAAGGCAGGATAAACATCCAAAAACAAGCACAATCGCTATTCTGCTCCTGGGATCCAGATAGAGCCAAAGTTGATTCACCGAGAATCTATATTCGCATATGAAGTAATCGTCCAAGCCGTACGATTGTCGCATATACAGCGATTTGTTTGACAATTGAAGACAGAGGTAGGTCTTCTCCAGGATAACCTCGGAGCCAGGAGCCCAGCGGACAAAGTTCACCGGTTTTCCGAAGCCTCCCAAGAGTAAGGCGGATCGCTGTTGTAGTTGTGGCCCGAGGTGGCGAAGGTGCTGCCATCGGGATAACCCCTGGACACGATGTAATCTTCAAGAGCTGTCAGCTCCTCCGACGTCTCCACAGAGACCAGGTTACTTACATTTCGCCAGCAATCACGCCTCGCTAAAAACCAGTCAAAGTAACGCTCCGTCTGGAAGTAATCAGACGATAAAATCATATTTCTAATAAAGAACGAAAATTCCACTAAAATATATATTCGATCTTCCGGCACTTTGTACAGATGTAATTTCCATTTTCAGAGTAATCTTACAGTCTTTTCTTTGCCTATATAGTAATATCCATCACCGATTTTTTCAAACCCGAATGAGTCTGGCAGCCAGATATCAAAAGAAGAAATACGAAATAATATTCCGCTCGCATTGCCCGACGTTGTTATTCCGATTTGAATGCAATTCAAACTGATATTGCTTTGTAAAAAGTTGCAATATTTATGTGACTGAATGAATATGTCTCGATAGTGGGTTATCTTATATAGGGAATGTACATGAAGAGACCCCTCAACTTAACCAAGGGAGTCACTAACCTAAACTAACTTCTATCTGGTTTCAAGATTTATAAAGAAATCAAGTTAACATAACACATATAATCGAAGAACATAATATATATTCTTATATATTATTATTATAATCATTCACAGTACATATTAACATTTCTTTGTTTACAATTACAAGTCATTCAAATGATTAACGGTAACCCCATTTCAAGACGGACTTTAAATAGACTTAAGTATATAATAAGTATATTATTATAAGGCTTAACCACTGTTCCTTGTTAAATGTCCTTGAAAGATAAGTACATATATAAAAAGCAAACTATAGTCTAGGAGGTATTGTTTTATAATCAAGGTGTAATTGAACGATAAGGCATATGTATATATTTTCGTTTCTATATGTATATTTTTATTTACGAGAGTAAATACTTATACATATATAGAACGAAACCGCATTTGTCTCGGGTTCTATATTTTCTTGATCCCCTATATAGAAATCAAGAAAATATTAAAGTCAAATTATCGTTAATATTAAGAGTGAAAGGTTTTAAGCAGACATTAAATGTATGTTATTTTTTCTATGACTAAAACGAAACCTTAACTTTTTCTCAAATATAGGTAGTACTTTTTAGGTAATAATTAATTATATATTCTCATATTACTTGATACATATACTAATTTTTACAATTACACCATCTTTGAATCAGGCTATTTGTATACAATTTTATAATTAATTAATAAGTATTTTTAAGGCTCTAAATGTGTTTGAAACTATTAGGTACACATGTAGATATGTATATCAATAAAATCACCCGATTAGTGGATTACGGATCGCGAATCACTATCGGCCAGCGATTGCTCACAAATGTCTACTGCTCTTGTGTAGCAGGACTCGCTGCTCATTACCAGTTCTCCTTCGCTAAGCGTAAGGATCAGGCAGTTGAGACCCATTTGGGGCGTGGGCTCCTCCAAAGCCCAGTTCGTGTAGTTCATTGGTCTGGCTCGCCCAAAGTAGTTCCAGTAGAATCGATTATCCTTCGGCCAACGGTGGCCTGCGCTCCAGAACTTGGTTCCATCCGGATAACCCGTTTCGTGTAGATGCTGTGCCAGGACACGCATCTCCTCCTCGCTGTCCACGCAAACGCGGGAGGTCCTTTTATCCTGGTAGCAGAAATTATGGAACGATGTGTGCTGCGGGAGGAAATTTAATGATTAATAAATATAAATAAATATACAATATGAAGAATTGCATTATTAAATAAGAAGTGAGGAAATGGATTTTGAAATGAAAGTATAGCAGAAGTCGGAGTCGCATTCGTGTATCTGTATCAACAGTATTTAAATATGGTTTAATCATCATTAAAACCTACATAGGTAAACTAAAAATGTGACTCAATGTTGACTCACCAGAGGTTCCTCATTCGCCACAAAGTAGCAATAGTTTTCCTGGACCCTCTCGTAGGGAATCTTGCATCGCATAGCCTCGACGATGTGCCGGTGTCCCAGGAAGATCAGCCAGAAGATCAGGAAGTGCCGGAGGAGAACGCTTGACTCTATCTTCCGTGTGTTGCGATTCGGCATTGTGCTAAAATAAAACTGCCAACGATTCGGAATCGGGGTGTTATCGCCATGCGTTATCTCGGTGTGAGCTTCATCCATAAAGCGGAGAATTTGTTTTTTTTTTTTTTTGTGCTCCACAGATAAGGCATTTGATGAACCAGTTCAAGATCGAGCCCAATAAAAGCTCTACTTAAAATTTTTTAGACAACGCATTTTGAATTTTATATATAGTGTTCTAGAATAAAACCGAAATATAACTGTTATGTTCTTTTAAATATTTTGTATTATAATATATTACATTTATTTATTATATAAGAATCTTTAAATAATAAATTTATACATTTAAAATAATGTACTTTTAAAGGACTAAATCATCTTAAATATCCCATGTTGTTATACTGTGAATCCCCTTTGTCTGTTGGGATCCACATCGAACCAATCCACAAGCAACTTTTGTCTTCACACTTTCAACTGCCAGAGACCACTGTTATACCACACTTTCCCCTTATCAAACTATTATACAAGAATTTTGTTACCTTCAAACTCTTTGTGTGGATTATACATGTTTGCTTTCAACCGCCGGTAGGTGACGCCACTGCATCATGGCCGTCCTTTCGTGCTAGCCGACCGAAAGGAAGAGTGAGGAGAGTAATTCGCGCGGGTGCAAGTGAGATACTACATGCAAACAAGTTTGAATCGAACATTTGCTTTCCGCTTGCTTAACGTGTCCCCTGTTATGTTCATAGTACTGGAATTTTAAGTTTCCTAAACACTGTTATTGAAGCCTGATCTTGTTTCTATATACTCGCTTATTTTATTCACAATAATAAAATTTATTATTTAGGGTCTTTTTTGAATTATTGTTAAATTTATAATTCAACTTCCACGTTAATAAACTTAAAGTGTGCTTCGTTTACAAATGAAAATTTACTTGTTTTTAATTTTATTATTAGTCTTCAAATTTTAATAAATTCCCTATTTCATTATTTCTGCTTCCCCTTTAGTAATTCGTTAAATTGAGTTTCCAAATCCGACTTAACAGCGACCTGCTAAAGGAGTAAACCCTAAAAAACAATAACGTTCAGCGGGAGGGAGTAAAAGAGAGCATAAGAGAGCCGACTTCAAGCATTCTGAACTTAACAGCTGTTAATGTGTATCTGTATCTGTACTGGCAAAGAGACACGACACGAAGTGTGTTCGGGTCTCTCAGCCGAACACAAATCGGCCTGTATCTCAAAGTTTGTTTTACTCTGCCTGTATCTCGAAATTTTTTTACTCTTGTCGCACATTCACTCGGACCGAGATGTTGAGAAATTTCAGCGCGTCGGCAATGAAAACGCTCGAGCATAAGTGAAAATCGTAAGGAAAACGTGAAAACATAGTTGACAAATACCAGTGTGTGATTTTCTAACAAATGTGCTAAATTAAAACGATTTGTGATGGTTTTTCGCGGTTAAATCATGTTTTTGCTGCCACATTGGTACTAACGACGCCGTCGCACTCGCACTCGCGCTCTCTCGTTCTCTCTGTGACCGCTCTCTCCCTGTCTTTTGTTTGGCGTTTGCTTTGTGCTGGTCGTTCGCAGAGATTGTTTACGAATTGCGGTGTGTGATAGAAAAGCAAGAAATCGCGAAAATTGCATCAATTCGAATGGAATCCGCTGGAAAAACAGCGAATATGAGCAGAAAAACACTGTTGCTATCTCTGCTGACGCTGGCAGCGCTGCTGCTGAGCTCTGGCAGAGGCGTCGCGGGACATTTGAATGTCTTCCTGAACCCGTGGAAGTGATGCGATTATTGGGTGAGTTTCCCCCACTTTTCACCTACTTTGTGTCTTCTTCGCTTTCTGTTTTGTTTTTCTTCCAATCTTCGGGTCGCGCCCTTTGTTATTGATTTCTCCCCTATACTATCTCTCTCTTATGCCGTCTCTGTTACCCACTCCCTTCGCAGGAAAAAAAACAGTTGAACTCAATTTGTGTGTCAACCAAATTATGGAGATAACTTCAAGTTTTCCAATTATATCTTCGGTTCGGTTAAAAAAGCGCACTGTAAAAATATTGGCTTCCCTTAAAAATTATGTTTATCTGTTTGCTTTTGGCTTAATTTAGATGCCCTCGCACCAACGCCTCGCCATGCCGCAGGTGTTGTTAAACAGTAAAACAAATAAACAAACATCCCGCAACGGCAAAAGCAGCGAAAACAACAACAAAAACAGCAACCGGGGAACTAACTTTCGTTTGCTTCGTTAGGGAATTTTACGCTTCGTAAAACGAGGATGAAATTGAAGAAGAGGAGGCACAGAGAAGAGCAAAAGACACAAGAAAATGCAGCAAATACAAACATACAAAAACAACAACAGCAACAGTGCAAGCACATTAAATTTATTTCACTGTTTGGGGGAATATTTTGAATATTTCTTGGAACCCGAAATTCCTTGGCACCCAAAAACAACAACAATGAAAACCAAAACAGAAACAACAAAAAAGCTCCAGAACATGCTGAGCGAAGCGAGACAGATAGCAAGGGGGCGACTGAGACAGAGATAGACATGCAAACGAGATGACAACGCGAAGGCGACAACAACAACACCGAAAACAGAAAAACAAAAACAACGAAAGGCAAAACCAAAACGTGACTGGGAGCATTCGAAGGAGCAGGAAGACGTCGAAGGAGCAGAAGAAAAAGAAGAGGATGTCGGTGGGGACGACAGGAGGAACTGCACAGTAGGGGACTTTAAATTGAGAATAAAAGTTCAGATGAGAAAAAATATTTTCAGACCAAGAAACAATTAAATTAAATTAAATTAAAAAATTTGACATATTTTTAAAGTGTCGGAGTCAATTCAAAACCTTGGTTTTCTAGATTATTTGTTTATTCGATATTATTATCTTATTTTAAATAATATAGACCCACTGTTCCAGCTTTCAATCAGCGTCACCCACTGTACTCGTATTTTTGGCAGTCTTTTGCATGTCAAGTCTGTGACTGCGCCCACAATGCAGTTTTTTTTTTTGTTGTCTGTAAATCGAAGTTTTCTTACTATTTGTAACCATGTGTGTGTGTGTGTGTGTGTGTGTGTGGGAGCAGATCCGCCAACGACGACGACAATGACGATGCGCATAATTTTGCGTATGCATTCCGGATTTGAGATTTGCGAATTTCGGGGGCGTGAAATCAAGTATGCGCCATGTGCGGCAGATTGAAAGCGACCGTGGGCCGCCGCAGACTGTTGCAACTTGCAGGCAACTTTAACATCTGAGAGGGGTAATTAAGACAAAGCTGGAAAGTTTTGCAGACTGGCGTAGGATAAAGACTATGCAATGGCGCAAGGGCTTTGTATTTCTCCAGTCATAAATCAATTAAGCTGCATAATTTGCATTTGATTTGTGTGCGGCAAAAAAGGGGCTATGCTTTACAGGGTGGTTGGGAGTCTGTATGAAATTCATTTGCATTTACGCTTAATTTATAGCTTCGCCGATGATCACACAAGTTTGGTTTTTCTCCCTTTTGTTTTTCTTGTTATCATCGCCACAGCAGGGGTCGGGGTCCCGGCAAAAGTTCAATGCTAAAAGAAACTTTGAGTCAGACATAAAGAGTCATAAAGAGTTCCTGGCATCTCTGACAGCCACATGAAATACGATCCAGGCGATCGTATGGGTTGGGCTCACGATCCACAAGTGATTGGATCATAATAATATCGTACAGACCCCCCCCCACATTTTATTCCCGATTTCAATTCCAATCATATTCCAGGCACCCAGAAGACGTTTAACGACCTTTTCGCTGGTGTTGTGACACGCGCTACATTTTAAATAGCCGAAAAGTGCATTATTTAAATTTAATTTTATTGCCACAGTTTTCTTATTTTTTCCCTCGTTCTGGTACGTTTTATGGGTCTTTATTGACGCTTTGGAATTTCCTTTTTCTCTACTTTTTATTGCCAACACTTGGGGTGCTTTGATTTAATTTTACTGTTTGTCGCCGTCTAATGAAGCTGCAATTAAGGCCCCCAAACGGAGATTAGGGGCATCGGCACGATTTTCACACTTTTGAGCCGAAAAGAATGTGCTAAAATCGCTAACAACGCCCCCTTTTCAAATGATCGATTGGGCCAACAGCGCTTTGGGCCATAAATTAGCCGCAGATACTCTTGGTTATTCGAATATTCCGGGGGAAAACGTTAACGTTGGATGTGTTAGATTTACCACCAACTGTGTTAAATGAATTGAGAGCTCGCGGGCCGCTTTTGTTTAGGCCAATTTAAATATTTTCATATTTGCATAGGTATCGGGAAACATATTGATGGCTTTTGTTATTTGAAGTGAGCCGCGGCTAAGCGGCTTACACCGCAAACAAGCTGCCAAAGTACGAGTATCTCGAAGATACACACACGACGCGCCGCTACTGTGGCAACTTTTAGCACCTAACCGTCGAAGCTGTTGTATCTGTCGGATGCCCGTAACAAGCCGCCGGCCTGTATCTCGTTTATCCCCCACCCAACGCTCTCCGTTTAGCTTGTTTTTTTCTTTTCTTATATATATTCTCCTCTCGCATCTGTATCTTTCGTGTTTTGTTAGCAGTCGAGACATTTGCGCGCTTCTCCGGTTTTATGGCTTGTTCTTGGCTGCCTTTCCAAGATCTGGCCATCCGATAATTGTGAGCGAACACACAACTGGGGAAGCCAGGGAAGGCATCTCCTCCTGGTCGCGCTTAAAGCCTTCCAAGAAACGCCACCGATCCTCAGCTCCTTAGAGCTCCCCTTAACGGTTTGCGTACGCCTGCTACATAGATAGATACATGTGGCATGTGATATGATCAGCGGGCATGATCTATATTTTAATTGGTGCTGCCAATTTATGGTCCAGCATCGGCTGACTCTCTTAGCCGCCGTCAATATAATGAAGTGGCCATTAGCTAATGAAGCTGTCCCCCACGAAAGACGGAGGAAAATCGAGGGAAACCAAGACTAAGACCAAGACCGGCTGCGACAAGAGTTTATGGACCTGATCGTGGCACTTTTTTGCTATACGATGTGCCAGTGTTAACAGCTCACCTGACAGATCGTAAAAAGTGCTATCCGAAGGAGTTGACACAGCTGCCTCGTCGCCAGATCTTATCTCTTCAATTAGTGATCGCGAAAGGGGACAGTAAACTTGGCTTATAGAGCTAGATCTGGATCTCTGACTATGTCTTTATTTTGGTTAAAACTGTAACCTGAAAGTTGAGGATTCAATTCTATATTGATCTCTATAAAGTTTATCCTAAGATATGTCTTAAGTTGTTCCAGTATGAATTAAATTCCATCAGACTTCCATTTGCTGGCCTGGATAACTGATCATCTGAGGCATCATTGAATTATCATCATCTTTTGAGGCCTCACTTTATCACCCTGTTTTGGAATCACTTCCGCAGATCCACGATCTTCGGAGAGATCTTTATCTGCTCGTACGTGACTTATGGCCCAGTCCCCAAACCCAAAAAGATCGTGTCTGGGCATCAAGTTCAAATATTTCGATTTGATTTTCAATCTATTTTTAATGCGGTCACTGATCGTGCGGTCTCGCAGGGCTATTGATTACATATTGATGGGCACTTGGCGGGTCATAAAGTGTCTGCCAAATCAAACAAGATCTCTCTCTCCCTCCCTGCTCGAATTTCATTATACTTTTGTCGCTTTGGGAACTGCAATTTGATTAGGCCTTGTTCATGGTACCAGGCACCGCCAGGTGGGCGGCTCAGAGGCTCAATTTGCATACTTATTTTATGGGTTCATGTGTCTGGTGACTGTAAACCGTCATAAACTTGGCTAAGCCCGGGCTTAAAGCCATTTCCATTACCAGACCAAACTATTGACAAAAAACAAGCGGCATTTAAACAAATGAAAATCGCATAAACCGATTGCAGGCAATATAACAGCAGCAGCAGCAGAACTTCCCCGCAAATAAACGATGCTCGTCAAAGGCTTACTGGAGGGGCTGATGGCGACGGCGACTGCGGTTATCACTGGCAACTGACAACTCTGATAACCCCGCCGGGGGGCTGCCACAAGCCTGGTGCAGGGAGATCCAGGGGGGGGGGGAGCATGTCAATAATAAATATCATCCATTGTTTGCCGGCTTGTGCTCCCTATACAATATATGTTGCATATATATGTTATATATAGTGAACATGCATGCATAGTATGGCGAAAAAAGAATAATCATATTTACATTAAACAACAACAAGCGCCATCAATGAAGCCCGTTTTCCTTTTCTCTCAGCACTGAGAGAAAAGTTGATGAAATTTGCACTGAATCTGAACCAAATGAATGGATATATTGTATCTTTAAATCACAAATTTAAACTCTCCTTACTGGAATATGTTTTTATTCAAGATTTTAATATAATAATTAATACTTCAAGATAAGATAGGAATTTATTTTCTCTGCTTAACGTTGGCACTGCATCCGAGTTTATTTCCATGTCACTATGACATGTGGGCGCCTCTGGGGGGCGTGGCAGCTTTGGGCAACTGCAAAGATACACATATATGTAGATGGTGAGATGCAGAGATGCTGAGATACATAGATGCAGTGCGTGCATTGTGGCCTTTGTTGTCGCGGAGCTCTGTTTATTGAGTCGTTCTACTGTTTATTTGGGTTATGCACTGTGGGAGTTTTGTCCATTGCAGAAAGTAACATGGAAAGTATCGAACGGATGATACAAAAACAAGCATTCGGCTTGTTCGCTCGTGGAAAGTACCGCGGGTGCATCTAGATGCATCGCTAACTAGGCGTGTAGTACATAGTACGGGTATCCGTGAGATGTGCATGTGCCGCTAACACGATTCCACTGACATTCCCACAATGGAGAAGAAATTCGTGATACGGCTCTGAAGTATTAGGATAGATGGCTTGGCTAACTGGCAGATACAGTGGCATCTTCCAGATACGAATCTCGCGAGAGATGCATATCTATTTCATGGATATGCATGTCGTGTTTTAAGAGACTTTAAGGAAGTTTTCTGGCATATTTTGATACTTAGATTTGATGATTACTATAGATTTATTTATACTTTGGGTTAGTTTAATATACTTTTATGAGGTGTAGGAATATTCTATTTTAAAATGAATATACTTTGATGGAAGTTTTCTAGCAAATACAATACTTTTTTACTGACTATTTCGGACACCCATTCATCTTTTTAACGTATCTTTGGTATGGTTAGTTTCAAAAACAACCAGTTTCTTGGCAGCTGCAACCTCTCAAAGCTCAATTATGTTCATATGCCATCAGTCTTGACCCGCATCATCCTCCATTATATATATAATGTATATACATATATTTCTAGGGGGCTGTCCTCTTTTCTCGCCACTCAACACTCGAAAGACAACAGAAAACTGACAAAAAATGAATAACGATTAAGGTTAATTACTATTGATTCTGCCTGTTACAATAAGCCGGCCGGCCTTAGCCTTTTGTCAGCCGGCCAAATTGTTTGGCAAACGTCAACTCTGAAAATTTGAATGATTAATTTGAGCTAATTTTTGAGAGGCCCCCCCCGAGAAAAAGGGAAAACAAAATCACAGCGCTAACTGTGCCAAATCGCTGGATCGCTTGAGCCTCTGCCCCGAAGAGATGGCTAATTTTGCCGGCACAAATTTGTTACAATCAAAAGCCGAAAACGAGAACGAGAACGCTGAGCCGGCGGCTAGAAAAAACCATTTGAGGAAGCAGAAAAGAAAAATAAAATATATATTAGGCAAAACAAAACAAAAGGAGCGTCATTTATCATAACGACGTGAGGCAACTAAGAAACGATTCGCACGAGAAATGCGGAGGCGAGTTTGGGGGTTCAGGATGGTTCAGGATGCTTCCGGGGTCTCTCAGGGTTCCGGTGTTCTGCTGGTGGAGACATGGCTCAAAAACATGTTAAATGTTGACATGTGGTGGGCGGCATTTTGTGGGGGGTGGTGCCCAAGGCTTGTAAGCGAGATTGTTGTGCGTGATAAGCCGGGAGCTTTGAAGGGGGTTCATGGCATGGAGGCGGTTCCCGATCATTTGTTTTATTTATTTTTCGATTTGGCCACAAAACTGCACAAAGGACCCGGGTCCCCGAAGCAGCAGATTCCTCAAGCCAATGCAGCCAAAGTGACATATTAGCCATTAGATGGCGGAAACCCCCCAGAATATTGGCTAGCATCATCGTCGGGGGTTGCAGAGTCTTCCAGGGGGCGGAGGCTGCAAAAGTTCAATGCGGTTACGGTGCAGATGGAGTCGCTCTGGTGTTGCTCACCATCATTTATCATCTATTGCAATTTTGTTTGCCGGGACAAGATAAAAGATGCCAGCGATTCCCGGGCTGTCCATCTGGCCCACGTTTCACTCTGTTTGCTTAAGCAAAATTGCTTGTAGTCCCAGTCTGAGCCTGGGATATTTGTCAACCGAGATAATGGAGAAAGAACGTTGATGATGGCAGAGGACAGTAAATCGAAGGTGTTGCTTTTGCCAGTAGTTTTCATAAATTATCCGTCTCCGGGGCTTTGTTTATACATAAATAACCAGGGGTCTCTATATACGGAATAACCTCAATTTATTATGGGAGAGATCTATTAGTTTGGCAGCTACGAGTTTTTAAATTAAATAAGGAAAGTGTGGAGTCACATTATCAATCTTCTTCTGTTTAAAGATATGTACTACTTATTAGCTAGTAACGTTAACTATATGACACCCTTACTCCTTTTTTCTTAAAACGAATTCCCTTTGAAAACTTCACTTCCCACACGAAAAACCACTCCCAGCACAGAAGAGCTAGAGTTATGAGATGGTCTCTACCAATCCACTGACCCCTGAGAATGACCCCGGGGAAAACTCTAATTTTTTTTGCCGTCTTTGTTTCGGATCTTGGGTTGGGGGGAAAAATCAGCATAGGAAATCAGCACAGCGGAAAGCACTTCACGAATTGCAACGCTAATTACACGAAACTGGAAACCGAACCGCAGACATTTTGGTTGTGTTTTTATATACCGCTGGGCGAGTGTCTCCGTCCAGTTGTCAGGCCAGGGTGCTCCTCCCTCCTCCCTCCTCCCTCCTCCCTGTGCATCCTCCGCTCCTGGCGGCACTGTAACAATGGTCACGACTGTGACTCTGAGCAGTAGCAAGCTATTAAAAAGTCGCAAAAAATAGTCACAGCGACAGCGTCATGACTGCACGCTCCGAAAAATTCGACATACGATATGGGGAGACTCCATCGACGCCATCGCCAGGCACCACATCCTGCATGAGATCCTAGTCGCAGGCACGCCCACACAGCAGAAGATATCACTGGAATTAATCAGGATTCTATTATTAATATAGAAGATTAGACAAATAAATACATCAGTAAGATCACATCTCAAAATTAATTACTATCTAGATCATATTGTTTATTCCATAATATTATGACTTCCCATTAAATACCTGTTAATTCCTTAGTTCCTGCTAGAATTTTCTCCTTGTGCAGTGTATAAAAAGCAGCCAGTTATGAACACGAGGATAATACGAGCACAAAAAGGTTAAAAAAGTTCAAGAGCCGACCCGCGTTGGGCACATGCAAGTGACATTTGCTCGTGACATGAGGTAGACGACAGCGAATCCACTCCAAGACACGGGCTCCACCAAAAGCCCATCCCCGGGATGGGGCTCCTCGTAAAAATGCAATAGAGCGGCAACTTTCACATGAACCTGTGAACTCCTGGCCATGCTGAGATGTCTCTCCGGATCTCTGTTTCCCCCCTTCGCGATGAAAAGGGTCAATGGAAACGTGTGTCTAAGGAGCTGCTCCCAAAGCCCTGCAGGGAGGCTTGCCAAGAGGATGGGGGACCAGGACGCGTTGCATTTGATTAAGTCATGGGCGCTATTTTTAAAATGCTGCCGAGGAATTTGTCGTGGCCGCAGCAGCAGGGCAACACCAACGTGCAACATGTTGCACATTGCAGGGGGAAGTCGGCAACTTTTGCTGGAAAGTCTAGTCTTCAGGGCCTGCACTGGGGGAAATTCGAGGCAAACTCATTGAACTCCCAATTATATTTATATCTTAAAGTTGTGTTAGAAAGTTCATTTGGTTTTTAAATTGTTCGGAATGTGAGTGACAGATGAATCTATCTCTAAGATACATGATCGTTTTCTTAACTATTTGATATGATAGTTAAGTACTTTAAAGTGATATTCAGATCTCAGTCTTAGTCTTCAAGCTGTGTTAATTTTCACAAGTTACTGTCAAAAGTAGAAGCCAGAACAGACTCCCTTGGCGTTCATATTACCTAGGATTGTCTTAGTTCTTTTTAGATATTATGAAGACCCCACTTGGTGTGTTTATTTTTGCAAGTGCATGTGCATATACCCGCGTGTCTGACACAATTTATATGCCACCCAGTTGAGCCATTGGCCGGGGAGTGCCTGTGGCATGGCCTGCCTCCGTCTATTTCTATATCCACATCGGCGTCTGGGACGCTGCTGTCTGTGGGTCTGTCTACCTACAAGCTCGCTGATTTTTATTGTTATTGCCAGTTGTCAAAGGAAGTGCGCGCCACGTTCCGTCGGGTGTTCCAGCGATTTTCGTAAATTATTTCCTGGCCCTGGAGTTTGCCAAAGGCTGTCGGTTCTTATATGTATATAGAGGGGTTCCTTTTGGGGAATAAGTTGAATGCACTGTGCACCGAGCTGGAAATGTAAAATTGGGCAATGAGGCCCAGTCACTGTTTTGGTCCACACAACGAGTTCAATTGGTCCGTGTGTGTGTGGTCTGTGGAAGCCTCGTTAAGAACGAGGGATGGTACCAATATGAGCTACCTGCTGGCCTCATTATCATTAGCATAAGACGTCATAACAAACCAAATGAGTTGGCAATCGCGGCCAGACATCTCAGAATATCCAAAAACAAAAAAATGAGACAGGGAAAGATAAACATAAATAAAAACCCTGTCGAAGATGTTTCATTAACTGGAACCAGCCCAGGTCAAACCGCAACACAGGCAATCGAAGCCCAGGGACCATATTCCATGTTCTGTCCCTTACCTCGTTCTTGTTTTGCCAACCTCGGGGATCGGGGTCTCTGAATCCCGTGTGTTTGCAGTTGCTACTCCCTAAATCCAGTTCGTGCTCTTGTGTTCCACATAGATTTCCAAGGGACAGATTTAGATACAGATACAACTGGCGATAAACTCGAGAATATTTCCAAGGAATCCCCCAAACACGAGCGCTTGTTCTTTGGTTTTGTTTATTTATATAAAACTGTTGCCGGCGACTGTCTGCGGATCGGGTTAAGCAAACAAGCCTCAAGATAAATCTCCCGGGAAAAACTCATTGCGCTGAGTGCATTCGAAAAGATTTACATGCAAAGTAGTCGATGAGTTTGTTTTATCAACTAGCACAGGTGATGGCACGAAGGGGGGGAAATCTATATACACAAACCTATATCTAAGCTAAGTTTGGAAGTAGGAGTTTACTTGAGGTAAAAGTGAACATTGTACTTTTGAGATACATCACTTAAATCATTTTAAATCCATTTTATTTATTTGAATCATTTCCTTTTTTCCAGGTGTCTCTGCAGAGGTTTATTACGTTCGCGAGGGACTCATCAACAACTATGCCTTGAACTTTATTGTACCCGTTCCGGCGAATGTCAAGGACATTAGCTTCACCTGGCAGTCACTGGCGGGACGGGGATTGCCTTATAGCATCAATGTGGTCAGCTCGGATCTGGAGGTGCTGCCACGACCGGCGATCAATGTGTCGCACAGCGGCGAGATCCCCACCAGCATCCAGACCTGGGCCATTGCCCTCAAGTGCACTGGACTGAAGGCCGCCGAGGTGGATGTCACTGTCAGCCTGGAGGTGGTGCTAAATCGGTCACTGAACAATGTGACCCACCTGGTGTTTCGGCGCAAGAAGATCTGCCTTGTGAATGACAGTGCCGAGGATCCCACGGAGGATGTGGACGATCCCCAGCTGTTGGAGACTGTAATGTTGCCGCCCACTGGCCTGATCACCCTGGTAGTGGGTGTGTCTGTGGCCATGGGATCGGTATGCTGTCTCCTGATGATTGCCTACTGTATCCGGGGAGCGGCCAACAAGAGGCAGCATCACCAGCACGGTGGACAGCCCATGAGGACGTCCAGTTTCCAGAGACTGAACACCCATCCGCCTTGCCAGTCCTCCATGGGATCGGCTGCGTACATGACACCCTCGATCATAGCCCCCGTGCATGGTTCCTCCCTGCCGCGTAAGGTGCCCGTGTCTGTGGAGCAGCAGCATCCCGAGGAGCTGCATCGTCGCATCTCCGAGCTGACCGTGGAGCGTTGCCGGGTGCGGCTGTCTAGCCTCCTGCAGGAGGGAACCTTTGGGCGTGTGTATCGTGGCACCTACAACGACAACCAGGATGTCATAGTGAAGACAGTGGCCCAGCATGCCAGCCAGATGCAGGTGCTCCTGCTGCTCCAGGAGGGAATGCTGCTGTACGGAGCCTCGCATCCCGGAATACTCTCCGTCCTGGGCGTCTCCATTGAAGACCACACCACACCCTTCGTCCTCTATCCGGCTCTGAATAATACCCGCAACCTAAAGCTATTCCTCCTCGATCCGGCCTGCGCCCGCACCGTGACCACCATTCAGATTGTGATGATGGCCTCGCAGCTGTCCATGGCCCTGGATCATCTGCATAGCCATGGAGTGGTGCACAAGGATATAGCCACCAGGAACTGTGTGTAAGTAGAAATGTAGCTCAATATATAAAATGTCTAAATACACAAGATATTGTATGCATAGAAAAGAATGCGGTAGAATAAACATTGCTCCGAGCTAGCTGCGTGTTTATAAACATTGAATTTCTTATAAATATTGACGGCTTCGATTTGAAGGTTAATCAAAATTTATGATCAGTTTTATATAGGATTTATGGCCAGAGAATTCTTTATGACTTGGAAATGTATATAATGTAGGAAATTTCGAAATATTTGTGCTGAAGAGAAATCTTTTATATTCTATTTTATATATATAATTTAGTTATACAAATTTCCAATCGAACCAGATACTTTAATGTATTTTAGTTGCTGCAGTTGTTACATTCTTGTTTATGGGTTTGTTAGTTTGTCTTGTTATCTTTTTAATAGTTCTTCAAATAGGGTGTCAGTTTAGGTGCAATAAAAAGTAATTAAATCTTTAATTATATACCTTAAAATTCCTATTAATTTAATTATTGCTTTTCTTCCAGCATTGACGATCAGCTGCGGGTTAAGCTGTCGGACAGCTCACTGTCGCGCGACCTCTTCCCCTCGGACTACAACTGCCTGGGGGACAGTGAGAACCGGCCGGTGAAGTGGATGTCACTGGAGGCACTGCAGCACAAACAGTTCTCCGAGGCCAGCGACTCGTGGGCCTTTGGGGTGCTGATGTGGGAGCTGTGCACCTCGGCCAAGCAGCCCTACGCCGAGGTGGATCCCTTCGAGATGGAGCACTACCTGAAGGATGGCTATCGTCTGGCCCAGCCCTTCAACTGCCCCGATGAGCTGTAAGTATTGGAATCGTATAGTTCTTGTTCATTCGAACCTGACTAATTGGATTATCTCTTATCTCGTTAAAGGTTCACGATCATGGCCTATTGTTGGGCCCTTCTACCTGGCGAGCGCCCGACCTTTGCCCAGCTGCAGTCTTGCCTCTCCGAATTCTATTCACAAATCACGCGCTATGTCTAGGATGGTGATCCCAAGGGGTTCCGCTCTTCTGAAGAGTGCAGAGGTCCCTCTAGGACCTTACCCAAAAACATAAAAAAAAGTCCTGTAGATTACTCGCATTTGTTTAAACGTTAGCGTTCCCATCATCTGTACATATAGTTAAAATATTCAGCTCTTTAGGTACTTATCTCTAAGCTTATTCTATGACACACTAAACATCTTTCACAAAAATTATGTAGAACACACAGTTTTCACCTAATATCCAACACATCTAGATAAAGCCCGAATTCCGAAATCAAATATAGTGATATTTATCAATAGACTTAGTTGTACCGTATACGTAAGTTTTAACAAACACATAATATACATATTTATGAAGCATATTCTATACATGTTTAGCATTTCGACAATTTACCGTTTATATATATATGAGAGAGATTAAAACATGATATACAAAAATATATACACGTATATATTATACACACATATATGCCAAAACAATTCCAGAAATTACCAAATTTGTTTTTATTCGATTTTATGGTTGCGCCGTTAAGTTTTATCGCCGCATTTCGAAGGGTTTCTTTCCAGCACAAGTCACGCCCTCGCCCTTGTCAGGGTCTTAGGCACTCTCTCATACTGTTTTCCACTTTTCCACATTTCCATTGAAAAGTCGCCCAGGCAAATGAAGGAAATTTACGGCTTTCCCACTTGAGGGCACCGAAGGAAAACGGCCTGGGTAACAAAGTAACATTCACCCACACACAAATTAGCCATAAATTTTAATTTTACATGACAATGTTTTGGGTCGAAGTGAGAAGTAGGGAAGGCTGAAAGGAATTTTTCCAAGATGAATCAATTTTTTTTGTTTTTTTGTTTCCTTTGGGAAGCGTGTCCTTGGCAGCGAACATAGATGAGCTAAGCAATATATATATCCTGCGAACGAACAGTGTAGCCCGCAAATAGCATGTGCTACACATGTCCTGCGTCCTTTGGCCATTGTGTGTGTTTGTGTGAGTGCTTGTGGGCGGTCGGCATGTCCTTCTTGCACTTGGGAAACCATTGCCAGAGAGACGACGACGACGACGACGACATATCGTAAATATTTTGACAGAATCGCCTTTTGCTTTTGCCTTGCCATTTTGGCCATTGTTACCCAGCATCAACTTCCTTTATCCTTGGCACCTGCTGCCCCGCAGCTCACACAACACACACTCAAATATCAACAACTACAGTGTTCTCTTACCTCCTGGTAATCCTTGTGTTTGTGTGACTTGACCTGCTCCGTTTGCCATGGCATTTCTGGTTATGGCCTTAAGCGGCTTTAAACTTGCTGCCTGTTGCTGTTCCTGTTGTGTGACTTGTCCCCGTTGCTGCTAATATATATACATATACATATATATCGTATATTCCCAGGACGATGGCATTACCAGTTCCCGAAACGCAAACAGTTTGCTTAAGCGCATAGTTTGTTTATACTTATTAGTTGATAATGTGGCATGCTAAACTATTGTTAGGGGATCTAGGAGAGCGACAGGTGTAGGTGATGGTACACTATGAATTAACTGTTTTACTGCTCTGGGGATATTATTCTTGGTTGGAAAATGAACTTGGTATGTAGCTTTTTATAGAGTTATTTCAGTATCTTTCCCCATAAGTAATGTCATTAGCTGGTAAATCCCTTGTTGCATTCTGCACTTCCTCCGCAGAACCATGGGCCTGTTCCCCTTGTAAACAAGCTTCCCAGACGATAAGCAAAATACTGTCTCGCATTTCCGGCTTCTGTTTGGGGCGCCATCGCCAGACAAGCACCACCAACATTGATTCCACTCCCACTCCGACTCATCAATGGTCATGTACTCTTCGAACATTTTCGCTGGAAGCCGAAAAGGGGTTCTCGAACTGCCTCCGGGAGGGGGAAGGGAGTTGGAGTGCGGGGTGCCACCATTTCCATTTTCATTTCACATCGCCATGCGATTTCCATGTACATCGATGTCTGCCTCAAGTGGCAGCCCCCACGTCTCCGTCCCGCAGAGCCATCGCCCTGCCACCCGCGCTCCGGTGATAATTTAAAAAGTTTATATGGCCAAACTGCCACGGATTGCCGGAGCTGCCGTTGCTTTGCACCATTCTAATGACAACTTAAATAAACAACAACAATGGGGAAATGCGAGGAAAATTTGTTGAGAGAAAATATACCAAAGGGCTCGAGAAATGGCTAAGAATTCGAAGGGGATAAGCAAGACGTTATGATACCTAGTAAGAAGTGTTTACAATAATTTCTAAATAATAGAAGAACTAATAATCTAGTTAATCTAAATAATATATGTATATAACTGATAATTACTTTATAAAAAATTACTTAAAATATCTTAGAGTTCATATAAAAATCTTGACAATGCCTTGACAAATACCAAATGTTTCCTTAAAAGAATAAATTTAATTTTCTGTAAATATATTCATTCAGATATACCCCGTATTCCTCTGAACATTCCATTATAAAAAGCGATCCGAGATGAAAATGGAAGTTCAAGTTTCCCATCGTCTACGGCGGGGCCATTGTGTGGAAATATTTATTTTCTATAAATTATTTTCGATTATCGTTCGCGCTGCCTTCTCTCTCAGCTGCTGGGGAACTAAATAAATAGGCAGAGAGCTGCAATTAAAGCTAAACAAAATGCATAATTTCTGGTCATTTGTCGATAAGCTGGAAATTGGATGGGGGAAAATATCGGAAAATATCCCCCACTGTTATCCAGGGGAGCAGCGGCACAATTTATGCGGCTCGCTTCCGCTAATGGAATTTTAATGTTTCATTGGAAGTAGACGCATAAATTTTGCTTTATTTTTATTTTTTGTTGGTCAAAAAACCAATATTGGACTCAATAGGAGAGAAATCTCATTGGGTTTTCTATATAATTTTACAAGTGAAATGTTGTTAGGAGTAAAAGAGGTGGCCCATTTAGTTCATTGGCGCCGCAATTTCGTGGAAATGAAAAACACACAAATAAATAGGAAAAGCCAAAACATTTTGGAATTGGTTTTAATTGGAAGACAGCAGGTAACACCGGGGGGACACTGCCCTAGAGCCAAAAATTTGTACAGATTTATGTGTTTGTGTGTTGTAGCTATCTAGGTTCCATTGTTTACAGGAAAATATAAACCAGAAGTTCATTTAATTTCAATTTCGGTTGCAAATATATAAATAAACAAGTAAACTTTTCTAAAAATATTGTTTCACTTGTTAATAGTTTTATGTTACCATAAAAAGAAACCTAGGTTATTCTATGCACCCCTTTTTGGCAATCCTTTTCGAGAGGACACACCCAAAGGGACACTCTTTATAAACATATTCGATTGCACATTTTGTTTGGATAGCAGATTCTGTGGCAACTATTCGGCTGATAGAAAAGTGTAAGTCCTAACTGAGTTATTCACGCAAATCCTTTAATGCCATTTATCATACAAGGTGCACACACCCACACCCATACATTTGAAATTCATGTAAAATACAACGCATCCTGGCACTGGTACCGAGCCTGATCCCTTGGCAAGAACAACATTAAATTGAAACAAATTGAACATAAAAAGCATTCAAAATAAGACAAACACCTCGACGATGAAGAAGGTGCCAGGGACCGAAGACCCAGGACTCAGGATCCAGGACCCAGAATTCAGGACACAGACGAAGACGAGTTGCTGCCAAGGTAAACACACAACGACACCGAAAACTACGAGGAAAAGTTACTAGTGGGAAGTTCATTTTTTTTACCCTGTGTTGCAGCTGCACAGAGAGAAAAAGTATTAAAAAAGGACGTATTCCTGGACATTATCTATACTTCTAAAAAATAGGAACTATGTGTAAGCTATTGCTAAATGGAAAAATGAATCTTATTATGATTCCAAAGATGGGATACGTATTTGAAGTGTTGTCTACAGCGTTGAAGGACTTAGAAAGTACTTTAAATAATATCAGAATCAAGCAAAACCTACAAATCTCCACACCTTAATTCCGAAATAATTCAATTTCTAAAGACCGGAAATAAAATTAGATCCGGATATATTTTCAAATAATTTTCTGCAGTGCAGGACTGACTGAAAATCAGGCAAAGGTACACAACAGCAAAGGGAAAGGGCATAGGAAACGGAAGTATTTTCTGTTGATACTGAACTCAATTTAGACGAAATCAAGTCAAACATGGCAGCTACCAGGGCGTTGGGGCAGAGTCTGGTGGCGTTGTGGAAAGCGGCCACAGGAAATGTTGTAGTAAATCATGTGGGAGCCGTGAGGTAAGTGGGAGCCGGAGGATGTGGGTTGTGTGCCAAAGATGCCAAAGAAATGCGAAATGTGAAATGCTCAAGACGATGTCCTGCCTCCTGCTCCGCCTTCGAAGAAGTTGACAAAAATACAAGCACCCAAGGAGAAAAGGCAAAAAAAATATAAAAGGAGACTAAACTCGGAGCTTGATTGATGTTTGCGCTGTTAGTTGTTGTTTGCGGGGGTGGTGAGGTTATGGGAGGTCTGGGGGCATTAAAGTTTCGATTAAAGATTTCGATTTGAGGCGGATAGCAATTTGGTCTGTCAAGCGGGAGAGTGGCCACTAATCAATCCTTGTCCAAATATTTATACGTTCCAAACTAAATGAATCCAGTCCAAAGTGAAAGTCACGGATTTAGTAACAAAATGACAAGGAAAAACTAGGATGTATGTAACAGGAAAAAGTGAAGCGAATTTTGAGTATCTCTATTTTCAATAGTTTTTAATTACATTTTTCTAACTTTTACATGGGAAACTCCTGCGATTTATCCAAGTATTAAATAGGTATTCAATTAATTTAAATATATAACTTAATATAGATAATAACCAAAGCTTAATTACTTGAATTACAAATCCTGTAAATAAGTAGTTTTTAGTTTTTTATAGAAATCCTTAGCTAAACCAATCACATATATCCTTAAGCTCTAAGGGGTATAAAAAACAACAAGAAAAAAACAGTTCCATGTCACCATTTCTCTTGCGCCAGTTCGAGGCTCGTTTTAATGGTCTGAGCTCTCGTTTTGCTCGTTTCGAAAGGACTCCGAGTTTTCGGCTTCATCCGGATTTAGGGTTAGAGTTAGGTGCTCTCAGCATGTGGTGCCGGGGATTTGGTGTCCTTGCTGGCTATCCGCACTTTCACTGCCCGCCGCGCTCTATTTACAGTTTTTTGGGACATCACGAAGGCGAGAAAGAGGATGCCAGGATGCAAGGATGCGGACGAGGGGACTCGTGTGGCCGGGGCACAGTGAGGATTTGCTGGAATTGTGTTTGGTAAACATTTTCGGCTCTCTGTTGTTTTTAATAAGAAAATTGGCCAAAGGCCACACACACACGGACACAGCGGACATGGCGATATAGCGGCTCAGAGGAGTGGGATTTCGTATCCCAGATTGCTTT